TGTATAACAGTTACAATTTTTAACTGTTATAAATTTTATAACTGTTATACATTTGTATAACAGTTATACAATTGCATAACAAATATAAAATTATCCATGTTATGCGCACAATTAAATTATTCTCTATATTTAATGTATAACAGTTATCTGTAGCACAACCAAATTCTGAGCACAACCAAATTCTGTAACTGCCTTGAATTTCCACAGCATTTATGTGTTCGAAAAGTTATTAAAAAAATATGTGTTTGTATAATTGTATAACAGGTATAAATTTTAACTGTTATAAATTGTATAACAGTTATACAATTGCATAACAACTGTAAAATTATCCATGTTTTGCGCACATTTAAATTATCCTCTATATTTAATGTATAATAGTTATCTGTAACTGTTATACGGTTACAAGGGGTGAGGGTCATTTGAGCACAACTAAATTCTGTAAATTCTATGAATTTCCACAGCATTTATGTGTTCGAAAAATTATACAACAAATATGCGTTTGTATAACTGTATAACAGTTATAATTTTTAACTGTTATAAATTTTATAACTGTTATACATTTGAATAATAGTCATACAAATGCTTAACAACTATAAAATTATCCATGTTTTGAGCACAATTAAATTCTCCTCAATATTGTGTGTATAACAGTTATCTATATATACAAAACAGTACCGAAATAACTCGCTAACTGAGAATCAACGCCCCGAAGAAACGACTGAAGGTAGAATCTTGAAAATTCGCACAAGGGCCAGTCTTGGTGTGTAGGCTGGGTTTTTGGAAATTCGTACCAAGAGGGTACTAAAATGTATTCAAAATTGAATACTTTGTATTGGACAAAAGGAATGAAGTAGATTTCTGAAATTTGGAATAAGAGTCACCGATGGAGTGCAGAAAGGGTTTTTGAGAAGTCAAGCTTTAAGGTTACGAAAAGTTCCAAAATGGTACTAAATTTCAAAAATGGTACCATTTGGCATTATGTGAACGTATAGAGCTAAAAACTTGATGTTTAATACGAGAATCAATGTTGGAGAGTAATTTTGATATAGAAAGGTGGTTTTGGAAATGTGTATTATTTGTGTGAACTATACTAAACGGTACTACATTTGGAACATTTAGGTTTAGGGAGCTGAAATTTCGAAGTTGTGGTATTGGCGTCCCTGTTGGTGGTAGGTTTGTGATAAAGAGGCGGTTTTTGGAAATATGTACTACAAGTGCCCGAAAAGTACTAATATTTGGTATCATTTGGCATTTGGGTGAATAGATAGTGCTTGAAATCTTAAATTTGGTATTAGGCTCGCTGTTCATGTGGTAGCCTAGACATATGGAGGCAGTTTCGAAAATGTGAACTGCAATTGTACAAAAAGTACTGAATGGTACTATATATGGTATTGGGTGAAGGGATAGAGGTACAATTCTGAAATTTCATATTTAGATTACCGATGGTATGCAGGGTGAGATAAAAAAACCGCAACAAAGTCAAATGCCATAATTTTTACATTTCTTTTAAATTTTTTTGAATGAAAGCAAAAATGTCGGAAATATCATCAAACTTTATAATAAGTTTAGATTTGTTCGAATTGGTCACCTTTGGTACGAATTATGGCCTTCAAACGGCCAATGAAACCGTCACACGCAGCCCTGCGGTATTTTGGCACAATCCCGGCGAAGCGCTTGCTTGAGGTGATCGGCACTTTGGTATTTTTTTAGTGCCAACCTTGCTCTCCAAAATACTCCAGACACAATAGTCCAACGGATTGGTATCTGGAGATTTTGGTGGCCATTGTGCGCTGGAAATGAAGCGAGGAAGCTCATTTTGTAACCATTCTTTTGGGTGGCGGCGCATGCTGAGTTGGATGGTGCTGAGTTCCTGTTGGAATGTTCAAGGTCTGCGGCCAAAATGTTTGCATGCCTAAGGCTTTAATAAACCCTCCAGAATATTTTCGCCATTTATTCTGATGCCACGGTCGATTAATGCGAGCGTGGAGCGACCATCGGCTGTTATGGCGGCCCACACCATTACCATGGCCGTTGCTAGAGTTCTGGTGGCCAACCGAAGGTGCAGATTTTCAGCTGTTCTCTTTGGCAAGTAAACACGATCATTTTGTTTGTTTACAAACTGCTGGTCAACGAATGTTTCCTCTGCGGAGAAAACCAAATTCGGCAGTTCACCACTTTAGACCAAGCAAAGCAACTCTTTAGCTCTTTTGAATCTATTTTTACTTTATGCTGCGGTGTAAGTTCTTGCACTTTTTGGAATTTCAATGGCTTTACCCCGAGCTCATTTTTCAATATTTGCCAAATGGAATATTGCGATATGTTCAGCTCACGAGCCATTTTTCGGCAACTACGACGCAGTTTTCGATCAAGTCGCTTCTTTACTTTTCGAACCATTTCTACTGTACGAGACACAAAAGATTTATTTACATTTAAATGCTGGAGTGCTCTAAGGATGGCTACTTGTGGTTCTCCAGCTAAATATAAAGAAATTACACTATCACGCTTGAATTCCATCACGAATAACTTTTTTCTGGAAAATGCTCACCAAAATGCTTTTGTACGCTTCTAAACAATATTATGAGCTGTCGCTGGAATAATTTTAACAGCTGTCGGACGAGTGGCTTAGAAATGACTGCAGTCTGAATTTGATTGCAGTTTTTTTGTCTCACCCGATGTACTATAACTGCACGAAAAATACTGAATGGTACTAAATTAAATTATTGGTTGAAGGGATAAGGATGGAATCCTCAAATTTGATATTCAGCTCTCGGTTGGTATCTGGAATTGAGATATGCAGGTGGCTTTGGAAATTTGTACTTTCTTTGGTATTGGGTGAAGGAGTAGAGCTGAAATCCTGAAATGGATGTCACTATTGGTTGGTTTGAACACAAAAATTGGGTGTAAGTCCATTGTGCATGAATTTTGGTGTAAAATGTGAACACAGTCACCTATTATACTCTCCGAAAAGTGAAATTAATGATATATTATATCGTACATAATTGATATAGAGATTTATTTTCTTTAGTAACTTATAGTGAAATTTGATGTAGAATAATTTCACCATTGACGTTATCCTTCTAAAATGATGCTTTCCTGGAAAAATTGGCATAAGCTCCCATAAAGTACGCTTTTAACCCTAAATGTGTTATACATGAATTCCTGGCGTTTAGATAAGATTTACACTTTTCATGTCTTCTGGGACCTATAGTAGAATCTTATGACAAATAAATTTGTAGAAAATTTTGCTAGGCTACAACCAAGTTTAAATGGAGTCTTTAACCATATTCCAAAAAAAAGGACCAAAAAGACCCATTTGTTGACTCGCTTGAAGGTTAAAATATATGACCGAAGTAATCCTTGCATTCTTTACTACAATATTGCCAAAGACAATATGTGCCTAAAATGTAGGGATTCCAAGGAATCTTAATCGGACTATTTCCAAAAGTGTGAAGTGGTTTAGGTTATAATTAACTGTACTACTGCTGTATAACAGTTATAGGTCGTATATAAGCTTGTAATTGTCATGCAAATATTATAAATGTATTATAATTATTATACTGTGACAATCACATATAACTGTTATACAAAATTATAACTGACTGTTATACTGAATTTACAAAAAACAAGATTTTTTCTCCCTCATTTAAATTTGACGATATGACACATTGTAACTCATAACATATAAGTGTTATACAAAGTCATAACTGTAATACTGATAGAAAATTGAAAAATAATTCTAGATTTTTTCTCACTAGGTCGTATATAAACTAATAATTGTCATACAAATATTATCGTTGTATGATAATTGTTTTACTGTCTCAATCTCATATAACTGTTATACTGTTATACAAAATTATAACTGTTATACCGATAGAAAATTTTTCAAAAAAAAACAAGATTTGTTCTCACTCATTTACATTTGACGATATGACACATTGTAACTCATAACATATAACTGTTATACAAAGTCATAACTGTTATACTGATAGAAAATTGAAAAATAATTCTAGATTTTTTCTCACTCACTTATATTCGATGTTATGACACATTATAACTCATAACATATAACTGTTATACCAAGTCATAACTGTTAAACTAATAGAATATTGGGAAGAACTTCTAGATTTTTTTCTTACTCATTTATATTCGATGATATGACACATTATAACTGATTATATATAACTGTTATACTGATAGAAAATTTAAAAAGAATTCTATATTTTTTCTCACTCATTTATATTTGATGATATGAAATAATGATCAACATCTGGGAAATTTTCCTCTCATCATGAAATTTTATTTCCAAACCCCAAACCTCAAATTAAGCAACAACAAAAACGAATTGAAAAATCATAAATATTCTATGACATTATCATAGCCGTCATCATCTCCCTTACATTCATAATTAATTGATCATTGTCGAGATGATCTGTCTCCCATTGTCGTCGTTTTCGTCTCAACATTTCATTGTTAGTCGGAATGTCTGCTCTCTTCCGAATTTCTTACACAATGCCCTGTCATTTTTGATTTATGGGTTCAATGAACTTGCCTTTTATGTAACATGCGATACTGCCTCAAAATCTAAAGAAAGAAATGCATTTCAAATGAAAGGAAAATGGAAATTATTTTCAATATAAAATAGTCACCTCAATTGAGGGAAATTTGCATTTCCAATCATTTTCTTCGACGATACAGAGCACAATATCCTCAAAATAATTTCAATATCCTTATTGAATTGAGGAAACCCTGAATGGAAAGGAAACGAAAACCCAATAACTTTAAAGGCATTTTTCCAAAGTATAACACTTATCCTTAATAACTGCTAAATTTTGAAAACCCAGACATGGACAATTTTGGCAACTATTGCGACTGGTTGGGGGAAGAAGTTCCCCAGCCTCCAGTGATTTACAATTGCACCGTAACATGGTTATTATTTTTATAAGTACCACTTATTTTCCTGTTATACTAATAAAATTTTTCTCTTCTTCTTTTCTTTGCAGCATGAGTCGGTCAGCTCATCAACGCCAACAACAAAAGCTGCAACAACAGCAGCAACAGTTGTTGGCCCAACAAATGGCTGACAACGAGGCAGCCGCTGCTGCGGCCGAAATGTTTGACTATTTTTGTGTGGCCACAACAATGCGTCAAATTCTCGGCCTACATCGTCAGATGTGTGATGTCATTGGTCTACGTCCCGCCCCGCTAAATGAATTCTATCCCAAGCTGAAGGCGAAAGTACGTTCATGGAAAGCCCAGGCGTTGTGGAAGAAATTTGATGCACGTGCCGCCCATAGGGCCTATGCCAAGGGTAATGCCTGCACCGGGACTCGGGTCCTGGTGATAGGTGCTGGCCCGTGTGGCCTTCGAACTGCCATTGAGGCCCAGCTGTTGGGTGCCAAAGTTGTTGTGGTCGAGAAACGTGATCGCATCTCCCGCAACAATGTTCTACATCTGTGGCCTTTTGTCATTACGGATTTACGGAATTTGGGTGCGAAAAAATTCTATGGCAAATTTTGTGCCGGTTCCATAGATCACATATCCATTCGTCAGCTACAATGTATTTTACTTAAAGTAGCCCTGCTTTTGGGTGTAGAAGTCCACGAGGGTGTGTCGTTTGAACGCACCATTGAGCCCAGTGGAGATGGCTGTGGTTGGCGCGCCCAAGTCTCACCCTCAGATCATGCTGTGTCCCATTATGAATTCGATGTCCTCATCGGGGCGGATGGTAAACGTAACACTCTGGAGGGTTTCAAACGCAAAGAGTTCCGCGGCAAATTGGCCATAGCCATTACGGCGAATTTCATCAACAAGAAAACAGAAGCTGAAGCCAAAGCGGAGGAGATCAGCGGTGTGGCGTTTATTTTCAATCAATCATTCTTTAAGGAGCTATACCATACGACGGGTATAGATCTGGAGAATATTGTCTATTACAAGGATGAGACACATTACTTTGTCATGACTGCCAAGAAGCATAGTCTGATCGATAAGGGTGTGATTATACAAGTGAGTATGGCAACACTGGCGTATTACATCCGCTAAGGAAAGTCAAAGAGGTTCTTCCGAAAAAATCTCTAAAATGGCTTCTTGTGGAAGGTCTTTAAAAAGGCTTTTTTAAAACGGTCTGAGAGATCGCAACGGCTCCTTAAGAAGCCCAAAAGGTCTTCCTTAAGAAGGTCATTAAAGGCTTCCTAATAAAGTCCTTAAACGTCTCCTTAAGAGGGTTTCAAAGGACTTACAGATGAAGGCTTTTAATGGGCTCCCTTGAGAAGGCTTCAAAGTCTTCCTAAAGAAGACCTAAAGGGCTTTCTTAAGAAGGTCCGAAACGCTTTCTATAGTAGGCTTCGTGAAGCTTTCCATAGAAGACCTTGGAGGACTTTTCATAGAAGACCTTAAAGAGCTTCCTATAGAAGGCCTCAAAAGACTTTCTATAGAAGACCTTAAAGGCCGAAAGGGCTTGCTGTAGAAGCCCTAATATGTATCCTATAGAAGGCCTTAAAGGGCTGCCTATAGAAGGCCTCGAAAGGCTTCCATAGAAGGTCTCGAAAGGCTTTCTAAAGAAGGCCTAGAAGGCTTCCTTTAGAAGACCTGGAAGGCTTCCTATAGAAGGCCTCAAAAGGCTTTCTAAAGAAGGCCTGGAAGGCTTCCTATAGAAGGCCTCAAAAGGCTTTCTATAGAAGATCTTTTTCTAGAAGGCTTCCAAAGGTCTTCTATAGAAGGTCTGGAAGGCTTCCTATAGAAGATCTAAAAGGCTTTCTATAGGAGGTCTGGAAGGCTTCCTATAGAATACCTGGTAGCCTTCCTATAGAAGACCTGGAAGGCTTCTCATAGAAGGCCTGGAAGGCTTCCCATAGAGACCTGGAAGGTTGTCTATAGAAGACCTGGAAGGCTGCCTATAGAAGACCTAGAAGGCTTCCCATAGATGGCCTGGAAGGCTTCCTGGAAATAAGGTCTTAAAAGGCTTCCCATTGAAGGTCTTGAGTAGCTTTCTATAGAAGGTATGAGAAAAGTCTTAAGACCTTCTGTGACAGTCCATTTAAGGCCTACCAAAGGAAACTTTTACTTCCTTCTACAGGAAGCCCCTTTCCTTTATTTTCAAATATAACCCACTAATTTTCTAAACTCTCTTTCTCGCCCATCTCCCTCCGCCTCACGTAGGACTTTGCCGATCCGGCTGAACTGCTGGCGCCCGTTAATGTCAACACCGAAAAACTGCTCGACTATGCTCGCGAAGCGGCAGAATTTTCAACCAAATATCAAATGCCAAATTTAGAATTTGCCGTCAATCATTATGGCAAACCGGATGTTGCCATGTTTGATTTTACCTCAATGTTTGCGGCGGAGACATCGTGTCGTGTCATTGTGCGACATGGCTTCCGTTTACTGCAATGCCTTGTGGGCGATAGTTTGTTGGAGCCCTTCTGGCCCACAGGTTCGGGTTGTGCTCGTGGATTTCTCTCCAGCATGGATGCGGCATATGCCATCAAATTGTGGTCCAATCCTGCCAACAGTACTTTGGGCGTGCTGGCCCAAAGGGAAAGTATTTATAGGTGAGTGATAACAACAAAAACAAACTTTTCAATTTCAGATTTATTAATAAAATTCCGCTTCAGACTCCTGGGTCAAACGACACCCGAAAATCTGCAACGTGACACCGGCAGTTATACCGTCGATCCAGCCACACGTTATCCCAATCTAAATCGCACATCCGTTAATGTCTGGCAGGTGAAACATTTAATCGACACCGATGATAAATCCATATTGGAACAAACGTTCATGGACACAAATGCCTTACAAGTTACTCAGGTCGATACGCCCGTGCGCAGGAAACGTCGCAGTGGCGGTAAGTTGTTTTGTTTTGTGAGAGATTTTTATTTTGCTTCTTTTACTAATGTTATTTGTCATTTCTCTTCAGATTCCATGCCATTAAGTACTGTCCTGCTGCGCTGGATCTGTGCCCAATTGCATGCCTATGAATTTACCAAGGATCTTAAGGAGGTTTCCGATGTCTTTACCAATGGTAAAGTTTTGTGTGCTCTAATCAATCGGTAAGTTAAAAAGCTTCGCAGTCTGAAAAGCGTTTGAAAGAAATTCAATGGGTTTCTGCTACAAGATAAAGAATCGGACGTTATTTTCGTGTTTTATGACCTTCATTGCTACTCAAAATTTTGTCCCTTCACGGGGGAGGTGCCAGAAGGAGTGGACCGATATATCCCATCTTCATAACAGACCTTGGGTTAATAAAAATATTGTGATGTGTGTAATTTGAAGAGAACCGGATGCTTATTTCGGATTTTATGACCGTTTTGGTTATTCAAGACTTTTGGTTATTCAAAATGTTTACCCTTTGTGGGGGAGGTACAAAAAGGAATGGCCGATCTCTATAACAGATCTTGTATTGATAGACATATCGAGATGTGCCAAGTCGGAATGGAATCGGATGTTAATTTCGCGTTTTATGAGTTTCATGGGTATTCAAAATTTTAACTCTTTGTGGGGGAGGTACCAGAAGAAATGGTGCGATTGCAGTTAATTATTTTCTCTCTGTGCAGTTAATTATTTTCTTTGGAAATTTTGACATTTTGTGGGGCAGGTACCAGAAGGAGTGGGCCGATATTGCCCAGATCCAAACTCGATCTAAGTTTGAAAATAATATTACGATGTACAAAGTTTGGATCAAATCGAATACTCCCTTCGAGGAGTTATCATGCACACTAGCCAGACAGACGGACTTGATTACTGATAGCCGCCAAAGAGGACTAAGGTGGTCATTGTCCTTTTACATCAGAAAATCTATAGATTCCTTGCACTCACAACTAGCGACCTTATCCATTATCCACTATGTATTTTCAACAGGAAGACTAAGATTGGTCACATAGAACAATCAGTCTTTCGGAACAGGACCATTTAAATGCCCAGGTATTAGACTTTACCTAAGAGAAATTCTGGAGGAAAGACTAAACTCAAAAGATCACATTAGCGAAAAAGAAAGCTCACAAATGCTGGTCAATCTGTAGATGGACAACAGTAGGCAGTAGTCTGGTAGACAACAATGGATAAAAAAGGGTAATATTAAAAGATGGATTCAGAGTCTCTCCTCCTCTGGACGCCTTTGAAAAAGGCACCACGAAGAATTGACTTGCTTCTGCTAACCATGTTATTTATCTCGTTAGCATTATTAGGCTCCTCAGCTCAGCTAAGGAGATAAGAGTAGCCTCCTTAGAGACCATAGCGGATGGTTTGAATGTTTCGACACCTTTGAATATTCTTTCCGTCTCATAAAATGCCCAAGTCCAATAAATAGTTTTGGTATTTTTGTCGATAAAAATCCTAATCACAAAACAGGGGTTGTTATACGTTTTGGCCTCATATTTCTATGGTGTGCAATAGGGACAGACCCGTCCGAAATGGTTTCCTTCCTTTTCATTAATTCGGGTGTAATTTAAATGGATTTTTTTTATACCCTACACCACAAGGTGGTCAGGGTATTATGTCTTTGTGCATTTGTTTGTAACAGGCAAAAGGAAACGAGATAGACCCATAGTTCCTTTTGATGATCTGCATAGAATCACATTCTGAGTCGATTTATGCATGTCCGTCTGTCCGTCCGTCTGTCCATGTATTTTTGTAAACAAAGTACACTTCGCATTTATTGCCCTATCCAGATGAAATTTTGCACAAATCATTTGTTTGGCCCAAGGACGAAAGCTATTGAAATTGGAGATAATCGGTCAGAATTTAGATATAGCTCCCATATATATTTTTATCCGATTTCAAATTAATTGTGCACCAAATGGGCAATACAAGTGCGAATTTAACAGGTACAAATGCTTCGGCATATTTAGTCCTTTGAACTTTAAATTATAATTATAATCTGGCTTGTATGATTGAAATCTCCCATAAAAACGTTTAGTAGATATACGGAGCTCTACTAAATAAGCAACCTGGTGTAGGGTATCAGAAAGTCGGCCCCACCCGACTTTAAGACTATCTTTACTGGTTGCAATTTTCAGTCAGTGGAATAAGTTTCCAAATGCACTTTTCCATAAGTCCGCCATGTGCAGATTCTCAGTACAAAGAAATCTTTTCTACAAAAAGTTGTCCAAAAATGAATCCATATTTTAAAACATTCGCATTTGTAATTGCCACGAAGGTTCTAGACATATTCAGCTTTTCGTTTTCTATGGTTTGGCATAACAGATACTCGGTGGATGGGAAACCTCACTGAAAATTTTGACTTTTTTGTTTTAGTAGCTAAGACACATTTTCTGACCAAATCACCTGCATTTTAATCTTCCGGTTCTAAAACAGATTTTTATTGTAAAATGTAGCCATCCCTGGATTCCATGCTTTTTTTTAATTTTTTCTAACCTCAATTTTTTTTTCTAACCTTAAAAATTTTTGACAGTTTTAGTAGCTAAGACACATTCTCTGGCCAAATCACCTACAGTTAGATTTTCCGGCTCTCAAACAGATTTTTATTGCAAATTGCTGCCATCCCTGGATTCCATGTTTTTTTTTTTTAATTTTTTCTAACCTCAAATATTTTCTGGTTTCAAAACTTCGAATTTCGCTATGATATTTAATAATTTATATAAAATTTTCTTATCTACTCTTCCAGTTATCGTCCCGATCTAGTCGACTTCAATGCAATCAAAGATTTAAGCCCCATCGAAATGAATGATCTCGCCTTTAAAATACTCGACAAAGAGTTGCATATACCCCGCATAATGACGGGCAAAGATTCCATACAGCTGAACAATGTCGAATCGAAAGTATGGCTTAGCTATTTGGAACAAATCTGTGAAGTATTTCGCGGTGAAATACCACATGTTAAACATCCGAAAATCGATTTTAGTGATTTACGTGAAAAATATCGTATCAATTATACAAATGTACAACCGGACTTTTCCAAATTGCTGCAAATGTCGAGTAATAAGCAGAAATCAAAATCGCCCATACAAGGCGATGCTGTTGATGTGCCACAAGGAGGAGGAGCGGCGGCGGCATCATCGTCGACGGTGCAAAGACGTTCCGTCTTGGATGAGGAGAAATTGAAACGTCAACGTAGACATGAACTACTATTGGCATCGGGTAATAATGCCGCCGCTGCTGCTGCGGCTGGAGGTGCAGGAAATATAGGTAAGGACGGAAGGGATGTTTTTTTGTTTTTATAAATGTATGGAATTTAATTTTGGTTTTCTCCTCTTCTTTTCCGCAGCACAAACCGATACTCCTCGCCGTGCCAAAAAACGCCGCAGTGCCGAAAAGGCTGCCAATATTGTAAGTTGCTTTTCGGGCTTCATCATTAATGTGTTGGCCCATTTAAAATGCCATCGAAATTGAAAAGTGATCAAAGTTTTTTTAAAAAAAAAAAAAAAAACAAAATATGTTGAACATATATTTAATTTGTAAATATTCCAACTGATCTCAGAGATCACTTTTCAAAACCCACACTGAAATTTTCTTGTACAGAACAAAATTGCCATTGTTTTTTTTTTTCCATATCATTACCTATTACTACAATTATTATTAGTTTGTCATGAAATTTTATTATAAATCTTATAAAGGTTCATTTCATAATAAATCATTATCATGAAAATACACATGTTTTGGGTCATGACATCATAACCACAACAACCACCACCACCACCACTACTACCTCTTCCAATGCATCAAACAGTTGTTGTTTACATCAACAGGTATTTCAGTTTTGTCATCTCTTGTTTGTCCAAAAAACATAAATCCATAGTTTTGTCTACATCCCCTATCCCCCACAACCATGTGTCATGTGTATTTGTCTAAACCCTAACCCCCAGCTGAAATATGAAATGGAAATATCTTCCTTAAATGTTAACATTTTTAAAACCAAATTCGAAATATCACTATCGGCTAGATGCTAGTTTTAGAAGAACATATTAATTAAAAAAACTAAAATTCCCCAATCTCATCACACACAAACAAAAATCAACAACCCAACCAACCACAGGAGGAACGTCAAAAGCGTTTACAGGAAATCGAACAAAATCGCCAGGATCGCATGAGCAAACGACGTCAACAACGCTATCAACAGACCCAAAACTTTTACAAATCCCTACACATGTTGCAGGCCAACATCTTGCTGCGTGAAGCCGATGAGAACACCCCATTTGAGGATTATTCCATATTTATGTATCGCCAACAGGCACCGGAATTTAATGATCGTGTCAAAGAGCTGGAACGCAAGCTGTTGTATCCCGTAAGCGAGTTGTGATCATGAAGCATGATGTTGAATATTGTTATCTGACGTTAATGTTGTTGTTCTCGTTGTCGTTGTTGTGTGCAAAAAAGTATCCTACGGCTGCTGCTGATATCTGCTTCTTCCTTCTATCGCCCACTCACACACAAAAACCACATTCTTCCTCTCTGATGCTGCTGCTGATGATGATGATTAATCCACTGTGTTTTTTTTTTTTTGGTGGAAGAATTTATCTGAAATAATTAATTTGCCATTTGTTTATTGTTCCCGAACACTACACAAGCAAATGCTGCCTTCTAACCACAACATGTTTAAATAGTTTTAACCAAAAAAAAAAAATAATAAACAAAAATGCTTCACGTTTTCTTGTTGTTCTAACAAATGTTTTGACTAACAAAATTCGGCAAAGAAGATTTTTAAAGGAATTATGAAAAATTATTAGTTCCAAAAATCAGACTAAGATCGCACAGAAAAATAAATAGATAGGAAGAGTAGTGAATAATATTATTTATTACGAAATTTAAAAAAAAAAATCTTTTCGTTGATGTATCCTAAAAAGACGGGAAAATATTCCCCCTTTTGTAATTTTTTTTCTAAATATTTGGTATCAGATGTCCCGTAACTGTGATATTTTAAGTATATAATGTAATTGGCAATACTAGGGATCACCCTCTGAGAAACGTATTTACACCCTACACCACAAGGTGGTCAGGGTATTATGTCTTTGTGCATTTGTTTGTAACAGGCAAAGGGAAACGATATTGAACTATGGTTCCTTTTGATGATCTGCATAGAATCACATTCTTAGTCGATTTATGCGCGTCTGTCCATGTATTTTTGTAAACAAAGTGTAGGTGGCATCTATTGGCCGATCCTGATGAAATGTTGGACAAATATGTTGCTTAACCCAATGATGAACCCTTTTGATATTGGAGATAATCTGTAAAAATTTAGATATGGCTCCCATGTCCGATTTGCCTTTCATTGGGCACCAAACGTGTAATATCAGTATGGAATTTTGCACATACGACCATATTAGGCCTAAAAATAAGTATGACAAATTTGATTGAAATCGGTTTAGATATAGCTATAGCTCCCATATATACTGTTCCTCCGATTTGTTATTTTTGTCGTCCGCAGCCGTTATATGCACTCTGCAACAACGATATTTAAGGGAAATATATCAAATGTAGCTCAGAAATACCTTTGCTAAATTTTATCGAGATCGGTTCAAATTTGGATACAGCTTTCATATATATCTTCGTCGGATTTGCTGTTTATTATGCACCAAACGTGTAATTTTAGCCCAAATGGGATGAAATTTGGCACTTACGACAAAATTGAGTCTAGAAACAAGTATTTCAAATTTCGGTTCTGATATAAGTATATCTCCCATATACAGGGTGACATAAAAAAACTCCAACAAAGTCAAACGCCATAATTTTTACATTTTTTTTAATTTTATTGAATGAAAGAAAAAAAAAAAGGTCGGAAATAGCATCAAATTTTAGAATAAGTTTAGATTTGTTCAAATTGGTCGCCTTTGGCATGAATTATGGCCTTCAAACGGTCAATGAAACCGGCTGCCCGAATGTTGCTCTGCGGTATTTTTGCCCATTTCCGGCGAAGCCCTTCCTTGAAGTGATCAACACGGTGGTATTTTTTAGTGCCAACCTTGCTTTTTAAAATACTCCAGACACAATAGTCCAACGGATTGGTATCCGGAGATTTCGGTGGCCATTGTGCACTGGAAATGAAGCGAGGAACCTCATTTTTTAACTTGTGTCCTGTTGGAATGTCCAAGGTCTGTGGCCAAAATGTTTGCGTGCCAAAGACGGCTTTAATACACCCTTCAGAATATTTTCGCGATAATATTCGGCATTTATTCAGATGCCAAAGTCGATTAATACGAGCGGAGAGCGACCATCGGCTGCTATGGCGCCCCCACACCATCACCATGGCCGGTGCTTGAGTTCTGGTGGCCAACCGAAGTCGGTGCACATTTTCAGCTGACCTCTTTGGCAAGTAAACACGATCACTTTTGTTTTTTTACAAACTGCTGGACAACGAATGTTTTCCCATCGGAGACGGAGAAAACCAAATTCGGCAGTTCACCACTTTCGGCCAAGTGAAGCAACTCTTTAGCTCTTTTGAGTCTATTTTCTTTCTGTTGCGGTGCCCGAGCTCATTTTTCAATATTTGCCGAATGGAATATTGCGATACGTTCAGCTCACGAGCCCTTTTTCGGCCACTGCGACGCGGTGGTGGTTTCGATCAAGTCGCTTCTTAACGTTTTGAACCATTTCTGCTGATGTTGCTGTTATCTTCCGTCCACGTCCACTTCCTTGACGTCGGGCTACACGAAGCACAAAAGATGTATTCACATTTAAATGCTGGAGTGCTTTTACGATAGCCATTTGTGGTTTTCCAGCCAAATATAAATAAATCACACTATCACGCTTGAATTCCATCACGAATAACTTTTTTTTCTGGAAAATTCTAACCAAAATGCTTTTGTACGCTTGTAAACAATATAATGGGCTGTCACTGGAATAATTTTAACAGATGTCGGACGAGTGGCATAGCAGTCTGAAGTTGGTTGCTGTTTTTTCTACTCACCCTGTACAGAGGTGAGCTTCAACTCTAGATTATTGAATGAGAGTCTTGGCCCGTCAACTAAATTCCTTTTTTAAAACGGGACTTACGTAGACTCCATTGAGTTTCTACAGCCAGCTCCTGCCTATCGTATACCATTGCTGACGGTTTTACTCAGGGATCTCTTGTCAATTTTCTGTAATTTAACTTCAAGTCCATTAGCACTACTTCTAGGTCTAAAAAGGTTGTCAATCGCCCACAACAGTTTTGGTCAGCTATTCAATTGTTCTAAGAGGGTTGACTAGCCTTACTGAGTCAATTTTTACACGTCAAGTAGTACATGTGATATTAATCCTTCCCAGGCCAAGTATAGTTTGGATCAGGATTCTTAAGCTCCGAAACTTGTATAAGGCCTTTCTCCTATCTGGCCGTAATTTCAGAGATGAAAACAACTTCTAGCTTAATCCTCTCCCAAAGTAGAAGGAAAAATAATCAGGCTCCTTCGACTACCATGCATTGCACATGCATTGATATTGTCACTAGGATAACTGGTATTGAAAATAAATTTATATCGGCTTAGGTTTAACAATAGCTCACATAAAACGATGCCTCCTGATTGAGTTTTAGAGCCAGAATTCAGTCAAATCAGCTGTAATTTTACATTTCGGTTTCTTTGTGGGTAAATTAACTCATATCAAAAAGTATTCAATAAAGGTGGGATTTCCGGCCGATTTGATCATAAGTCAAGTTTTTACATGGTGAATGGTTTAAAAAGCTCGGCCAGGCGGAAATTTACTTGCTATACCCAAAAGAGAAGAAGTTGACCTATTGGACTGTTTTTTTTTCAGATTCTGATTTAAAAATTAAATTTATATTTGATCGTGGCTCAAGAAGCAGCACCGTAGTTATTTTGTTGTTGCAGAATAGTCAGGCTTAATCCCATTATTATTGTTTTTATAAAAAAAGCGATGATTTATTTGTGGAGAAAAATTTTAATTTTTACCAAATGTAAGGTCAGAAAAAGGCCACCAATTCTGTGGCCCTTTCGGAAACCTATCGTATTCCTTGTTAACCGCTACCATTTTCTCCTAATGCACATTAAGTTATGGCGAAAATTTACGTAAGAAAAATTTTCTCCAGATTACATTAGGCAATTATAATAGCCTCCAATGCCTTTCTTAATGAAATAAAGAGGAAACAGTTCCACAGTAAAGCTAGTTGCTAAAAAAGTTCATACTTCCTCCAATGCTTTTAAAATTATAAGAGAAAAACAAACAAAAAAAATGTTTGACTAATACACAAAATTGTTGTTTTCACTTAAAGTTTTTTTTTTCAAAACTACTTTTGTTCTTTATGTTATTTAAGTGTTTAATTTTACGTAAATTTATTTTCATTTAACTTTAATTTAATTAATTATTTGTTTTCTCCAATTTTTTTCCCTAACACTTTTCCAACTTATTATTTTCAAAATCATTAAAATTGTTACTTACTACATAACCTCAACACTGAAACCTATTTGTTTTTTTTTTCTTAACATTTGAAAATCCTAAAAACTAAAATACGAAAATTTCCTAATTGAAAAACAATTCCTTTCTTGCCTTTTTCCAAATGTTTTTTTTTTATTCCTCCATTTATTCCAAATTTTGTACAATCTCCTACATCACATCAACAAACACACACTCACATCTCGGAATGCCTTGAAATTTATTGAAACATCCACATTACAACAAACCCTCCTCCATACACAACTGTTACCTCCTGCAATGGATAAAAAAATGACCATGATCCCCTGAATCCCTTATCCACCTACCGTGCCATTACTACCACCACCACCACCCATACCCATAGGATCGTGAACGTAGCGACATACCCTCAGCTGTGCCCCGCTCCAATGCCGATGAACAATTCAGTGATCGCATTAAATCCATGGAACAACGTATCACCTCCTCGTTCCGAGGCAATGATAAAAAACCCAAAGATTTAATGCGGGCCATTGGAAAAATCGACAGCAACGATTGGAATGTACGAGAAATCGAAAAGAAAATTGAACAGTCCAAGAAGACGGAGGTGCATGGCCCCAAGGGCAGGGAAAAGGTACCGAAATGGAGTCGCGAACAATTCCAGGCACGCCAACACAAAATGGCCAAGCCAACGCGACAAGATTCGGCTGAGGAAAAATTCAAAGAAATCGATCAGACTTTGAAGATACTCGACAAACAGCTGAAGGAGGGTAATGTCCTGGAACCGGGTAAAGTTGCCTCCATCGCCGGGCAATTTGTGAAACGTGATGTCAGCGAAGAAAAGAATGCCCCACCCCCAAGCAATACTGCAACGAAATCTGTGAGTACTAGTCGTTAGTTCAAACGGGGGAAGAGGTACCCCGCCCTCAAGGTCTCTTCATGGCCAAATATCCCACCTTTTTAACGCAATGCACACATAAACACACACACATATGCTTTATTATTTTTTAATTTAATTTTTATATACATTTTTATTTATTTATTTTTAAATATTCTTTTGATTTTATTTTAATTTTCAAAAATTGCAAAATTCAAAACTGGGAAGCATTTTCATTTTCCTCACCTTCTACATCATGCTTTGCTTCTTTGAAAACTCTTGTAGTATAAGCATCTTGCATTTCAACCAACACTCATAAAAAATCTAGGAAGTATTCTCCACAAATCCTACTCATGAAAAAAAAAATGATTTAAAAAAATTAAAAATCAAATATTAAATTCTAGGAATTCTTTTCTTTCGCAACCTCAAAATGTTTATTTAATATTAATTTTTAATTTTTTTTCCTTCCAAATTGTCATTTCTAATCCCCCCTCCCCCTCAGAGCACCAAAGTGGCCTTGGCTTTTAAGAAACAAGCTGCATCGGAAAAATGCCATTTCTGCCGTCAAACCGTCTATCTCATGGAGAAACTACAAACGGAGAATTTGATAATGCATCGTGGCTGTCTGAAGTGTCATCATTGTCATACCAATTTACGTTTGGGTGCCTACGCCTTTGATCGTGACGATCCCAATGGGCGTTTCTATTGCACGCAGCATTTTAGGCTGCCAGCCAAGCCAACGAGGCCAGTGGTACGCAAACCAGGTCAAAGGGTAAGTATTTATGAGTCTTTTTTAGAAATTGATAACATAACCTTAATTATTTATAACCTCCAGGATCCTGGGAATTTTGAGGCGTTTTTTTAGCATTTCAATTATTAATATCTTGGAAGTAGAATGGAGTTCATCATCTCCCGTACTTTGCAGGGACACATTGGTATAATATTTTGGAAATGTTTTTGCAAATGTTTGTACCCTTCACCTCACATAGTATGGAGGGTATATTAAGTTCGACATTCCATTTGTAACTCATCGAAATAATCATTTTAGGCATAACAATATATATATATATATATATATATATATATATATATATATATATATATATATATATATATATATATATATATATATATATATATATATATATATATATATATATATATATATATATATATATATATATATATATATATATATATATATATATATATTCTTGAACAGCGTAATCAGAATCAGGCGATTTAGCCCTGTCCTTCCTCCGTCCGTCTGTTGTAATCATGCAAGAGTCAAAACAAATAAAGATAGGAAGCTAAAATGCAGGCTGGTCAAGTTCGACGACAGGCCATATCGGTCCCCATACAACGGTACCATCTGATATTCGGTATTTTGATAATTTTAGCCACATTTTCCTATGGAATTGTCGGAGAATCCACACAAGGAGTTACTTCTGAGTACATTACCCTCTGGAAGAGAATCGTTTATATAGGTCCACGTTGTCGTATTGCTCATACAACGGTACCCCCTGATTTCGGTATTTTGATGATTTCAGCCAGATTTTCCAATGGAATTGCCCGAAAATCCACACAAGGAGTTTTTTCTGGGCGGCTATCGTATAGCACCCATACAATGGTACTCCCCGATTTCGGTATTTTGATGATTTCAGCCAGATTTTCCAATGGAATTGCCCGAAAATCCACACAAGTAGTTCTTTCTGAGTTCTTTACCTTCTGGAAGAGAATTGTTCATATAGGTCCACGATATCGTATAGCCGCCATACAACGGTACCCCCGATATTCGGTATTTTGGTGATTTTAGCCAGATTTTCCAATGGAATTACCCGAAAATCCACACAAGGAGTTCTTTCTAAGTAATTTACCCTCTGGAAGAGAATTTATTACGGTACCTCCCTATATTCGGTCTTTTGATGATTGTAGCCAAAATTTTCAACAAAATTGTCTGAAAATCCACATAAGAATTTCCTTCTGAGTACTTCATCCCCTGGAAGATTATTGTCTAGATAGGTTCACGATATCGTTTATCCCCAATATAACGGTACCTCCCTATATTCGGTATTTTGATGATTTTAGCAACATTTTTCAGTGGAATTGTCTAATACTAGAAGTTCTATCCAAGCACTTTACTCCCTGAAATAAAAATATCTATATAGGTTCAAGATATCGTATAGCCCACACACAACGGAGCCCTCCGATATTAGATATTTGACAATTTTGGGGTCGTTATTCACCGGAGTTGTTTGAAATTACGTACCTAGAATTCGTAATGGGTACTATAGCCTATGACAAAAAATTGCTTATGCAGACCCATGTCTTCGTATAGTCTCCATATAGAGGTACCTCCTAGGTACTTTGATGATTTTAGCAACATTTTTCAATGGAGTTGTTTCAAATTTCGAATTTAGAGTTCGTAATGTGAACTACAGTATATGACACAAAATTGTCTATGCAGGTCCAGGACTTCGTATAGGCCCCATATATCAGTACCCCTCCCTATATTCAGTATTTTAATGATTTTAGTTACATTATTCACCGGATTTGTTTTTTGCAAGTTTCGTATATTGTAATGGCTTATGAAAAAAGTTACCTGTGCAGAACCACGTCTTCATATAGACCCCAATATAACAGCTATATTCGGTATTTTTAAGATTTTAACAGAATTTTTGGAAAATGTTATTTATTTATTTATTTTTTTTTTGAAAATTTCTAAATTCGTTCCAAATGATGGAGGGTATTCCAAGTTTGGCCCGCCGAAATTACTGCTTTTTTACTTGTTTTAAAATATTTTCTCGAGGACTACCGGAGGTACAAGCGAGTTAAAATTAGAGAATTTTTGAAAAACCTTTTCTTGAGGCCTGTCACAGATATAAACGTGGATAATTTGCCTTGAGTTATGGTTATTCGAACTTTTGACCCTTTATGGGGGAGGTTCCGAAGCAATTGGCCAATATTGACCAACTAGTATCTGACCTAAGACTGATATAATATCACAATTTGTCAGATTTGGACTATATCGACTACTTCCTTCACTTTATATGAGTTATGTGCAAAATTTTGGAAAATGTGGAAATGTGCGTAAGATAACAGATATAGCGGACCGAAGTATACCATACAGATAAAAATATTCGTATGTGCAAAATTTAAAAGAAATATATCCAATTTTATCCATATTTTGGGTTGACAAAAATATTTGGATTTGTGAAATTTGAAGTGAGAGCGAGAGAGAGAGAGAGGATGCTTATTTCGCTTTCTTTGAGCATTTTGTGTTTCAAAATTCTTGAACCCTATGTGGGGGAGGTACCAGAAGAAATGGTCCGATCTGCACCATCTGTATAACAGATCTTGCGTTGATGAAAATATAGAGATATACCAAGTCTGAATGGAATCGGATGTTATTTTCCCGTTTTATGAGCCTCATGAATATTAAAAATTTTGTCAATTTTTGTGGTGGATATACCAGAAGGAGTGTACCGATATATTCCTACTTCATACCAGACCTTTAGTTAATAAAACTATTGTGATATGTTTAATTTGAAGAGAACCGGATGCTTATTTCGGATTTTATAATCGTTTTTGTTATTCGAAACGTCGACCCTTTGTGAGAGAGGTACCAGAAGGAATGGTCCAATCTCTACCATCTTTATAACATATCTTGTGTCGGAAGTCGGAATGGAATCGGATGTTAATTTCGCCTTTTATGAGCTTCATGAATATTTGCCCATCTCCGAACTCGAGCTAAGTTTGACAATAATATTAGGATTTTGGATCAATCGATTTGGAGAGTTATCGTGCGCACCAGCCAGCCAGACAGACAGACGGATCGACGGACATCGCTAGATCGACTCCAAATGACCTGAAACGGATTTGGTCCAAAGAGACCTAGGGTCTAAAACCGTTATTTCGATGAGGCACGTATTGGCCGTATCAAATGATATATACCCTCTGTAGCCATATGACTGAGAGTATAACAATCGCGGGGTCTATCAAACTAGTAAAGACATAATTTTTAAAAATATATTGTTACGAGGATTATCGTTGACAACCTGGTTTCAAGTTCCTCCTCCAATACCTTGTGGGGATCCCTGCCAACAAATTTGATGTTAAATTTAACGCTCAGAAAAAACTATTGATTGACTGAACTCCGCCGTTGGCCAATGGGCAATATCCCATCATCGGATGTAATGAAATTCGGAGATGTCCTCCAAAAGTCTAATGTATAGAAAGCTCTTCTGACCCAGAACAAAGCCACACTCTTCTCCAAAAGATGAGACAGAGTTGGGATATTAACGTTATGTCTACAAAATATTAAAAATTGGGATTCATTGGGTGGGTATATATATGAACAGGGAGTTATGTTTGCAATTTTTTACAATTTGATTTTACGCCTCATGGGTATTACAAGTACACCTCCTTATGTTCGGAACCATTAAAATACATTATTATTTTTTTCTCTTTAAACGTCTATTCCCGTGGTTGCCGATTTCTCATAAGTTTGGTTCGCCATCCATAAGATATGTTGAAATGGTGGAGATGTGTTCCGTCATGCCAAAGTCCGCTACTACCACAGTAGGAGGTGCCTTGAATATTTTGCACGATCTGCTAAAACTAAGAATACTGGAGGCTAACTTTCAGTACGAGAAGGTGGGGACCAAAGACCTCTATGAATGACTAGTTTGGGCCATCAGGCTTTCACCTTGTCAATTTTGAAATCATTTGTACTTGATCATTTTCTTCCTGGAATTTTAGGTTCTCATGGTGCACCGTAGACGTACTTTAGTATCAAAAAAATCAAATAAAAATATTATTTTACTGAATCCTGCATATTTATACTCCCCTAAATTGGTCCATATTTTGCTTTACTATAGATAGGCGTTAACTTTTTTTGGGAGCGATTAAGATTTCCCTTTTTTTTCTTTTTTAAAAAATCAAGTTTTTCTATTCCTGGAGGATATAAGAATTCCATTCTAAGCCAACTTAACTCATTTTTACCTTCTGTATTAATCTTCTCCTTTTATTTTCAGAAATCATCTGGCCATCCCAACGAACAAGCCGCAGCAGCAGCTGCTGCCTCCGCAGTCTCTGCAGAAAATCGCCTTAAGGTCGAACAAGATTTGGCACTTAACAGCGAATCAGGCGAGGAGCCTAAGACACCGGAAAAACGTGGCCCAGTCGATAATGTTAGTAAAATGGAATTATTGGAGCGCGGTCAAACCCCCGAGCGTATTGAATTTGAAAATACCGATGCCATGTCGGATGGTGAACCCTCGGAAGAACATATTATCGATGAACATGAATGGTCGGGCCGGAATTTCTTACCAGAATCTAATAATGATTCTGAATCAGATTTAACAAGTTCTGATGAATCTGATACAGACTCAGAATCAGATATGTTTGAAGAGGCCAATGATTCGCCATTGGGGGCGCAGACCCTGCAGCTTGCCTCCGAATGGATTGGTAAACAGAATTACACGGACAGTGATGATTCGGATGATTTTTATGATTCGAGTGAGGGATTGGCGGGTAAGTGGGATAGTTTGAAGGGATTTGAGATTTATATTAAAAAATATATTTTTGTTTCTTTCCTTTTAGATGATGGCAAAGATGACACGGAGGGCGAGGAGTTTGCCAAGGCCCGTGAGCTGAGACGTGAGGAGGTTCGTTTACCTCCCCTGCCGCCCAATTTGCCAACAGACACCGAAACTGAGGTAAGTGTAGACTTCAATTTTATTCTGGATTTTATTTTGGGAATTTTTAATTTTAATCAAGCCTTTCTTTCTTTAATTATACTTTATGCACACACACACATACATACACACCACAACAACTACTCAATTATCCTTGATCTCCATTTATCCCTTTATTTCTCTTATTAATTTCATGTAAATGGTGTTGGTTTCCTTTTATTAATTTTGTGAAAAAATTATATTAAAAAAAAAACAATTTAGAATAAATCTTTAAATGAAACAAACGAAAATGAAACAACGATCAAGGACAAGGAAAACAATGAAATTAATACTCAGAAATCTGAAGAAAAGGATACAACTTCATTGGGTGTTGAGGGTGAAAATTCAAAGGATAACAACTCGAATGTAACAAACAAATCTCAGAACAACGAAGGCAATTTGCTAGAAGTTGTACCAGATCTTATTAAACGTAAGGATTCCGCTGGATCAGATCCTGAGTCCTTCAAGTCCACAACCTCATCTATAATTATGCCCCTGAATAATGGTTTGGATTCGAGTCCAGTGAAAACAACCAAAGCCGATATTGAAAAGCTGGAACAAAATTCCGATAGCAAGTTGAGCAAAGAAATCGATGCCATTAGTGCCAAACTTTATAATTTAAGTAATGTGGTCAAGATGAACAAGGATCTGGATACCATAGCCAAGGAGAACATGATTCAAAGTGATATCCTCAAGAAGTTAAGTATGAAAGAAAAATGGCTGGCCGAAAATAAGGCAAGTGAAAAGAATCCGGCCGAGGGTAAAAATAAATTTGAGGAAAAATTGAATAAATTCAAAGATGATTTGGCGGCCAAGGCAAAGTTCCTGGAACAGCAAACAACAGCATCATCGGCGACAGCAAATCAAACAAATCCCTATGCCCCCAAATCACAATTTAAGGATGTGTTAAAGAAGCCGGGGGATAATAAAACTGAACTGGAAAATAAGCTGCCAGAGAAGGGACCCCAAAAACCGGCCATGGATAGTCGGGAGGTATTGGCCCAAATCAAGGAGTTAATTAACAAAGAAAATGAACAACTAAAGGCCAACAACAAGAAACCCCTGAGTCGGACAAACAGTCTAAAGGGGAGTAACTCAGCCAACAAAAGTCCCCAACTCCCAAAGTCCACAAAATCTTCGGCCGATGTCAATACCAAAATGGAAATTGAAAATATTCTGGGTATTGTTAAAAACATTGAAATCTCCAAGACGACACCACAAAAGGCCAAGGAACCGCATCAAGATGAAACGTCCAAGGATATGGGCAAAATGTTGTATAAAATCGAAACGAAATTCTCACCCAAACCCAATCGTCGTCTAACGGAAAAACTCAAAGAAATCGAGACAAAAAACTTCTCGGGCACCCTGGATAGCATTAAATCGCAAATGGAAACACCCACAATAAGTACCCAACATGTACCGGCCAATGTAGATCTCTCGAAATATTTTCCAAATCAACAACAGCGCAAAGATTCCACCAGCAATGTTAATAAAAATCAAAAATCTCTGCAAGAGGTGGATCTATCGAAATATTTCCCCACCAGTCCGGCGCCACAGAGGCGTAGTTCTGTGGTAACCGTGGCCGATAGACTGAAGAAGAGTCAAACCGAAAAGGCTTTGGATAGTAAGGCAAATAAACCCAGTGCTCCCAAAAGACAGGCCTCCATGACTTCGGGAACTTCGGGTAAGGATTTTAGTTTGAAAGATAATCAAATGGATGGGGCGGTGGATATTGAGAAAATGAAAGCCAAGGTGGTTGCTACGGCAAATGTAAGTACCAAACCCAAGGTAGGAGGGGTTGCCGCCTCCACCACAATGACAACAACAGCGCCTGCTACAAAAACCATAACCACCACCACTGCCACAGCAGTGGCCACTCCGGGAAAAAAGGGGAAGAATGTAAAAATTATCAAAAAAATTGTGCGCAAGGGGTCTCTTAAGAAAACCCCAGCCGCCAAAAAATCGCTAATTCCCCGCGATGAAGATGATTTGATTTTAGATGAAATCCTGCACAGCGATGAAATGCGTTCCCCCAGCTTAGAATATCAACAGCTCTTCCAAGAGGAACGCTCCCCCAGTGATGATCTTTCCGACAAAATTGAACATATACTCGAAGAGACCGGCATTGATTTGGGTCTGAAGAAAAAATCCTCCTCCTCACCTTCAACGAATCGTAAAAAACTACTCAAAGCCAAATCCTTTGGCGAAGGTGAATTGCCACTGCAACGCAAGAACAGTATGCTGGGCAATAAAGATGTTCGCCAATCCCCAAACAAGGAAGAGGGTGATTTACCCAGTGGGGTCCAGAACATACTGAAACGTTTTGAGTCCATGAGTTCGGTACCAAACTCCTCGGAACCAAATTTCAAATTGCGACGCATGGAATCCACCACCAGTAATTTGAATAAATCCAAAGAATCCATTGTCTCCCGGGAATCGGATAGTTTTAGTGATTTGGAAAAGACCATGGAATATTTGAAATCGGAATGGCGTAATGAGGCCACGAATTTTTTGCAAAAGAAACGTTCCGATTTCCAAAAGACCCACACCATACACAAGAATCCCACCAAGGCAGAAGTGGAAGTGGCCACAACAAATGGTCCCGACCACAATGTCTTTAGCAATTCGAAATATGCCAAATTCTTTGGTTTCAAACAAAAAAGTCCCGAGAGGGCCAAAGTACAGCTCAAAACTCCCCAGCGAAAGGTGGACAAGTCACCGGAGAAACGTAAATCGCCGTTGAAAAAGAAGTTGCATAAATCACCGGAAAAGAAAATCAAGAAACCCTCGCCCTCACCTCCCAAGGAAATGGTCAAAAAGACGGCGCCACAAAAGCCCATTGTTTATGCTTCCCTGGAGGAGTTGGCCTTGATTCGGGTTAGTGAGGATTTGAGCAAGACAAAGGAGATGGCACAGGAGGTTAACAAAGATACTAAAGCAAATGCAGGAGATAATTTAAGGGGAACACTAGGAAATAAGGAAAATATGGAAGAGGTGGATTCCAAAGCCTCAAAGGAAAATATTCAATCCCTTAACTCGCCATTAAATAAGGATGAGGAGAAGGATACTTTTTCCCCTAAAGAGCAAGAAAAATCGAAATCCCAATCCATTACTCCCCCCGAACCTGCTACAAAAGCTACATCAGATTCCATGATGTCCTCCCATCAAAATAATGAAAATCAAACCCCAACCCTTGTGGATGCGGGAACACCTGGAAACAGACCCTACAAGCAATCAATTAGTATTGAACTAAAACCACCTGCATCGAACAACGGAGAAAATGAATCAGCTCCGACAACAAAACCCGGTCTCAAAAGTAATTCCATTAATTTTGAATTGAAAACAGCAGGAGATTCACAAACTTCCCCCACCACCACCAACTCCTTCAACGAAGAAGCAACTCAAAATGAAAACCCCAACAACAGCATGCATTCAAAACCCCATCTAGCCTCTGTCGCTTTGAGCAAAAATGAAACACAAAATATTGATTTGAAACCGACGGCAGAGGCAATAGTCTCCTCCTCCTCCTCCTCCCCCACAGAAGTGGCTGTGACACCACCCAAACGGCCTTTGGTCGAAGATATACGAAATTTACCCAAAACCGGTTGTGATAAATCCCTAAGTGGTTCTCGACGTAGCTCTTTGGCCAGTCTACAGTCACGCCGGCAATCCAATGTCTCCATGGGTGGAGAAATAACCATTGATAATTTAGATTCCCTATTGGATCCCTCCGATTTACTTGAGGACAAATCAATTTTACTCAATGAACACTACGATGAGGATTCGCTGTGCACCTCGATAAGCAAAAGTCCCAGTGTGGCACCCATAACCGTACAAATGCGTGGCTCCTCGGAAGATGATAGCATAGATAATTTATTCAGTCAATTTTCCGATGAAATGTTGGTCAATGTGGAATTCGATTCCAATGATGAGTTGATTGAAATAATTCCCGTCAATGAGGAGATACCCTTGGACACGGTTAAAACTCCACCTCGGCTTGATGTACCTTTACAACTACCTCGCAGTGATAATAACTTCCCCTGCCGTCCAAAACGTAGGCAAAAGAGTAAATCATCATCCAGTGATTCTACACCACCCTTGGCGCCACAACGTCTCAAGAAGAAGTTATCCAAATTGTCGCCCACAAATATGCCACCCTCGGTACAGGAGGTTATGCAGGTGGTGTGTAAATCCAGGGAAATGGAACCTGAAAAGCCTCTGGAGGCCAACAAGCCTTTAAGATTCCCTCGACTCATTGATGAGGATGAGGTTTTGATCGAAGACTCTCCCATTGCCAGTAAATTATTTACCCATGATATTTACAACAAGGATCCCAGCATAACGAAAATCTCTGGATCCAGAGGATCCCTGGCGGTAGAGGAGGAGAACACTCCCAGCACACATCAGGTGCCTAGCATACAAATCTCGGCCAACATTGTAAATGATGGCTTTGGTTATGGGCCCAATAGACAACCGGAAAATGTCACCGAATTTACCAAGGTTTTGAAACCCATTGAAAAGGAAGTTCCCGAAGAAACTGTGGAGGATCAAATTGACACTGTGAACAAAGAGCTGCCAAATGATGAGAAAAATAACGACCTCAAGGCCAAGGCACCCTCATTGGAATGGAACATGGAAATGTTACCCAACAGTCCCATGCCCAAACACAAAACCTTGCCAAAACATTTACAAAAACCCGATTCCATGGAAAGTCTGACGGAGACAGAAAAAACCTCCGATTGGAATATGGAAATGTTGCCACGTAGTCCAATGCCACAGAGGAAATTTAAGGAGGAGCTCAAAGAAAATCCACCCCGGGAAAAGGAGGAGAAAACGCCTAGAAGAGATTCCAATTCTTTGCTAAAGGAGAAATCACCCACATCCTCCATAAAACTGCTGAATACCATTGATCTGAGCACCGAGGGTTCGGAGAAACGATTAATTGAGGAATTTGAGTTGGAGCGGCGCCAGGCCTTGATACAACGTGACAAGGATTACAATGTCAATGAAAAACCCATTGAAATGAAACCACCCCGCAAGGGTAGTGGGTCAAGTAGTGGCAGTGGAAATTCCCCAAAGACAGCAACTCCAATTAACTCTTCATCCTTTATGCCCAAACAAAGTCCACGCGGCTCAAGGCGCAGTTCAGTGCAAAGTTCCACCGGCAATCGTGGTGGTACACCACCCATGACCAAACCCCTGGAAATACCCTCCCCTGCACAGACGGAACAATCTTCACGACGTAGCTCATTTGCATTTATAGAATTGTTAGACAATAAACCAGTTATTGCTCCCATGCCCAAGAAGCTGGACTTGCCCAAATTGGAAGATGAAAAGTTGCAGCCGGACAATCTAAAGGGTGAGGTGGCAGATGACATCAAAAATCGTCCCTGGCCAAAGCCACAAAATGAGGAGCCCGAAGAGGAAGAGGGACAAAATGAGGAAGATGATGTGGCTTCGAAGCCCGTAGAATATGCCAATTTAATGGAGGCCAATGCCAATGGACCCAAACGTCAATGGCCGGATGGTCGCACCATCTTTGAGAAAAACAAAAACCACAAAGGTCCGCTGAAACCACGTTCCGAAACCCCGGAATTAAGTCGTAATGCCAATGAACTGGATTGGGAGGCCATGGGTAAACCAGCCTCTAAGTCTATCACAGATTTAAGTAAGGTATCTTTGCCTTATGGCTCAAACTATTCTTTGGCCACGGCATCCACTGCTCCGGCAGCAACTCGGGCACCCCTCTCCATGTCCAGTAATGAAAGTGAATATGATATGCCACGTTATAATAAGTCTTCCACACCGCAGAGGCCGGCCAGGCATCAACGTCCCACAGCAACGGGATCTACAGCCTTAGCCTCCAGTGGCTCCATGGATGCCAGTACCCAATTACTGTTGGAGCGTAGTAAACGTCTGCATGATCGTAAACGAGATTTTGTCAATGAAAGGGTGGTGGAACGTAATCCCTATATGAAAGAGGTCATTGCGGCCGAGCGAAGAAATTCCTTGGGCGGAGGGGGAGGAGTAGGGGGAGGAGATACATATTACAATAGCAAATACTATGATTCCGCGGATGACGATGATGATGATGGCGATCTTCCCACAAGATATCGTTCACGTCCCTACACAACAAGCGGTACAACACGTTTCCCCAGCTCCCGGACCTTGGGTAGATCATACAATACCTCAAGCTATGATTATGTACCATCATATGCAGATACCTCTAGTTCCTTGTATGGCAGTAGTCGTCGTTTGCCCACCGTGGCTCCCATTAGTTCCAGTTATTCATCCTATAAATCTCCCTACTCAGGTGTGGGTTATGGCGGACGTTCTTCGTATTTGAATGATTTCTCGAGTCGGCATTCACCCTCGTCACACTACAGAGAGAGGGGAGGAACGGCAGGAACGGGCATAGGAGGAGATGATTCATGTGTTATATGTTAAATTCCAAAAACAAAAAAAAAAAACAAACAAAGTCAGCAACCAACAACCAACACCAGTCAGCTTAAAATGATTTAGAACCCAGACAATACTCCCCCAAAAACAATTCCATTCCCCCCCCCCCCAAAAAAAAAAAGAAACAAAGTACCTCTCCAAGGATTCCTACAACCTTCCAACCTCAACCAACAACCAAAAAAGGTGTGGCATAAATTGATATCTCCTAAAGCCAATTAATCAAAGCCAAGCCCTTTCTTTTGATGAGCTTCCATCCTCAACACCACCTCTATCATCACCTCTACTTCTTCTACTACTGCTACTATCGCTTCCCAACAGAAGTCGTTTTAAACGAGAGGAGAGGGCTGGTGAAATTGTGTTGAATGTTTTGATATTAAAACTGCACTGGGTACGATCTTTAAAGGTAAACAAAACAAAAACTAAAAAAAAAATCAAAATTTCCTAATCAAGTGTTTAATGAAAACGAACGGCCCCGCCCCCCTTTTAAATGTTATAACTGCCAGGCTGGCCGCCCATGCTGAAATAAATAAAAAAACCAAAGCTGTTCTAACACCTCTGATCAAATAACAAAACTGCTGTTGCTGTCGATTTTGACCATCAAAATATTATTTGTTTTATTTGTTATTTTTTTTTTTTAAGAAACTGAAACAAAACCTAACCCCAAACAATTTTTTGCCACGTTTTTGTCCACCCGTTTCTTTTTTAATCAATGTGTTCTCTTTTCAAACCTTTTTGGATCGTACCTAAAAAGGATGTTTCTTATTTTGTTATTTGCTGTTTTCATTTTTTTTTTAACTTTTTGTTCTTTTACTTTTATTGCTACTCTTTTTTAAGCATGTTTTCTTTTTTTTTTATCGTTCTTTGCTTTAGTTTTTTTTTTTGCAATTTATGCTTTTTCTAATTGCATTTTGTTGTTGTCCGCTTTTTTAGGTCCAAAGTGATACCGAAACCTCAACATCCGATGAATTAGAACATAATTCGGCCACCGAAATTTCCACAGATTCGGAATTTGATAATGACGAGCTAATACGCAGTGCCCCGAAGATATTTATCGATGATACCCACTTGAGGAAGCCCACTAAAGTTCAGGTTGGTCATTTTTTAAATTAATTCATTATTTAATTGTTAAAAAACTCACTTTCTTTACTTGGAGGTCAAAAATTCACTTCCCGAGAAGATATAATAAAACTAAGTTAAAATTACTTAGAGGTTATTGTAGAGAAGATGGGTAAACATGCGCACTCCAAAAGTCTTTTATGAACCTTGAAAAATTACACTGTGCGACAAAATTCAATATTTTCAATAATAATGGGGAAACCAGCAGATTATGAAAATAAATCTAAACAAGTAAAAAATATTTTGACTTCTGTTATGATTATTCAAATGTTTCACCCCTTATGCAGTTGGTTCCGAAGGAATTGACCAATATTGGCCATTTCGTATCGGACCTAAATAAATATGATATAAATATTGCGACGTGCTAGGTTTGGACTGTGTTGTGTTAATCGAAATTTTGGGATGACCCAAGTCTGGAATAGAATCGTATGTCATTTTCGCTTGTTATGAGCTTCATGGATATTCAAAATTTTAAGCCTTTGTGGGGGAGGTGCCAGAAGGATTGGATCGATATATCCCATCTTCACAACGGATCTTTTGTTAGTGGAAATAATGGGACGTGTGTAATATGAAGAGAACTGGATGTTTATTTCCGATTTTTTGCTCGTTTTGATTATTCAAAATTTTTGACCCTTTGTGGGGGAGGTACCAGAAGGAATGGTCCGATCTCTACCATCTTTATAACATATATTAAGTCACTTTCTTTAAAAGATTCCAAAGATTCACTTCCCGAGAAGATATAATCAAAACTAATTAAAAAACGTAAAGAAAGTCTTAAAGTCGGGCGGAGCCGACTTTATAATACCCTACACCACTTTGCTAATTTAGTAGAGCTCCGCATAACAATTAAAAGTTTTTATGGGAGAATGCAATCATACACGCTATGATTATAATTATAATTAAAAGTTCAAGGGACTAAAAATGGCGAAGCATTTGTATCTTTTAAATTCGGACTTATATTGCCCATTTGGTGCGCAATTAATTTGAAATCGGACAAAAATATATATGGGAGCTATATCCAAATCGGGGCCGACTTTATGATACCCTACACCACTTTGCTAATTTAGTAGAGTAAAGTAAAGTTTTTTATGGGAGAATGCAATCATACACGCTATGATTATAATTATAATTAAAAGTTCAAGGGACTAAAAATGGCGAAGCATTTGTATCTTTTAAATTCGGACTTATATTGCCCATTTGGTGCGCAATTAATTTGAAATCGGACAAAAATATATATGGGAGCTATATCCAAATCGGAACCGATCTCGATAAAATTTGTCAAATATATTTCTGAGCTGTATTTGATATATTTCCCTGAATATCGTTGTTACATATTACGGCTGTGGGCAAAAAATACAAAAAATAGGATGAACAGTATATATGGGAGCTATAGCTATATCTGAACCGATCTTCACCAAATTTGACATACTAGCTTCTAGACTCAATTCGGTCGTAAGTGCCAAATTTCATCCCATTTGGGCAAATATTAGACGTTTGGTGCACAATAACAAGTAAATCGGACGATGTTATATATGGGAGCTATATACAAATCTGAACCGATCTCAATAAAATTTAGCAAATGTATTTCTAAGCAGTATTTGATATATTTCCCCAAATATTGTTGTTACAGAGTGCATATTACGGCTGCGGAGGACAAAAATTACAAATCGGATAAACAATATATATGGGAGCTATAGCTATATCTGAACCGATTTCGATCAAATTTGGCATACTTATTTTCAGGTCCAGTCTGATCGTACGTGCAAAATTCCATACTATTCGGACTGATATTACACGTTTGGTGCACAATAAAAGGCAAATCAGACGAAGAAATATATGGGAGCTATATCTAAATTTTGACCGATTATCTCCAATTTCAATAGGGTTCGTCCTTGGGCCAAACAAATGATTTGTGCAAAAATTCATCTGGATAGGGCAATAAATGCGAACTGTACATTGTTTAAAAAAATACATGGACAGACGGACGGACGGACATACATAATCGACTCAGAATGTGATTCTATGCAGATCATCAAATGGAACTATGGGTCTATCTCGTTTCCTTTTGCCTGTTACAAACAAATACACAAAGACGTAATACCCTGACCACCTTGTGGTGTAGGGTATAACTAGGAAAAGTTTTCCTTCGTCCTATGATTAGGTTCTCAAAGGCTTTATCTAAGCATGATCTAATCAAGTTTATGTGATACAAGTAAAATAGTATCAGTCGGTTTTTCTGACGGATGTATACTTCCAGCCTTGAGTTATGATTATTCAAACTTTTGACCCCTTATGGGGGAGGTTACGAAGCAGTTGGCCTGTTGGCAGTTGTCCAGATTTGGACTATATCGACTAATTCATATTCTTTATATGAGATATGATCAAATTTTTGGAAAATGTGGAAATATGAGTGAGATAACAGATAAAGCGGACCGTAGGAATCCATTTTCACACGTCATCTCATACAGATAAAAATATTAGTACAAGGTGAGATGAAAAATCTGCAACAAAGTCAAACGCCACAATTTTTGCATTTTTTTAAATATAATTAGCTGTCACTGGAATATTTTTAACAGCTGTCGGACGAGTGGCTTAGAAATGACAGCAGTCTGAAGTTGTTTGCAGTTTTTTCATCTCACCCTGTAAGCATTGAATATTGTGAACCTTTGTGGATGAGGTACCAGAATGGGTTGGCAGATATAGATTCACAATATATCTTGCGTTAGCCAATATATTTGGATGTGGGAAATTTGAAGAGAGTTGGTTGATTATTTCGCGTTTTGTTTTTCAAAATCTTGAACCCTATGTTTGGGAAGTACCAGAAGAAATGGCCCGATCTCTACCATCTTTATAACAGATCTTGTGTTGATGAAAATATTGAGATGTACCAAGTCTAAATGAAATCGGATGTTAATTTTATGAGCTTCATGGATATTCAAAATGTTGACCCTTTTGTGGGAGAAGTACCAGATGTGGTATATCGGTCCACTCCGATATATTCCATCTTCACGCCAGACCTTGGGTTAATAAAAATATTGTGATTGTGGCAGGTACCAGAAGGAATTGTCCGATCTCTAACATTTTTATAACAGATTGATGAAAATATTGAGATGTACCAAGTCTGAATGGAATCGGATGTTAATTTCGCGTTGTATGAGCTTCATGCATATTTAAAATTTTGACCCTTTGTGGGGGAAGATGCTTAATGGAGTGTGCCGATATTGTCCATTTTCGCACCTGATCTATAACTGATGCAAAGTTTACATCGAAAAGTAACCAAAATAGGCTCCTAATACATCTGATACATCTTTTTTCTTGAACTCTTCGTACGTTCGCCAATTTCTCTAAATACTACGCTTGGTAGAGGACCTGAGTGTGTTCTAAAGTGTTCTACCCTGTCAGTAAATTCCTCTTCCTCGTCCGATTTTATTAAAATCGATTCTCGAAGACATATTTGGGAGAGGAGGTAATTGATGTTGACACCTTGAACCCAATTGTCGTATCTTAGATTTACCCAACGAATGCGCCAAGGCTTAGCAAACGAAATCACAAATTTCCTATACCGTCCACCCAAGAAGATAGCTAAGGTACTTTAACAAATGTTTTATGAAATCAATTTAAAAATAATTTGAGGTCGAGGGCAGAGGTTAGAAGAAAAATGCTCGAAAAATCAACTATCAAGTTATTAATAGTTTTTTGGGTAATTGAAAACTAATTCCGTTTTTTCACATCGCTTTTCTTTTCAGGTTAAATCAACCGTCATCCCCCCAAATACCATACAAAAATATAATAGCGGCTCAAATATACCACAATATAGAGGTGGTATGGTTTCGGCAACGGGCATTGGTACAAGTGGTCCCTATCTGGCAAAGTATCAGACGCCACAACAACAACTACAGCAGCAGCAACAACAACAACAAAATACTCCACAAATACCTCAATTCAAGCCTTTGGTACAAGTTGATCCATCACTTTTGACAAGCAATCGTACTCCACTGCAAAATCCCAGACCTGGAGATTACCTACTTAATAAAACTGCCAGTACCGAGGGTATAGCATCGAAAAAGAGTTTGGAGCTGAAGAAACGTTATCTGCTGGGTGAACCGGCTAATGGCAATAAAATACAAAAGTCCGGCTCAACATCGGTGTTGGATTCACGTATACGCAGTTTCCAATCGAATATTTCCGAATGCCAGAAGCTACTGAATCCTAGCAATGAAATAAGCCCTAGCATGAAAACCTTTTTGGATCGCACCAAACTGGGAGAGAAGACAAACACAAATGAGTTAATGCGTTCCGCCACCAATAACATTTTGAATGATTTGAAGGTGGAGATTACCATACAGAAGGCTTCGTCCACTGCCTCGACCGATAATGAGAAGGAGAATGTCTATGTGAACAATAAAAATGAATTGAATAAATGCATGGAATATTCGGAGACGGTGAATGCTGCCCTGCTGGATACAATGGCGGGAAAGAGAAGCTCAGCCAATACCACACCCACCAACAATAAAAGCATTTTGGAGACCATAGATTTAACAACACCCGAAAAGGAGGTGGAACGTGATAAGTCAGATAGCAATAAGGTCATTGATTTGACAGGAGATTCACCGGAGCAGAAGAGCAACCGCACAATTGTGGAGGAAGGGGAAATCAAGCCGCCTGATGTCTCAAAGGATGTGAAGCAGGTTATACCCGATATATTGGGTCACATAGGAGAGTCACAGCTAAGTCCAATGGCCGAAAATATGGGCGATAAGACACCCACACAACAGGATGAGCATAGCATGGAAAAAGAAGATGCCCCTGAAAAGGAGCACATGCAAGAAGATAACGAGGTGGAGGATGTACAAATTGAGGTGCCCAACATAGAATGGAATACCCACAAAGAGGGTAATCTTTCGTGCTCCTCCAGCAATTCCTCCTGCTCATCGCACTCCTCAAGTTTGGAAGATATTGAGCATTTCATTTTGGAATCAACCACTAGTCCGGAGACTCATAACAGTGCCATTGCTATGGTCTCCTCTAGTTCGGGTGGCAATCATCAGGTACCTCGTCTCGAGGTCCATGACACTTCGGGCACCCTCATGCAAATCGATAGTCTGATGATTATTGATGGCAAGTACATTGGAGATCCCGAAGATTTGAAATACATGGAGCTACCCAAGGGCGTAACCCTACCCGAAGAGGCTGCTGTAAAGACAATAGAATTGGAACATCTGGACGATGAAAAAGATCATGAAACGGAACATGAACCGGTTACTGCCACCCCCGAGCCAGTGGAGACCACAGTAATAGAAGTGGGTGCAAAAACTTCCACTGATGAGGTGCAGGAAATAGAATCCGAGGCTGATGCAATACCACCACCACTGCCCGAAACCGGACCACCACTGCCGGAAAAAGGTCCACCCAAGGTGAAACCCTCAATGCTGAAGTTCGACACCAAAAATGAGAATAAAATTGAGAGCCTAAAAAATCTGCCCTTGATTTTGGACTCAGGCACCGTGGAACACACCAAGGCCGTGAAGCCTAAAAGTCTTAATTTAACTAGCGCACACAAATCAATGGAATCACCGGTTACCTCGCCCCTCATTGATATGGACAAGACACCCACAGGTGATCTACTGTCTCGAGGCTCAGATTCAGAAACGGAACCAACGGGCACTGCACAAATTCTAACCGAAACAGAACTTTCCGATTGGACAGCAGACGATTGTATATCGGAAAATTTTGTGGAACTGGATTATGCAAATCGAAGCAGCAGATCGTCCAAAGGCAGTAAGGGACACAAGAAATCCAAACGCAAGGGCAGTGTGGAGTCAATGGGTGGACGTTTGCCCAGCACCAATGAGGTAATGCAAGAATTGGCCAAGGCTGTGGCACCCGTTGCCGAATTTGAGGGTATCCTAAAATCAATTGATTTGGATGATATTGAATTCATGGACACCGGTTCGGAGGATGAAAGTTCGGGTACCGAACCCCATTCGGCCACAAACACTGCCTTGTTACGCAATCGAGGCTACATGGAATTTGTGGATCAGGAAAAGACACCCAAACATGTGGCAACCAAGACCGCGGCAACTGCTTTGGATCTTTGCAAACCCATAGCAGTGAAACGGGATGAACGTCTCGGCGTGGATTATATAGAACAGGGGGCATATATTATGCATCCTGAGGATGCCAATAAGACACCGGTTAATGAGACGAGCAAACATGTTATGAGCAGCTCAGGGGTTATGAGTCAATCGTTGACCGATTCAAGTACCATCAATGATTTGGAAGATGACAGTGTCAATTCACAGATACATATATCCTCCACAACATCGGCATCCTCCAGGCAGGGTGGTAATAAATCGGCCAATACGGCAGCCACCACCAGCTTTACCACGACCACAACCGAGGAAAGTGAGGCCCTCACTGTGGTATCTAGTCCCTTAGATTCCTCACCACACACACGAAATTCCGCAAGTGGTCACAAGAGAGATTACCTTGTCGATGGCAGTGGTTCCACGCCCAGCAGCACAGATCGGGCACCCAAATCCTCACAGTCAACTTCATGTACCAATTCCGCCACCACCTCCAGTAAAAATACACCACCCAGACAATCCTCAAAGGATAGTCCGCCCTTAGCACCCGGTGATCGTAGATCAAATGATGAACTTTCCTATGAGGAATATGTTCGGGCTTTACAACAGAAAATTGTACAGATAAGTACGACGGCAAGAGGTGATTCCTTGGAGGCCAAAAAGCAAAGGAGAAAAAGTTCAAAAGGCGAGGCATCCCTCAATCAACAAACATCTGTGATAGATAACACCACAATGACAGCAGTCATGCCGCCAACTAATTTAAGCTTAGATCCCAGTGAGGAGTCACACAAAACAATCGGCCAAGATGGCGCCCCGGAACCTACGCAACTGCATTCTACTGCTACTGCCGCACAGAAAAAAGTACCTGAAATTCCAACGCTCACAAGTAAGCTAGAGGAAATTACCAAAGAACGCACCAAGCAAAAGGATCTGATACACGACTTAGTCATGGACAAGTTGCAGTCCAAGAAACAATTGAATGCCGAGAAGCGTTTGCATCGCAGTCGTCAGCGCAGTATTATGACCAGTGGCCTGGGTGGGACAGCCGGCGGCAGTGGTACAGGTTGTGGTTATTCCAGTGGTTCTAGTCTTAGTCCAACGCCCAAATTGGCAGCAGCAAATTCCACCACAGACACCAACTGTACCAATCAGGCCCACTATCATGTCTCGACGGCCAGCCTGAATCCCACATCGCCATCGGCCCGCACAGCAGCAGCTACACAACGTTTCCTAAGCAATAGTTCTAGTTTTAAGGAAAACCATCCGACGACAACAAGTTATGTATCACCCTATGGCGGCATGGAAGCTCTCTCACCCATACGGGCCAATGCCTATAAAATGCAAAGGCCTTTCAGTGAACATCTGGAGGGTGAGCAATTCAAGGATTTCGAACAACGTTATAAACTCAATAAAACGCCATCCTTTGCATATGGCAGCGCACAAAAGGCCGCGGTGGCAACTCAACAGCCTGTGGGTAGTTCTACACCCATACCACCGCTAAGGCAAAATCGTGGAAAACATGGCAATGGCCAACACAATGTAGATGGAAATGTGGAAACCCCAGCAAACAAAGATTCCAACTTTTCTACCTCCACTGAAAATCTGCGCAGTGAGGCAAGGGCCAGGGCTCGTCTTAAATCCAATTCCGAATTGGGCTTGAGTCCTGAGGAAAAAATGCAATTGCTACGCAAGAGAATACAAAATGAATACAGCAGCAGCAACAGCAACAATGGAGCTAAACAAGTATCCGCCACTCCAAGCGGTGGTTATGAACGCCAAACAAGTTTACGTGATTCCAAAATGAATACCTCAAAGAGTGTCAATGATTTGGCCTATCAAATGGGTGTTAGTGCGGGCGGCAGTGGCAAACCTGACAGTGTCAAAGTCTTGGCAAATGCCAAAACAGATTTCACCTCAGATCCAAATATTTTGTTGTCTTCAATGCAACAACAACAGCAACAACATCAACAACTGCATGAAAAACCAATTGCAGGCACGAAAAAACTCAATCGGCGAGCCAAGGATCCAGAGCGCCGCAAATCGTTGATCCAATCACTTAGCAATTTCTTTCACATGGGCCAGAATAACAAAGAAAATAAATCCACCACCACCACCAGTGATGTTAACTCTGCCCAGCCAGAGCAAACTGGTACTGGTGCCAGTGGCAGCAGTCATGGTACCCCAACCTCATCTTCATCGGGTATTGATAATGTTCTAAGTCGTTTCCGTATTTCACCGAAATCCAAAGAGAAGTCTAGGGTAAGTTCGAAAAAAAATAAAATGAAATTCATTTTGAAATGTTCGATTTTGTAAATATGTGTGTCGTTTGGAAATATCTCATGCTTAATTGCAAATGCAAGTGGTGGTATATGTAAGTGTGTCTGTCTGTTCGTCTGTTAGGAGGTGATGGCTTTAGTGTTATTTTAGTTGGTTTATGTTTTTTTTTTTTTTTTCAATTTTTTTTTTAAATTTTTTGAATACCTATAAAATGTTTTAAATTTATCAATCTGCATTTTATTTCCTGGTCTTATGTTACGGTACCTTAATAAATGTCAGATTATTTAATTTATTAAAGAAATCTAGATTTGTTTATCTAATTGTCCATCCAGAATACGCTATATTTCTTGGCGAATAAAATTTTCATGTAAGAACTATGGTTAGAATAATAGGACATGTGAAAGTATAACAATATATACAGGGTGAGATACAAACAAGTAAAAAACATTAAGTTCGGCCGGGCCAAACTTTTAATACCCTCCACCTTAGGGTAAGAAAACATTAGAAGAAATGTGACAAAACCATTAAAATGCCGAATATCGGGAGGTATCGTTATATGGGGGCTATACCAAATCGTGGACCTACACATGCAATGTTTCGCCAACGTAGCCAGGACCCATTATGACCAACAAATACCAATTTTCAGACAAATACGTGAAAAAAATGTGGCAAAAATCATCAAATTAGCGAATATCGGGAGGTACCTTTATATGGGGGCTATACCAAAACGTGGACCCACACATGCAATGTTTCGCTACCGGAGCTGGAACCCATTATGACCAACAAATACCAATTTTTAGACAAATCCGTGAAAAAATGTGGCATAAATCATCAAAATACCGAATATCGGGAGGTACCTTTACATGCAATGTTTTGCCACACGTACAAGGACCCGTTATGACCTACAAATACAAATTTTCAGACAAATCCGTGAAAAAATGTGGCATAGATCATCAAAATACGGAATATCGGAAGGTATCGTTATATGGGGACTATATCAGAACGTGGACCGATATATCTTATTTTCAATACCAACCATCCTAGACACAATACCAATTGCTCCGCTAAATTTTGGCGCTCTACGTCAAATAATGTAGGCTGTATCGTGATTTCAACAGACAGACGGACATCGTTAGATTGACTTAGAATTTTATGCTGATTATGAATATATATACTTTATGGGGTCTACGACGAATATTTAAGGATGTTACAAACGGAATGACAAAGTTAATATACCCTCCTTTCCAAGGTGGAGGGTATAAAAACGGGAAAGAAGTCAAACGCCATAATTTTTACATTTCTTTTTTTTAATTTTATTGAATGAAAGCAAAAAATGTCGAAAATAGCATAAATTTTTAGAATAAGTTTAGATTTGTTCGAATCGGTCACCTTTGGCATGAATTATGGCCTTCAAACGGCCAATGAAACCGGCGCACGCTGCCCGAATGTTGCCCTGCGTTATTTTGTCCCATTTCAGGCGAAGTGCTTGCTTGAGGTAATCGACACTTTGGTATTTTTTAGTGCCAACTTTGCTTCCCAAAATACTCCAGACACAATAGTCCAACGGATTTGTATCAGGAGATTTTGGTGGCCATTGTGCGCTGGAAATGAAGTGAAATGAAGTTCTTGTACTTTTAGGAATTTTAATGGCCTTACCCCGAGCTCATTTTTCAATATTTACCGATTTGCCCAAATTCAATATTTACCGATTTGCCTAACCAAATTAGGCCTGAAAATAAGCATGCCAAATTTGATCGAAATCGGTTCAGATATAGCTATAGCTCCCATATATATTGTACATCCGATTTGTTATTTTTGTCCTCCGCAGCCGTAATATGCATTCTGTGACAACAATATTTGGGGAAATATATCAAATACAGCTCAGAAATACATTTGCTAAATTTTATCGAGATCGGTTCAGATTTGGATATAGCTCTCATATATAACTTCGTCCGATTTACCTTTTATTATGTACCAAACGTCTAATATTTGTCCAAATGGGATGAAATTTGGCATTTACGACTACTATACTAGGAGCTAGTATGTCAATTTTGGTAAAGATCGATTCAGATACAGCTATAGCTCCCATATATATTGTTCACCCGATTTGTTATATTTGTTTCCCACAGCCGTAATATGCACTCCGTAACAACGATATTCAGGGAAATATATGAAATACAGCTCAGAAATATCTTTGCCAAATTTTATCAAGATCGGTTCAGATTTGGTTATAGCTTCCATATATATCAAATGGGCAATACAAGTCCGAATTTAAAAGATACAAATGATTCGGCGTATTTAATCTTTTGAACTTTAAATTATAATTATAACCATAGCGTGTATGATTCAATTTTCCCATAAAAACTTTTAATTGTTATGTGGAGCTCTACTAAGTTAGCAAAGTGGTGAAGGGTATCATAAAGTCGGCCCGCCCGACTTTAAAACTTTCTTTATTGTTTTTTGTTTTTAGTCTAGTTCAAGAATACATATTCTTTATTTTCAAATGAGACAGTCCGACGAATTGTATTTTAGGGCCATCCTATAATAGTCTGTGGCCGAAATTATAAAAATATCCAATGAGAAAAAAATTATAATGCTAACTTTTTATATTTATGTTCTTATATATATTTTATATATGTATGTCTTTTCTGTGTCTATATATCTATCTAATCGAGTTTCAAAATACCTTGTCTTCTTTTCTTTTTTTTGCCAACTTTCTTTTCTCAATTTTGTATATCTACAGTCCTGCATTGAGCTAAGGGAAATCTATATTGGTGTAAGATGAATATTTCCTTTCTCTTGATACTATATATCATTAGGTCTATGTGTATGATTGGGAATGCTTTAAAAAAAACATAATATGTAATGCATGCTTTTTGCTTAACTCCAAAAATCATTTTCATTTTTCATGATTTCATAATACAACCTTTTTCATTACAAAAAAAACTCATTTTTTATTGGTTTTCATAAATATAATTTTTGGTTTTATAAGCCACATCATTTGTTCCATGGCCTACATAGGGTAGGCCAACAAGACAACTTTTGACAATAATTTGACCATAAACTTAAGGCCAGTTTCCAAACCGTGTAAGAGTCGTGTGTAAAGTGTTTTATTTTCTTACATCTTAAAGCGAACCCCCCTTTTGTAGTAGGATTTTAAGAGCACTCAACAATTTTTAAAGTTAAACGAAACGCTATATTTTGTAAATATATAGTGTACAATACTACATAATATACATGTATTACATTTATATATACTTATACTATGAATATATTTATAAATGCCATACTATAAAGCATTTCCTTTCAGATAACAAATTGTGTGTGGGGCGCCTTAAAATATGTTATAAAAATGCTTTACATAAATGTATAAAAAAGTAGCTTTAGATTTTCGAATTCACAATACAACCTTTTTTTATTAAAAAACTTTATTTGTTATTGGTTTTCATAAAAATATCATTCATTCCATGACCTACATAAGGCGCGCTCAATATTAATAAATTATAAAAAGCATTTCCTTTCAGGTAACAAATTGTGTGAAGCGCCTTAAAATATGTTATGAAATGTATAAAAAGTTGCTTTCCATACGGCTCTAACATAATGCGTATACTAAGCCTTTAGTAGATTTTGCACTTTTGTCTTTTGACCCTCTTCGAATTTCAAAACACAATTATGTCTTTTTGACAGCAAACTTAGTTATGGGATTGGTTATGGGCCATGATTCATCCAAAATAAAATTTATCAATTCATTAACGCTACACCACAAGGTGGTCAGGGTATTATGTCTTCGTGTTTTGGTTTGTAACAGGCAAAAGAAAACGAGATATGGGAATATCTTCCTTTTGATGATCTGCATAGAATCACATTTTGAGTCGATTTATGCATGCCCGTCCATCTTTCCCTCAGTCCATGTATTTTTGTAAACAAAGTACAGGTCACATTTATTGCCTGATCCAGATGCACAAGCCATTTGTTTGGCCCAAAGATGAAAAAATAGGAAATAATCGGTCAACAGTTAGATATAACTTCCATGTATGTCTTCGTCCAATTTCCTTTTTATTGGGCACCAAACATGTAATATCAGCCCAAATGAGATTTAGTTTGTACATACGACCTAATTAGGCTGAAAATAAGTATGCCAAATTTGATCGAAGTTCGTTCAGATATACCTATAGCTCCCATACAGGATTAGATAAAAAACTGCAACAAATCTTGAAAGCAAAAATTTCGGAAATAGCATCAAATTTTAAAATAAGTTTAGATTTTTCGAATTGGTCACCTTTGGCACAATTATGGCCTTTAAACGGGCAATGAAACTGCACGAATGTTTCTCTGCGGTATTTTGGCCCATTCCCGGCGAAGTGCTTGCTTGATGCGAAGCGCTTGTTTTGGTATTTTTTAGTGCCAACCTTGTTTCCAAAATACTCCAGACACAATTGTCCAACGCATTGGTATCCGGAGATTTTGGTGGCCATTGTGAAATTAAATTACACCCTCCAGAATATTTTCGCGATAATATTTGGCATTTATTCTGATGCCACAGTCGATTAATACGAGCGGAAAGCGACCACCATCGGCTGTTATGGTGGCCCACACCATCACCATGGCCGGCGCTTGAGTCCTGGTGGCCAACCAAAGGTGCACATTTTTAGCTGAACTCTTTGGCAAGTAAACACGATCATTTTGTTTGTTTACAAACTGCTGGACAACGAAGGTTTTCTTATCGAAGACTTAGAAAACCAAATTCGGCAGTTCACCACTTTCGGCCAAGCGAGGCAACTCTTTAGCTCTTTTGAGTCTATTTTCTTTCCGTTGCAGTGTAAGTTCTTGCACTTTTTGGAATTTCAATGGCTTTATCCCGAACTCATTTTTCAATATTTTCCGAATGAAATATTGCGATATGTTCAGCTCACGAATCATTTTTCGTCCACTGCGACGCGGGGTTTGATCAAGTCGCTTCTATATTTATCGAAACATTTCAGCTGATGTTGATGTTTTCTTCCGTCCACGTCCTCTTCCTTAACGTCGGGCTACGCTACCAGTATCACGGTAACGAGCGATGGTACGAGACCCAAAAGATTTATTCACATTTAAATGCTGGAGTGTTCTAACGATAGTCACTTGTGGTTTTCCAGCTAAATATAAAGAAATCACACTATCACGCTTGAATTCCATCACGAATAACTCTGTTTCTGGAAAATTCTCACCAAAATCCTTGTGTACGCTTGTAAGCAATATAATGAGCTGTCACTGGAATAATTTTAACAGCTGTCGGACGAGTGGCTTAGAAATGACAGCAGTCTGAAGTTGGTGGCAGTTTTTTCATCTCGCAAAGTATATCAGTCTTACGTCAGATACGAAGTGGTCAATATCGGCCAACTGCTTCGGAACCTCCCCCATAAAGGGTCAACAGTTTGATTAATTATAACTCAAGGCTGGGGGTATACATCTATCGGCAAAAACCGACTGATACTATTTTTTACTTGTTTTGCTTTCTATTTAAGCCACAACATGGCCTATCTATATAAGCTCGGCCAGTAGGTTCATATGACAACTAAGTTTGCTAAAAAAAGACATAATTCTCATTTTTAATTCAAAAGATGCCAAGTATATTCTTAAATTGTACAATAGTCCGACCTTATATCGTCCTTAAGCCGTATCATATATTCGGAAAATGCTTCCCATCCATTTTCATGAGTTTCGTGTTATTAAATTATTATAGAAGAAAACTTTTTGTAAAAAAAATCCCTTTCATTTTTCATTGGCTTTCGTATATCCGATCCACATATAAATCCATCCATCTAAGTTTCAACTTTCATTTTTTTTCATATACATACGACATGTCCATCCATACCTGTGTGTGTCCCTCATTTTTTGTGGTTATATGGTTCCTTAGTAGTAGTAGAAGTAATCTTGATTTAGATTTTCATGGTTTTTGTTTTTTTTTTTCTTTCTCCTCTTTTTTTTTTTTGGTTTCTTTCTCTCTTTTTTTACAGAACAAATAAGTTGTCCTTCTTTAAGTATTTTTGTTGTTATTCTTGTCTAAAAGAAACGAACACACACACACACAACGAAATGATACAAGTCCGTCATAGAACCCTATCCCCCTTTTTATTATTTTTTCTTTTTAAGTGTCTTTTTTTAAGTTTAATTTTTAATTTTTTGTTTTTAATTTTAGTTAAAAATTTTTGTGTACTAAACTTGTATTCCAAATATTTATAAAGTTGCCATTAATTTTTAGTATACTTTTTAATTTTTATTTTTATTTTTTTTATGTATAATTGTTATGTACTTTCTGTTATACATAATATAATTTTTTTTAATATAATTATATATTTTTAAATAAACAAACAAAAACTACGATGAGTTTTACAAAAACACGACAATACATAGTTGTTTCTTTTTTTGTATTTGTTATTAAAATATCCTTGATTGTATTCCCTTCTCCTGTTGGTGGTTTTGGAAATATTCTATTTTTTTAATAACAAAGGGAACCCCTTTTCCAACTTTTCTACATGGGTGGGAGCCCTTTTCTCTTCCTTAACTTCAACTCCTCTGTTTTTGAATGGCTGGAAACCCATAAGATCTTTTCCCAAAACCCCCTCTTTATTTACTTGTAATTCAATAAAAAACACAAACCCTAACCATTTTTTCTTTTTATTTTGAAACAGCATGAATTTTTATTTATTTATTTTATAATATAACATTTTAACAAATAATAATTTTTTCATTATTTCTCTTCATCAAATCATTTTCGATCACCTCAAAAAAAAAAAAAAACAAAAACATCCTCCTCAAAAAAAATCCTTACAAAACAGGATAAGGATAAAGACGATTACAGCAGCTATACAACCGACAGTCCCACACGTCGTTTACGTACATCATCCATGTCAATGGCAGCCTTGTCTTGTTATGAGTGCCCCCGGCAACAACAGCAATCGTCACAACAGCACCACCACCACCATCATCACCATCATTCATCGTCTCAAGATGCTTTGACGCGTTCACACTGTACACCGCCCACCCATCACTACAGTCACAATCAACTGAACAATTTGAACTTTGGCGGCGGTAGTCCGAAACATAAGAGCCCGACAAACAGTGGCAGTAATAATTGTCTGCAACGCATATATTCCAGCAATAATGGCCAACACCAAAATATTCATCATCAACAACAACAACATCACCAGCAACGTAAAGATGCGCGTTCCTCACACCACACTACTAGTCCTTCGGCAAAGAAATCATCATCCTCATCGGCACTGGCCTTCTCGTCGTCCAGCCCCCAACTGTGTGTTCACAAATCACAATCAATGACAAATGCTTCACATAATGCGGCTGCCGCTGTCGGTTCTCCATCCTCTCCGGTTACCTATGATGATCAAATACCGCCTCCCATACCGCCATTGCCATTGAATTATCAAAGATCGGATGGTTTGTATACCCATATTTTTCTCAATATATTTCTCTAATATTTCCAGAAAATTTGATTTGCCCCTTGAAAAAATATTCGAATATCCAAAATTAAAGAATTCTCAAAAAATTCTACTATTGGCCATAAAAATGCTCCCAAAAATTCTCGAAAATTCAAAATAAAAGTATTCTCAAAAAATTCCACTATTGGCCATTAAAAATGCTCCCAAAAATGTATATGATTGAATCCTGAAAACTCTTCAAAATATTCTTGAAATTGTGCCAAAATTTTTCCGAGCCATAAAAATCCTTATCCTTGATAAAAAATATCCTTAAAATTCAACACTAAACCTTAAAGTTTTTTTTTTCTTAAAACTCGACGATTAGCCACTAAACAATTTTCCAAAAATTTTATGATTGGTCCCTGAATACAAATTTATAAAAAATCCTCGAATAATCTTAAAAAATATCCTTAAAACTCTACGCTTGACCCTCGACGATTAGCCACTAAACAATTTTCCAAAAATTTTATGATTGGTCCCTGAATACAAATTTATAAAAAATCCTCGAATAATCTTAAAAAATATCCTTAAAACTCTACGCTTGACCCTTGGCAATGAAAAACATTACCATAAATCCCCAAATAATCTTCGAAAAATATTCAACGATTATATCTATTTTATCGTTAAAAATAATTTCTAATGATGAACTTTCTGTTGGCCCTCAGCTGGTCCTCGAAGAAAATATTATTAAAAATATTTTTATAATAATCCACTGTGGCCTAAAAAGATGCATTTTTAGAGGTCTTTTGGCACTCAAACAAGTATTTTTCAAAAAAAATCCCCTCTTGTAGATCAGCTGCTATATATTCCTAAAAAAATATATATTTGTAGCCCTTTTAGCCTCCGATAAAATATTCTGAAAAAATCTAGGTTATAGCTCTGTCGAAAATAGACTTAAAAGTCGAGGCCTTCTAAACAATTTTCCTTAAAAATACACATTTTTAGCTTTGTTGGCTCTTAAAAAAGACCACAGCCATATGGCTACAGAGGGCATATATATTTGATGGGGCCAAAACGTGCCTAATCGAAATAACGATATCAAACCGAAGATATCTTTGGACAAAATCCGTTTCATTACATTTGAAGTCGATCTAAGGGTATTCGTATATTTGTCTGTCTACCTAGCTGGCTGGTGCGCACGATAACTCTCGAAGGGGGGAGTATCCGATTTGGTCCAAACTTAGTGCATCGTAATATTATTTTCAAACTTAGATCGACTTCGGAGATGGGCAATATCGGTCCACTCCTTCTGGTACTTTCTACTGGAATTCCTTCAGACTGTCGATGATATAGTAAAACGTTACTTTTACGGATTTTTCTGTAAACAAATCAGAAATTTGGGAAAGCCTTGTTGCTCAGCGACATACTCGCAATGTAAAAAATAACTTCAAAATGAAAAAAATCGAATCTCATCTCTGGTATCGGTCCAATCAATATTTCAATATTTAAAATACCTCAAGTTTCAAACAATGCGATAAATAGTCCCGAATCGAACCCAATTTTTCACATTTAATATTTCTAATCAACTTACATGGTGTTAGAAGATTCAATTCTATCAGTCGACCCCTTCTGGTAGCGCTTTTTAAGGGTAAATACTTAAAAAATAATGAAAGCCCCTGATGATGACATAATTTTCAAAGATGGTTAATAGCCATAAGTTCTTCAACTTCTTTATACAAACTCCTTAACGCGCTACAATTCTATGTTTTAAATCGGAGAAGTCCCCCATAAAAGGATTTGAAAATATAATCCTTTCATTATATTCCCTTTTGTTTTGTCAACTTCCAGACGAAAGCTACACCAACGAAACCCGTGACCAAAAGAAACAGCGTGCAATATCGAAGGCTGTCCGGCAAGCTGAGCTTAAGCGATTAAGAATCGCTCAGGAAATTCAGCGAGAACAGGAAGAAATTGAAGTGCAATTAAAGGAGCTCGAGACACGTGGTGTACTGATTGAAAAGGCTTTGCGCGGCGAAGAACAAACTTTGGAAAAGTAAATATTAACTAGACCATCGATTAGATTTATGAAACAAAATAATATTCATTTATTTCTTTCATTTCAGTTTGGAATCTGGCAATAATATTGGCAGCAATGATGAAAAATTACTCAAAGAATTATTGGAAATATGGCGTAACATAACACAACTAAAGTAAGTGCAAATTTTTATTTCTACAGTTATATGAGAGAAAAAAATAAGAAAAATAAGCAAAATTCCCTCATTCCCAATTTTAAAGCGTGGTAAATATTATCCGATGACCATCCAAAGTGTTAGGCTCCCCTCCTTTTCTAAACTCAAACACCACGCAGAATTATACTTTGATCGGTTTATAATTGTGACCAATAGAACGACTGCAAAATTAGCAAAAAAATCAGTTTTTGGTCCCCTTAATATTTCCCTATCATCTCCCCAATAGGCTTTTATTCTGATCTTAACCCTAATTCGTGAAAATCGGGGCGACCTGTAGCGTAGCAACGTGGGCAGACGGACAAGCTGGTGATAGTGTGATTTCTTTATATTTGGCTGGAAAACCAGAAGTGGCTATCGTTAGAGCACTAAAGCATTTAAATGTAAACAAATCTTTTGTGTTTCGTACCATCGCTCGTTACCGTGATACTGGTAGCGTAGTCCGACGTCAAGGAAGTGGACGTGGACGGAAAAAAATACCAACATCAGCAGAAATGCTTCGAAAAGTGAAGAAGTGACTTGATCGAAACCCGCGTCGCAGTGGCCGAAAAATGGCTCGTGAGCTGAAAATATCTCAATATTCCATTCGGCAATTATTGAAAAATGAGCTCGGGGTAAAGCCATTGAAATTCCAAAAAGTGCAAGAACTTACACCACAACGGAAAGAAAATAGACTTAAAAGAGCTAAAGAGTTGCTTCGCTTAGCCGAAAGTGGTGAACTGACGAATTTGGTTTTCTCCGTTTCCGATGAGAAAACATTCGTTGTCCAGCAGTTTGTAATCAAACAAAATGTCCGTGTTTCGCTCCGTGGTCGCTCTCCGCCCGTATTAATCGATCGTGGCATCAGAATAAATGTCGAATATTATCGCGAAAATATTCTGGAGGGTGTATTAAAGCCGTGAGGCACGCAAACATTTTGGCCGCAGATCTTGGACATTCCAACAGGACTCAGCACTCGCCACCCAAGAATGGTTACAAAATGAGGTTCCTCGCTTCATTTCCAGCGCACAATGGCCACCAAAATCTCCGGATATCAATCCGTTGGACTATTGTGTCTGAAGTATTTTGGAAAACAAGTGTCGATCACCTCAAGCAAGCCCTTCGCCGGAATGGGCCAAAATACCGCAGGGCAACATTTGGGCAGCGTGTGACGGTGTCATTGGCCGTTATTCGTGCGAGAGGTGACCAATTCGAACAAATCTAAACTTATTCTAAAATGTGATGCTATTTTCGAAATTTTTTGCTTTCATTCAATAAAATTAAAAAAAATGTAAAAATTATATCGTTTGACTTTTTTGCAGTTTTTTTATCTCACCCTGTATGTTTAAAGTAGTGTAAATAATATGCGCATGTTATTATTTTTAGCTAATCCCAAAAATTCTTCGTTCTTTTTATTTTTAGGAAACGCGATGAAGAACTTGGCATACGCCAGCAGGAACTACAATTGGAACACCGACACGCCCAGCTAAAGGAAGAACTTAATATGCGATTGTCGTGCAATAGTAAGTCATACTGTTGGGGCAACCCACATTAACAATATGGCATCTCATGTTGCAACATCCTATACGGCAACGCCGATATAATAGGACGCCGTGCTACCGCCATTTTAGCTTGCTCAGTCTTGTTTTGTCTGTCACTCGAGTCTGACTCACTACATTGTAACTTCTTCATTCCTTTTAAATTAGTAGCTGTGAACGCTCATCATCCAATAAATCTTTACACCTTTAGTATTAACAAACATTGGCTTTTATTTCAAACGATAAAACCACAACAAAAGTGGCGACGAGGATAGTGGAAATTGATCAATAATTGCACACACAACAATCCGCAAAAATGTCTCAAGACATAATTCTACAATTGTTAACAGAGCAACAAAAAGCAATGTCGCAACAAACGCAACTGCTAAAGCATATGGCTGATCTTCTTCAAGCACAAGGAGCACCAAATTCACAACACTCACCACAAACATCAAATTCATCCAAAGCAGCACTAATGGAATCACTAGCACAGTCAATGACAGCATTCGTATACGAGCCAGAGAGCGGTCTGATATTTCAAGCGTGGTACAACAGGTTTGTGCATGTTTTCGAAAAAGAAGCAAGCTCACTCGAAGAACATGACAAAGTGGCCTTGTTATGGAGAAAAATGTCGAACCAAGTACATGAAAGATTTGCCAACTACGTATTACCAGCAAAACCTGAAGACATGACTCTAAAGGATACAGTAGAGAAACTCAAGAAACTCTTTGGTAAAACAGAAACACAAGTCTCACAAAGATACAAATGCCTCCAGCTAGCAAAAGGCGACAGCGAAGATTTCAGAGAATACGCAAGCAGAGTAAACCTACAATGCGAACTATTCAAAATGAAAGAACTGAAAATCGACCAATTCAAATGTCTCATTTTCGTCTTAGGACTCAAGTCAGCAAAGGACAACGACATAAGACTTCGCTTACTAAAGGTACTGGATGATGAAAACACTACAATGAACCTAGATCAACTAGTAGACGAAACACAACGAATTCTAGATCTCAAATCGGACAACATTCTCATTGAACATCAATCAAAAATCGTCTGTTCACTCAACAAGCACGCAAAAGACTTTAAGAAGCACAAAACACCCAATTCACCCTGTTGGTATTGCGGAGACCTTCACTACGTCAAATTTTGTCCTTTCCAGAAACATAAATGCACAACATGCAATCAAGTGGGTCATAAAAATAACTTTTGCAACATCGCTAAAACTGGTAAGAATTTCAAATCATCATCTGAAAACAACCAGAACGAATTCAAGAAATACAGCAATTCAAGGAAATCATTCAAAACTAAGGCAGTTTTCAAAACACACAACATTAATTTCCGCGACTTAAGGAAATACACAACTGTCCTAATTAACAACAATCCTGTAAAACTTCAAATTGATACTGCATCAGACATATCAATTGTATCTATCAACACATGGAAAGCTATAGGTAAGCCTGAAGCCTACGAAACTTTTGACAACGCTAGCGACGCAAACGCAAACTCAATCAAGCTCCTAGCAGAATTTCAATGTGACGTCACAATCGACAAAACATCAAAAACATTAAAATGTTATATAACAGATATAGAAAAACTCAATATCATGGGAATCGATTGGATTCAAGCATTCAATCTATGGCAGAAACCAATAACCTCATGGTGTCATCAAATAAACTTCGTTGATGAAATAGCAGAATTGAAAACGAATTATCAATCAGTTTTTGATAACAGTACCCCAGGTCTGTGCAAAACAAAAGTCAACTTACAATTATTGCCAAACACAAAAGAAATATTCGTTCCCAAACGACCAGTTCCTTTCGCAGCAAGAATGGAAATTGAAACAGAACTCCTCAGATTAGAAAACGCAGGAATAATCACACCGGTAGATTCATCGAGGTACGCAGCGCCGATAGTGGTCAGCAAACGTAATGGAAAAATTCGAATATGTGCAGACTATTCAACAGGACTAAACTCAATAGTAGAACCTAATCAGTATCCATTACCAACACCGGAAGAAATCATGTCTGATTGCCACAACTGTGTAATCTTTAGTCACTTAGATCTCTCAGACGCATACTTACAAGTCGAAGTTGACGACGAAAGTAAAGAGCTTCTCACCATCAATACACACAAAGGTCTATATAAGTTCAACCGTCTAACCCCAGGTATAAAATCAGCTCCGGGAGCATTTCAAAGGATCATGGATAAGCTATGCGCAGGCATAGAAGGAGCAAAAGCATATATAGACGACATCATGTTATCAAGTCCATCTATTCCGGAACATAAATTAAATTTAAACAAGCTTTTACAAAGAATTCAAGATCACGGATTCAAGCTGAAATTTGAAAAATGCCAATTCTTTCAAAAACAAATCAAATATCTAGGACACATAATAAGCAAAGATGGAATCAAACCTGACCCAATCAAAATAGCAGCCGTTCAAAATCTTAAAACACCAGAAAACGTCTCGGAAGTAAGATCGTTATTAGGCTCTATTAATCATTACGGGAAATTTGTAAACAACATGAGAACACTACGTAAACCTCTTGACGATCTACTAAAAAAGGACGCCAAGTTCGAGTGGACGTCACAGTGTCAAAAATCATTAAACGACTTTAAGAACATCTTGACATCAGATCTTCTTTAACGCATTACAATCCAAACTTGCCTATACATGTAGCAGCCGATGCATCATCTCACGGAATCGGCGCGGTTATCTATCATATGTTTCCAGACAACACTATGAAGGCAATACATCATATTTCCAGATCACTCACACAAGCGGAAAAGAATTACAGCCAAATAGAAAAAGAAGGCCTAGCCCTTATATTCGCCGTTCAACGGTTTCACAAAATGTTATTCGGACGCAAATTTACTTTACACACCGATCACAAACCCTTACTCGCAATATTTGGTTCAAAGAAGGGAGTTCCAATTTACACAGCAAATCGTTTACAACGATGGGCCCTTATATTACTGGCTTACAACTTCGAAATTAAATACACAAACACAAAGGACTTTGGTCACGCTGATGTATTATCAAGATTAGTCAACAATCACGAAAAACCAGCAGATGACTTTATAGTGGCTTCAATATCATTCGAAGAAGACATACGTAACGAGATAAATGAAACTATGTCAGTTCTCCCAGTATCATTTAAAATGATCGTCGATGCAACAACAAAACACACGGATTTACAAATGGTCCTCAAATACATTCAAACAGAATGGCCAGAAAGCAAGAAAAATATTAACCCATCAATTATTCAATTTTTCAACCGCAAGGAAAATCTTTCAACCTTCGATGGTTGTATTCTCTTCAATAATCGTATAGTAATTCCTAAATCATATCAGAGACAAATCTTACAACAACTTCACAGAGGACACTTATCAGCAGAACGCAGCAAAGCCATCGCCAGAAGTTATGTTTATTGGCCAAACATCGACAAACAAATTGAAGACTTTGTTCGGAAATGCAAAAATTGTCAACATGCGGCAAAAAGTCCAGTAAAAACAAATCTTTGCCCATGGCCATTAACTTCACACCCTCTTGAAAGGATACATATAGACTATGCTGGTCCAGAAAAAGGTAAATATTATCTTCTTATCATCGACTCGTATTCAAAATACCCTGTTATATACGAGACAACAACGACAACCACATATGCAACATTAAAAATGTTAAACGAATATTGTGCACTCTTCGGAAATCCTGAACAATTGGTCTCGGACAACGGAACACAGTTCTGTTCAGAACAATTTGAGAAGTGGTGCAGCAAAAAAGGCATTAAACACACAAGGACTGTTCGTTTTCATCCAAGTTCAAATGGACAAGCCGAGCGTTTCGTTGATACACTTAAACGTGCATTAAAAAAACTAGAAGGGGAAGAAACGCCTACGGAATCTCTCCAAACCTTCCTAGAAGTCTACAGATCCACACCAAATCCAAATGCACCAGAAGGTAAGTCTCCAGCAGAATCCTTCATCGGAAGAAAAATGAGAACGGTCTTCGACGTTCTAAGGAAGCAACAATCGCCTGAGTATAACGTCAATCACAAAATGGAACAGCAGTACAATACCAAACACGGTACCAAAAACAGAGAGTTTAGCAACGGAGAATTGGTCTATGCCAGAAACTTCAAAGGAAACAAAAGTTACTGGACAACAGGCGAAATAGTCGAGCGTAAAGGGAAAGTCATTTACAACACTCTAATCGACGTTGGGGACAGGAAAATTCTAGTACGAGCTCATACTGATCAACTCCGACATAGAGAATCGGTAGAGTCAAGCAGTCAAGAACGACAAAAACTACCATTGGACGTACTACTTGAAGAATTCGAAATCGCTTTGCCTAACCATCAAGAACATTTTGCAACTCCAACAGGTTCACCAAACTGGACACCTCAAAGAATAACAAGTCGCAGACAACCAGTCGAACCTATTTCAAGATCACCTTCTCATCTTAAGGAGGGAGATGTTGGGGCAACCCACATTAACAATATGGCATCTCATGTTGCAACATCCTATACGGCAACGCCGATATAATAGGACGCCGTGCTACCGCCATTTTAGCTTGCTCAGTCTTGTTTTGTCTGTCACTCGAGTCTGACTCACTACATTGTAACTTCTTCATTCCTTTTAAATTAGTAGCTGTGAACGCTCATCATCCAATAAATCTTTACACCTTTAGTATTAACAAACATTGGCTTTTATTTCAAACTATAAAAGTACAACACATACTTAATTCATTATTTATTTATTACATCTAATTGTTGGCATTTTATTTGGGATACCACAGTTATTTTGTTATTGAAAAAAAGGCATTATTTTTGTTTTTATAAAAACAATTTATATTTATTGTTGGAGAAAAAATTTTAATTTTCAAGGGGGGGGGGAGGTTAGGCAGGGAATACCATTTTTTTATTACTCCTGGGGAGAATATCCCCATACAAAAACCCACGGAACTGATTAGTGGCTCTATCCCCTGGTAAACTTTACCATTTTTCTCCACTAAAAAATAAATGTTTTTATGAAATAAAAAACAAAACAAAAAATAATCCCGGTCTATTTGTTTATTAATACTAAATTAACTCTAAGCCATAACATTTATTAAATTTAATCACATTTCTGTATTCTATCAATTAAAATAAAACCTTCATTAAATTTTTCCATTCCCATTTAAATGTTTTTTCACTCTTTGCCAACAGAACTCGATAAAAGTTCAGCCGATGTTGCTGCTGAAGGCGCCATATTGAATGAAATGTTGGAAATTGTTGCCAAGCGAGCTGCTTTACGACCATCATCCTCACAACATGATTTAGCCGCCACTACGGATCTCCTGAGAGGAACAACAAGTACTGGTAGTGGTGGTGGTGGGGTTGTCGCTGCAGATTTGGCTTCTGGTAGTAGCAGTAGTAAAATACAATTAAGTACATCATCACGAGGACAATCGAACGATACTGAAGAATCAAATGTAAGCTCAAAAATTATATATTTTTTAAAGCTTTTATAGATATTTTAAGAATTTATAGAATGTCAAAATGAATCCCATTTTGGTTTATTTATTTTATAACTGGAGAAAATTAAATTGTCGACGGGAGTGAAAATGAATTGAGATATAGAACTGTGATAGTATGCTTCTAAACTACCACTAAAACAAATTGAAAAGTATCAGCTTTGCCGACAGATGTATACCCCAGCCTTGAGTTATGATTATTCAAATATTCAGTTGGCCAATATTGACCAATTCGTATATGACCTAAGACTGATAAAAATATAACGACGTGCCATATTTGGACTATATCGATTACTTCCTATATTTTATATGAGATATGTGTAAATTTTGGAACAGTGTAGAGGTACCAGATATAGCGGACCGAAATGTTCCATTTTCATACTTCATCTAATACAGATAAAAATATTGATATGTGCAAAATTTGAAGGAAATCGAATATTTATATACAATTTTGTGCGAAATCATAAATTTCGATAATTTACATATTTATATTAGATTTCTAGTTAGGAGATATATTTATATAGAGCAGGTTGTAAAGAATCGCTGACTTGCTTCGCAAGTTATGACAGATAGAAGTATTGAAAATTGTCACGCTTTGTAGTTGAGTTACCAGAACGGGTTCGCAGATATATATCATCTTCACAACAGATCTTATGTTAGCAAAAATGTTTGTATGTGTGAAAATTGAAGAGAGTTGGATGCTTATTTCGTTTTCTTTCTTAGCGTTTTGTTTTTCAATATATTGAACCCTATATGGGGGAGGTACCAAAAGAATTTGTCCGATCTCTACCTTCTTAAGAGCAGATCTTGTGGAAATATTGAGATGTTCCATGTCTGGATGGAATCGGATGTTAATTTTGCGTTTTATGAGCAAAATTTTGACCTTTTGTGGGGGAGGTACCAGAAAGTGGCAACCGATATATTCCACCTTAACTCCCGATCTTGGGTTTATAGAAATATTGGGATGTGTGAAATTTGAAGACAATCGGACTCTTACATCACATTTCATAGGAGTTGTAATTATTCTGAATTTTTGGGGAGGTACCATAAGGAGTGGACCGATATTGTCCATCTCCGAACTCGATCTAAGTTTGACATTACGATGTAACAAGTTTGAACCAATTCGGATGATATTACGATGCAACAAGTTTGGACCAATTCGGATACTCCCTTCGAGAGTTATCATGCGCACCAACCAGCCAGACAGACGGACGGACGGACATCGCTGGATCGACTCTTAAAAAAATTTAAATTACATTTCTAAAAATCATAAAAAAACATATATTTTCTCTTTTGTAACATATTTGGATCTCATGTTCAATTTCAAAATTAAGACTACACAACAGTCCCTGCCTTCGAAGAGAATCACTTATCATTTTGATGTGTTATTAAAGAGGACCTGTTTATATGCAATTTACTTATTTCAAATATAAGTTTAATAAAATTGAGCTCGAGGTCTCTGTTAATAAGACTTACCCCAGAAAACAACTTATTTTTAATAAAGTCTTTTATAATTTTTGTTTTTCTCTTTTCAGATTTGAAGTGTTCACATTTGTTGGAATACACTGATTTCGGCAATACTTATGGATATATTAAAAATATTAAACTAAACGGAACCAAAACATAAAATGGAAAAAAAAACATTGACAACGCTAAGTGAGATTTTTAACAAGGAAACCCGACAAAAAAAACAAACTTTAGAAGTAGAAATTTCGAAATGCAATTAGAACTGGAAAGAAACAGACAGTGAAATGGAAAATGAAAAGCCTTCTCAAAATGCCTCATCGAAATCAATTAGTAAACTACAAAAAATTTAACAATTTTTTTTAAAAAAACACAAAATTATAACTTATGAAAAAAAGTATATATGAAATATATAAGAAAAAGAAAAACAATAACAGGCCCCCTCCCCCAGAGTATGAATCACAAAACACAATTTCCCCAATGCATTAAAAATTAAGCAACCTTAAATATTTACTATGTTTTGTAAAGAGAAAAATAAAAGAACAACATTTTGTAATCACCCTTAAACTTTTGCAAAGACAAAAAAAAAATTGCAAGCATCATGCCAAATATAAATTATTCTTTATTTTTTGAAAAATAAAATGTAAGACGAGTTTTTTAAGAAATTTAAGTGGGGGCGTAAGTCTTTGTGTTTATTGTGTTTTGTCCTCTTAAAATGTTTTATATATGTTTTTTTTTTTGCATGGAACGAACCCCCCCCATGGAAGATAAATGAGTTTCCATTTTGTCAAGCTTGAATTGTAAATACAGGGTGAGATAACAAAAAACTGCAACAAAGTCAAACGCCATAATTTTTACATGTTTCTTTAAATTTCATTGAATGAAAGCAAAAAATGTCGGAAAAAGCATGAAATTTTAGAATAAGTTTAGATTTGTCCGAATTGGTCTCCTTTGGTACGAATTATGGCCTTCAAACGGCCAATGAAACCGTCACACACTGCCCCAATGTTGCTCTGCGGTATTTTGGCCCATTCCCGGCGAAGCGCTTGCATGAGGTGATCGACATTTTGGTATTTTTTAGCTTTCCAAAATACTCCAGATACAATAGTCCAACGTATTGGTATCCGCAGATTTTGGTGGCCATTGTGCGCTGGAAATGAAACGAGGAACCTCATTTTTAACCATTCTTGGATGGCGAGTGCTGAGTCCTGTTGAAATGTCCAAGGTCTGCGGCCAAAATGTTTGCGTGCCCCAAGGCTTTAATACACCCTCCAGAATATTTTCGCGATAATATTCGGCATTTATTCTGATGCCACGGGCGGAAAGCGACCATCGGCTGTTATGGCGGCTCACACCACCACCATGGCCGGCGCTTTAGTTCTGGTGGCCAACCGAAGGTGCACATTTTCAGCTGACCTCTTTGGCAAGTAAACACGATAATTTTTGTTTGTTTACAAACTGCAGAACAACGAATGTTTTCTCATCGGAGACGGAGAAAACAAATTCGGCAGTTCACCACTTTAGGCCAAGCGAAGCAACTCTTTACCTCTTTTGAGTCTACTTTTTTCTGTTGCGTTGTAAGTTCTTGCACTTTTGGGAATTTCAATAGCTTTACCCTAAGCTCATTTTTCAATATTTTTCGAATGGAATACTGCGATATGTTCAGCTCACGAGCCATTTTTCGGCCACTGCGACGCGGGTTTCGATCAAGTCGGTTTTTTTTACTTTTCGAACCATTTCTGCTGATGTTGCGGTTTTCTTCCGTCCACTTCCTTGACATCGGGCTACGCTACCAGTATCACGGTAACGAGCGATGGTACGAGACACAGAAGATTTATTCACATTTAAATGTTGGAGTGCTCTAACGATAACCACTTGTGGTTTTCCAGCCAAATATAAAGAATAGCGCTTGAATTCCATCACGAATACCTTTTTTCTGGAAAATTCCCACCAAATTGCTTTTGTACGGTTGTAAACAATATAATGAGCTGTCATCTGAATTATTTTAACAGCTATCGCACCAGTGGCTTAGAGATGACAGCAGTCTGAAGATGATTGCAATTTTTTATTCTCACCCTGTGTTTTTTTTTTTTTTTTTTTTGCATGGAAACCCCCATTTTGCCAAGCCAAATGTTGTGCATTAATGGAAGCTTGAATTGTGAATACTTTGTCGGAAGAAAATTATTAAAAATTCTAAAAATATTTTTTACACAAAAAGAAAAATTAATTAATTTTTATGTATATTAATACATTAATTCTAATTATTATACTTTTTCCCCGTTTTTATCACAACTATTATACAACACTAAACATGAACAACCAACAACTAAACATAAATACTACATACTACTCTACTATTATATTGTATTATGCTATGGCTATTCTAACTATATACACATAATATTCTTTTTTTAACTATATATATATTTATATTTATGTAATTTGTAATTTTAATTGCTATGAAAATGAAAAACGAAAAACAAAACTAAAAATCGTGCTAATTTTAAACAAAACAAAAATGTTTTTGTTTTTTGTACTTTTTTTTTGTCTATTTTGTATGTCTGAAACGAAAGGAAGAGTGAAAGAAACCGAAAATCGGAAGATAATTATTTATGTATGTTTCGAAATGCATTAGTGTTTTGAGTTCATCATCGATTTTTGTATTTTATGTTTTTGTGACAACATTTATTTATTAAACACAACCACAAAATACGAAACCACACACTCAAACTCAAAAGAAAATGAATCGTCAGTCCCTATTTATTATAATTATTATTATTATGTTTTATACATATACACATATATGTCAATGTATGTATGTACAATACGAATAACGAATTTATTGATTTTTTTATTTTTATTTAACATTTATTCGAATCGACACAAATCAGTCAATAAATAACAAAAAAATAAAAACGATACAAAAAACAAATGTATGTAGCAAAACAAAAATCGCATGGTGTTTTATTTGTAATATTTGTGAATAAGTTTGTATAAAAAACACATTTACCTCAAACTCAATCAATTTGTTTTATTCGCATTCAAAAAACACATTCAAAAACGTCGAAAAAATCGAAAAAAATATGCATTAAAAATATTTAAAAAAAATCCACTATGGTGTTTCTAATAAACCATGAAAAAGAAGAAGAATAAGATCCTTAAAAATTCTCCAGAAGTTCCACAAAAAAAAAAATACAATTATGGATCAAAAAATACTTCTAAAACATTAAATTTTTTTAACAAAATTCCACGATTATGAATCTAATTGTTCTGAGGTAGTTCACGTTTATGTATGGACAATAGTCCTTGGAAGAATATACTAAAAAAAATTATGGTCATGGGTCATAGAAATGTCTAATAATAGTCTTTGAAGAGACATTCTTAAAAAAGATCGCGATTGTGAACTTAAATATATTCTTAAAAAATTCACGATCCTAAGACCATCGATCCAGTTCTTACAAAAAAAAAATCTTAAAAAATCGGGATTATGGACCTAATAATCCTTGAAAAAAAGAGTATGTTCCTAAAAAAATCCACAAGTTTTTAAAAATTATTCTAAAAAAATCCCTAATTTGCATAAAATCCATGATTTATTTAAAAAAAATATTCTAAAGGAAGATCCTAAAAGTCCGCAATTTAAAAAAAATCTTAAAAATAAATAAATAAAAAATATTCTTGAAGTAAGTTCCCGCTTATGGAGGGACAATAGTACTTGAAATATGCTAAACAAATTATATGATAATGGGTCATAGGAATAGACATATCTTTAAAAAACGTCTAATAAGAGACTTTTGAGAGACATTCTTAAAAAATAATCACGGTCTTAAGTCTATCGATCTAGTTCTTACCAAAAAAATATTAAAAAATCGGTATTATGGACCTAATAATCCTTTAAAAAAAATATTATATTCCTAAAAAAATCCACAATTTTTTAAAAATTATTCTAAAAAATTCCTAATTTCCAGGATTTCTTAAAAAAATTCAAAAAGAAGATCCTAAAAGTCCCCAATTTTAAAAAAAGTCTTAAAAATAAATATATAAAAAATATTCTTGGAAAGCCATGGGTTTAAACAAATGTTCTAAATATTCTTAAAAGTACTTTTAATTATTTAATATTATGAAAAGTTTTCTCATCAACCCACGATATATTTAAAAAAGTTCTTAACTTTTCTGAGAATTTTTTTTTCTTAATAATTACAATTTCTTTAACTAATATTTAAAAAAATATTCTTATGAATACAAGCATTTTCTTAGAACACCATGATTTATTTAAAAAAAATTAATAAAGATTATCCCCAAAAAATCCACAATTTTTCAATAAATATTAAAAAAACATAAAATCCACGATTTGAAAAAAAATAAAATCCACGATTTAAAAAAAATTAAAAGCCATGATTTTCTTAAAAAATCTTCTAAAATCCACGATTTGTTAAAAAAATTTAAAATGTCCTTAAAAAAGTTTACTTAGCAATTCACGAGTTTTTGAAAAGATTACTAATTAAAAAAAAAACAAAAAATTGTTTAAATTTATTTAAACAAATATTCCTTAAAATCCTCGAATTATTCAAAAAAACAATTTTTAAATATCCTGGACTTGGGTTTTAATATTATTAAAAATCCGCGTATTAAAAAATCTTAAAAATCCACGGTCTTAAAAGCCATAGCTTTTTAAATATAAAAAATCTGTATAAAATATAAATTAACGATATCCAAAAATATTTAGAAACAAAACCTCGATTAAGTCCAACATTACGGGTCTAAAAATGTTCTTTAAAATAGCGATTTTGGGGTCTAAAGTCCTTAAGAAAATATTCTTCAAAAATTACGATTGTTGGGTCAATTGTTTTCAAAAATAATTCCAAAAAAATAATTATTTATAACAATTAATAGTCCTGGAAACACGATCGTGGGTCTTACTGTCCATGAAAACGAATACCAATAGTGATTGACCTTAAAATATTTTTAAAAAATGCTTAAAAATCCTTAGAACCTTTTGAATCCATTTCGAAACCCAAAAAAACCTTGAAAATATTCTTAAACAGATCCTCGATTAAAAAGAAAAAAAAGAACTAAATATAATTACTACTACTGATCCTTGAAAACCTTTATTTTACAAGAAATTCGAAGCCTTGAAAGCCGGCCTAAGAAAAAAATCATTTTTGAAACTCCAATTTTGAAATTTCACCATTTAACAGGTGCCCAGAATAAAACAGCAAGGCTCGCATAGAGTTGTGTATGAAAAAAATGTTATCTTGGCAACCACCTAAGAATAAATAAACAAATCCAGAGCATACTTTGAGGCGCATAATATCACGTCGTTTGATTAGGGAGGTCTTTTATTATGAAAGGGACAGCTACACATTCCCCAACATGTCATTTAATAATAATCCGCTAACAACTAAGCACAATCCGGAAAACTTAAAGGATAGACTGATACAAACTTGAATTCTTGCTCCAAAAAATACTAGCAAAATTTGGCTGGTTTTTTTAAAGGTATCTCGAAGGAATAAGCTTGCCTTCATCACCGCTGTTACCAAATATTTCAGCTTTATTACAATATATCAATATCCAAAGAAAGTAGATTCAATATTGTTCACCACCATTCTAAAATAATCCATTTTTATTACAATACAAACAACATTTAATTTACCAGAATATATCAGCATCCTTTTTTGATTTCTCCAAAAGAGAAAAAAATATATATATTTAAATAAAAACTGCTTATAAAATATTCACATAAACACTATATAGGTTGTTTTTTTTTACATTAAAAAGACAAACCCCATACTTTTTGCAAGGGCGGGGTTTTCTAAGTCTGTCATGTGTGTATTAGGTAATTTACTTCTGTAATTCATTTTTGTCAATTACTTTTCTTATGACCATTTTGTTGGTGAGTCGCTTTCCGGCGAGAAACATTGCCATTTGCAATTTTCTTTGATTTATCCAATTTTCCATTGTTGGACCTTTCCGGCTCATTGCAGTCCTCTTCTTCCGATGTAATGGGTTGACTTGGTTGTATTAATTCAATGGCACAACGTCGTGGAAACCAGCCACGCAAGGGTTTCTTTTTTATAGCCTCGCCGCCTTCTTTTTGCAATTCTGTAGCGTCCACGACACGTTCACCAAAAAGCCAATGTTTTCGGAATCGTGTCACTTTTATAATATCCTCTGGCTCCAGGCGTAAACGTGGTTCGTCCGTACAGGGTGGTGACAGGCATACACGGAATCCTTGGGAGAAAAGTGGCAAAAAACTTCCGGTAGCTTTCCGTATACATTTATAGGTTCTGGTTCGGGCACGCTTCTCACATTTTTGGGCAATCTGTTCGCGCTGGAAGGAGAAAAAAATGGCAAAATATTAGGGCATTGGATTTTTGTGAAAAATTAAACATCCACTTACTGTCAATGTGTATTGATCACATCCTTCAATAACTTTCCATTCCACACCCACACCTTTGGCAACGCATTCATTCTTGAAAACTTGCCTTAGATTTTCTTTGTAGCCCAAATCATAGGGATACACAAACTCGTCGAGATCTGGATAATGCATACGCCTGTACATGGCTTTTTCAATGATCCACATTTCAATGCCAGTTTGGTTTTTCAAAATTGATTTCATCTGAAAAAGATTAAAAGGAAATGTAATGAGAACCATAAAAGAAAATGAAATTTCTGTTGAAGACAGTCTTTGGACAGCTACAGGAATTTCCGGAAGAGGTGTTATTTTTAATTACCCGTTATATTAACAAGTGGAAAAAACGACATTATTAAAAATACAAGCTTCTACAGCGTATTGAATTATTATAATTCCTCACAAACGGAAAATCTTCCAGTCAAAGTCCACAAAACTGAAGTACAGCAAGACGGACGGAATGAGAAGTGCGAAAAATGCCTTCCCACGACACTAGTGCACCATCTACATAAGGAGGCGAAGGGCCTTCCCATACGTCAGCATAACCATATGCTTTCAGTATTTGCTTGGGCATTATCGTGGAAGTTATCCAAACCACTCCCCCGCATAGGTGTGTCGGGAAAGACCTACACGATCTAGAGAAAGCCCAAGGCTAAAAGAGAGAGCCTCTCGATCAAAAAGCCTTTTAGACAGAAGCCATTAACAAATACAGATTGAATGTCTTCTTCGAAGTCCACCTCCCATCCATTGCAGCGTCCATTTAAGAACTGGGTCCCATCCATGGAAAACGTCTGCTGTCTGGACAAACCCAGGTAGTTTTGGCGCAATTATGTTCAGGTTAGTGCAGTCGTCTCAATTCGTATTGGACACGAACTGACAAAGATGTGCGAATTCTGCCTGGATATATCTTTAATATATTTTATTGTCCTAACAAAATTACCCACTACTCAATCCTGAAGATCTTTTGTTACAGTCCGCGAAGTTTTAGCAGAAACCAAACCAAACATGTATAGCTCTTACAGGCACAATTGTCACACCTGGGGCTCGATAACTAAACAATTATTATTGGAAAGCATCTTCATCTTCATCGTGTGATGGTATTCGGCGATCTGTGATTCGACGGTTCTTTAAAATTTTTTCGAAAATGAGTTTGGTTAAATAATGATTTTTATGCTCGGAAATGGATAGTATTGATCGCAAACAAGGAAATCATTGCTCTTTAACAGGAAAAAAGTCCGAACCGTATAATCTGGCTATTAAAATATTCAGGAAAAGGATTTAATACTGTGGTGTCCATTCGGATATGTAGGCTGTTCAAATATCCAAATTGACATAATTTTTTTTCGAGTGAAGGCACCAAATATGGGCTATTATCTGCAATGGTCCAGTTCAAACAAACGGAACTCAGAACAAGGGAATTTGCATTGTGGGAAAACAATTTTCTCGAAAAGTGTATTAATCTCCTATGTCACGGTGGAACAATCTATCGAAAATTCAGAGAGTGACAGGATATTCAACGGCTACGTGATCTACAAGAGCGAAAGTAATACTCTTTTACGGGAAAAGTTTCCGGACCGTGTTATATTTCAAATAGGTAATCATAGTTGGCCATAAAGATCTGGTGATTTAAATCCATGGGCAAATTGCTAGCGTCTATTCGAGACCTCAAAGATAAAATACAGTCCCACAAACAGTTCTCTAGGCCAAGGGATTCTTAAAATTCTTAAAAATCCTTAAACATTTTCTAGAGAACAATGGAAATCTACGTCAGATTGAAAGACAGTTTTGTTAATATCTCTTGATACTGTACATGGAATGCCCATTAAAGATACGTTCTCTTGTTCCTTCTCGTATCCATGTACCATCCATTCTCATCCATCGGGCAAGACATTGACATTTATGGCCACAGCAGTAAATGGCTAACTTCTCTAATAAATGTCCCTCAGAGACTTCATCCTTTTTCAACATGTCTTGAACAAAATCCCATTGATTTCTTCCAACTAACCGATGTCAGAACCAGGGAATTTACATTGTTGGATAACAAGTTTGAATGATTCTTCTTGTTTTTTATAGGTCAGTTCGTAGAATCTTAAAAATAGCGAATGTAGCAATTATGTTAGGGTCTATACGACGACATGAACCTGCGTAGGTAACATTTGTCATAAGCCATTACAATATTCAAATGCGAAACTTAAAAAAAAAATCGGGTATAATGTCGATAAAATCAAAATATTGAATATCGGGATTTACCGTTATATGGGGGCTATACGAAGACGTGACCTGCACAGATAATTTTCTTTCGTAGGCTGTATTATCCATTACGAACATCAAATATCAAATTTGAAACAATTCTGGTGAAAAATGTCCCTAAAGTCATTAAAATACCGAATATCGGGAGGTACCGTTATATGAGGGCTATACGAAGACGTGGACTTACATGGCTCATTTTCTGTTTTAGGATGTAGTATCCATTACGAACTTCAAATACCAAATTTGAAACAATTCCGGTGAAAAATGTCGCTAAAATCATTAAAATACCGAATACCGGGGAGTTCCGTTATATGGGGGCTATACGAAGACGTGTAGCTGCACAGACAATTTTCTGTCATAGGCTGTAGTATTCATTACGAACTTCAAACACAAAATTTGAAATAATTCAGGTAAATAATGTCGCTAAAATCATTAAATACCGAATATCGGGAGGTACCGTTATATGGGGGCTCTACGTAGACGTGGACCTGCACAGACAATTTTCTGTCTTAGGCTGTAGTATCCATTATGAACTTCAAATATCAAGTTTGAAAAAATTCCGGTGAAAAAATTCGCTAAAATCATCAAAATACCGAATATCGGGAGGTACCGTTATATGGGGGCTATACAAAAACGTGGACCTACATAGCCCATTTTCAATACCAAAAGTCCTGCAGACATAACATACATTTGAGCAAAATTTTATCAATCTACTTCAATTCGTTCGGAAGCTAGAGTGATTTCAACAGACGGACGGACATCGCTAAATCGACATAGAATTGTGCTAATCAAGAATATATATACTTTATGGGGTCTACAATGTTTATTTCGAGGTGTTACAAACGGAATGACAAACTTAATATACCCTCCATATTATGGTGGAGTGTATAAAAATAAAACCTCTTATTGCAAAACCCTTTTCTTTACTCACCTGAAAATATAATAGCATACCCAATGCTATGACCACACCAATGGCTAAGCCCATTGCAAATATGCACATGATTATGCTGTAGACAGTAAATTGAACTGTGGCCAGATGGACCAAACCCCGCGAGAGATACCAATAACGATGGATGCCACGATAAAAGGCACATGACAATATGACAGCACCATGTAAACTGCCCACGATGGAGAACAAAAGGAAATAAGTAAAATAGGCATGATTTGCCCAACCAACGCAATGGTTGATCCACGGGCAATGATGATCCATTTTTTTAATACAACGGTTACCTGAAAGATATTTAAAGTTGATATTAGTTGAATCATATTTTAATAATTAAAGGCAACAACTTACATTTTCTACAATGATGAGATCTGGGAGCTTTATAGCCTTCACACACTTTACAATATTGCAATTGATCCGTAACGCTAGGATCCTGTTAAAAAAATTAGAATTAGAATACATATTAATACCAATTGAAATGAAAATTAATTTCATTTAATTATCCTCTCAAATGTCCTCCTATCCAAATGACTTTCCCTGCCCCACCACTGCTAACTGCTGGGCGTTATTAATATTCCTGCTTATAAGGGATGTTTTGACGCTTTAAAATGGTTTTATTTTATTAATTTGTATACTACACGTCGTCTTTGAGATCCAATCTTGAAACACAATTGCGTGTTAGAAGGATATTTATAACAATGTATGAATATATGCCTAATGGAACGTTTTATTTGTGTAAAATGGTTCACAAGGTTCGACGACAATCTAAACAAGTTTTGCTACTACTAAACTCTCTGGGCGACAAATTTGTTGGCACGATTCAACCGGAACACGGAAGAAAATCAAGAAAGAAAAGAACACCATAAGAACTTCATTCGGGGCGACAAGCAGCAAGCCGAATGCGTTTTTAAATGCAATAAACTAAAATAAAGTGGTTGGGGGAAATTCTTAAATATTATAATTAAATAATATTGGGTTTGGTTCGGTTCAATTAAAATTTGTTTGTGCTTAGTCAGAAGTTTGAAATAAAGGCTGGTTTCTTTGTGAAAAATATTTCGATAGCAACTAGGAAATGCTCATAAAACTATGACTTGAAAATAATAAGCCTAATAATAACAGTTTAGGAACAATAGCTGAAAAATAACTGACCCACTTTTATAATGGATGTTGTTGTTGTTGTTGTAGCAGTAGTACATGTATGTGTTTGCGTTCTGCTAATCTGGTTCCAGCTCGAGGTTTAGAAATTCGGCTACTTTAACGGGCTGTAGCCAGAGATCTTCTGGAGTGAGTTGGGTAGGTTTGGCTGTGCAATTAAAGAGGTGTAGCGTATTATGCGGGCCTGTATCGCACGCCGGGCAGGCGTCACGCACATCTTCATCAATTCGTGCCCAATACGAATTGAGACGACTACACCATCCAGAACGTAATTGCGCCAAAACTACCCTGGTTTGTCTAGGCAGCTGACGTTCTTCAGCTGCAATGGATGGGGGTGGACTCCGAGGACGGCATTCACTTTAAAACTGCTAATAGCATCCGCGACTGCATCGGTGTGAATGCCACTCAGACCTGCCTGATAGGCTTCTTGATTTAGAGGTTCTCTCTTGTCATCTATTTTGCCTCGAAGTCCGTTGCAATTGAATTGCAAGAATGCTGCACAATCCGGAGTTGGAGCAGCAACATGTTGAGTTAGGTGCTGCGGTGTTGGTTGCTGTTCTGGAGACTGCGGTGGAGTGCCATACTCCGACGACGTCTCAGATGAGGACGACGAAGAAGTGGACTCGCTGGGGACTACGTTACTGCAGCAAGTCGCAACATAATCCCTTTCGCTGTAGTCTCGCAAACGCCTTAGTCCGGAACAGTTCTTGAAGTGCACCCATTCTCTGCATCCATTACATCGCACCGAAACAGATCTGTGGTGGATGACGTTCTGACAAACCGAGCAGAACCAAGGTCCGGGGTTTTCCTCAATCCCGGCACGGACCAATAAAATCCGGAGCAAGCATTCCGGGATATGCTGCTCCCAATGCAGAAAAATAAACAAACACAAACATGTACATACTGGGTTGGCAGCCGCTGGCCGAAACTGGGATCTTGTTGTTTCGGGTCAATCCGGTATCGTAGAACCCGCTGCCGTGGGATTGTTTATAATGGATGGTTGTTGTTGATGTAACAGCTTCACATGGCTGTTACAGCTGGGCAGATCGCTGTCAATCCGGCCCAATAGGTGCTGCACCGTCCGGATCTTAACTGACTCAAAACTACTCGGGTTTGTTGGGGCAGCTTTCGCTCTTCACCTGCGATGGTCTCCTATTAAGTATTCGCTATATATCCTTCCAAGACTTCTGAGACCGCGTTATAGTACTATTCAGTCCCGCTTGATAGGCCTGTTGATCTAGAGGCTCTCTCTTATACCTTTGTACCTCCCTCTGGATCGTGAGGGTCTTTCCTTATGTGCCTGGGCGAAGGTTGCCTATCCACCAGATGGTGATTCGGATGACCTTGTCTGTAACACCCAAGCAGGTATTGCATTAACAGCATTTTATTAGAACTTATATTCGCAGACCACACTGGAGCCGCATAGGTGACCATAGACCGTTGTAAGAGGCTAGGCTTTACCATGAGGAAAAGAATATAGTCCTTGATTTAGGTTAGGTCCTTGTTTTAGTCATTGATATTTTCATTTTCCTCGCATGGCAGTAGGCGTGGTGGCTGTGCTATAGAAATATATTGCAAGTATTCCGAAGAAAAAACGTCAGATAGCTTTGAGGACATTAATAAGTTTGCTTCAATGCTATAATGGTTCTTTATTATGAGTATGTATAAAAAATAAGCCCCACAGATAGACATGAAGGACAAAAGATCTGCAGAATTCATTTTACCTTAGAAAACTTTTAGAGACTTTATAATTTCCTTTGATGGAAAGTCCAAAAACGGAATATTCACTATCTCCTTCTCATCTCTATGTACCATCTCTAACCAGCCTTTCCGGGTTGGGTATTGACATGTATAGCTACGTTGGTCGTTGGTTTTAAATTTCTCTAATAAAATGCCTCTCGGCCTTTTCAATATTTGTTAACAAAATCACTTTGGTTTTGACTTCAACTCTTTTTCATATGAGAATACTATAAACCCCACAGAGAATACTATGGCCCCACAGATAGATCTGAAGGCCAAGAGATTTGCAGGAGAGATTTTACCTTAGAAAACTTCAAAAGATCAATGGAAATACAAGTCCGGTAAAAAACAGATACTTTACGTGGAAAGATCAAAAAGGATTTGTTCTCTAATTCCTTCTTGTCTCCAGGTACCATCTCTGACCAGCCTTTTCGGGTTGGGTATTGACGTTTATAGTAACTGGTCGATAGTTTTAAATGTTTCTACCTCTCCGAGACTTCATAACTTCTCAGCATTTCTTAACAAAATCACATTCGTTTTGTCTCCAACTCTTCTTCAAAGTCTTCTTCCACACTGCTGATGAAAACTCCCTAAATCAATATTACAAACTAGCATTAATTCAAAAACAAATTAACTTACCCCAACCTTACTCCCCCCCTCTATGTTCCTTCACAAACTATATATACGTTAGGAAATGTATAATAAAACCAAAATAGCTTTTAATTAATATTGTTAAGTTTGACAATTTATGACCTCTAATTAGCAACCACTTTTTCTTCGTAACTAATTCCCACAAAAATTACTAAATATAACAAATTATTTTTGTGTAGCGTAGAACACTCGCGTTCACTTCGCTCACTTACCTGTGGCTGCCATTTTAGTGGCAATAAACCTGGCCCGGTTATTGTGGCCATCACATAGTTAAAGGTGGCCAACGATGAAAGCATTAAGAATATGGCTTGATTTACGAATGCGCCCAATGAAATATTCGGTGGCCACCACATTGAGTTCATGTATAGAGTTGTCAGCGTAATGCATTTTATAATGCCTGCAAATGAAGGAAAAAAAACGAAAATGTAAATAAAAACTAGTAGTTAAGTGTTTGAAATAAATTAGAGGTAATGGGTGGCAAGGATTGGTGGCTCCTATGCATTTGTCTCGAACAACAGAATTGGTGCAGTAATGAAATTATTAGGTGTTATTATGAAAAACAATTGCCTTGAAGCAGAATATGTACATTTTATAATTATGATTTGAAAGTCGTGGTGGAAATATGCATCAGATGGGAGTTTTATAGAGTCACCCACATACCGCTTACGTGGAAGGAGGTAACAATGGCATTTTCCTATAAGGTTGTAGTTAACAAATAACTGTAGAACAACTAACCTTCTTTCCTTCTAAACTATTTCAAAAAATATTAGCTAAGCAATGTTAGTGAATACATTTAGTCAACAATGAATCCAAACATAAAGTGGGAGCGAACGGATTTGAGTAGTTCTCTATAGCATGTGGAAGGTTCCAAAATCGAGGAAGGCAACGGAACAGTTATATATTATGTTATTAGATATTAGTTACTCAACATGCAGTCGGACGGAAAGGAAATTGCATTTTTTGGGTACTATATTGAAAACTTTTCACTTCTTCCTGTGACTCTCCATTTGTTTGAAGTGCTGGTCCGATACATTCAAATAAGTCGTTATAATCCTTTTCTTCTTGAATATGCTCTCATTTTTGCTATTTTTGGTTTCATTTATTCGCCAACGTTGTTGGAAAAATTGTATCTCAATGCGGACATTTGAATTGGACCGATGAATTGCTCGAAAGTTCCCCGAAGCTCTGGTTGGAGAAATATCAAAATTCAGGTATTCCCTTGCTAAAGGAAATCATATCGTTCAGAAGCTAAGGAAATGGGCAGTATATTATTGGTGGTCTGATCTCAGAAAAATAACACTTGTCCAACGTTTTTGTTTTTTTTTTTTCAAGACTAGATGAGAGTCTAATTAAGGTCTTGAGTCGACGTTGGCCTGTTTCGATGCCTAATAATGACCACATCTTTAAGATATAACAAGGTTTGGAAATGTTTCCCATTAAAGGACAAAGTTTTCGTTGCTTGTGTGGCACGTATCACCGTCTGCCCGAAAGTCATCCATACCTTCGAACTCCAACCAGATCTTGCATAGCTACCGAGTCCAGCATATTTCAGGAAGGCCATCCTCTAAGTGATTACTGTAGTATCCAGATCCATTTCCTCGTCAGGGTCAGGTTATCTCTCAGAAATTCAAAGAAATGCAATACTGACTCAGCCTCAATAATCTAAGGAATTTCTGGTTGTGACTAGGAAAACTATCGTTTTTTTAGTGCAGCATCATTAGAGATCCTCTGGACAAAGTTGGGTAGGCTTGGCTGGACAATTACACAGATGCATCGTATTGTGCGGGCCTGTATCGCACACTGGGCAGGCGTTCCGCACATCTTCGTCAATTTGTGCCCAATACGAATTGAGGCGGCTGCACTTTCCTGAACGTTGTTGGGCCAAAACTACCCTGGATTGCCTAGGCAGCTGACGTTCTTCAGCTGCAATGGAGGGGGGTTCTCCATGCTTGTAGTTTAATTTGGCGACGTTGCCAAAGCGTCCACACCAGCAAGAGTAAAAGTTAATTGTTTTCCCTTTTTTAGCCCGATTGTTATGTTCTGATCTTCCATTTTCCATATCATCGAAGGACTTTGTAAGTAAACCTAAATTTCTTTGAAGCGATACTAACGAAGCTCCATTAAAATAAAGGCTCTGGCTCTAAATTTGTAACATTGGCTCTAAATTTGTAACATTAGGGTACGGAGTTCACCCTCATCCACCCGGCATTGAAATCCTAACTTATATAGATGATTGCACGATCATGGCGTGGCATCCCATCATTGAAGACATAAATGTAAGGCTGAACACCAATCTTGCCGCCTTTTTCAGCAACTAAGTCAACGGCCACATTATTTACCACATGGTCCCCGGAGATGAGAACAGACCTGAATATGTAGTTCATTGGACACTTAATTCCGCTCCACCCAAGAATGGTTACAAAATGAGTTTCAAAATCTCCGGAAACCATTCCGTTGGGCTATTGGGTCTGGAGTATTTTGGAAAGCAAAGTTGGCACTAAAAAATACCAAAGTGTCGATCACTTCAAGCAAGCGCTTCGCAGGGAATGGGTCAAAACACCGCAGAGCAACATTTAGTCAGCGTGTGACGGTTTCATTGGCCGTTTGAAGGCCATAATTCGTGCCAAAGATGACCAACAAATCTAAACTTATTCTAAAATTTGATGCTATTTCCGACATTTGTTGCTTTCATTCAATAAAATTAAAAAAAAAATTAAAAATTCTGTCGTTTGACTTTGTTGCAGTTTTTTTTTTTATCTCACCCTTTATATATATGATTGGAAGGTCATGGCGTCTGGTCCCATCGTTGAAGACATAAGGCTGAACACCAATCTTGCAGGCTTCTTCCATGCAAAGAATATGAAGATATCCGCCACTAAGTCAACAGCCACACTTTTTACCACAAGGTCTGCGAAGAAAGATGAATGTGTAGGTCATGGGACATTAAATTCCGACTAGGAACTACCCCATGGGTCACATTCGACAGCATGTTCAAGTGGTACCCGCAAGCCACAGAGCAAGTTTCTCAAGGCGCTAACCGACAGCACTTGGGGTGCGGTCAAAGAGACTTTGTGGAATTGATGTTCGAAAGGTGCTTCAGGATTGCCCAAAATACTTGTTTTACGACCTGTGACGGCAAAATCTACAATTTGTTATAGTGAGTTGCATTACTGTCAATATCTTGTTCAGGCGTATTTTGTTCCATTTTTAGTAGTGGCCTCAATTAATATCACATACCGGGTAAGACATTTTATGTGTCCTATGTAATTAGAAGTGTACTTTTCACTGGTATAGGATTTATTTTTCAGAACTGCTAGAGATCATCTAAAACACCACAATTCGTACTAAATATTAGACATTTTATCTAGAGTTGTGCTAATCTAGTTCATAGTTCAGTATACCAGTTCCTAAAAGTATGAGTGGTTTCATAAATGTCATATATTTGGTATCACTCGTACGCGGAGTTTTCATACAAACGACCGGAGTCACCGGAACTAGATAAGGAACTTGTTCGTTGCATCGAACTAGATTGGCACAACTCTTAATTTTATCTAGTCATCAAAACCCTTATAGATAGCACATTAAGCGGTTAGGCACATATGTGGAAAAAAACCTAGCTGCTTTAGAATAACATATCTACTGCAGTACAATAATGGGCCGTTACTATACTAAACTAGCAAAAATAAATTCTATGCAAAATTCCTATCAGAGTTAGAAAAAGACTAAAATAAATACGATGCGAAGATAAGAAACAAAAAGAACTTGTGAACCTTCAATTATGATTCATAAAATTATTCCATGGCAAATTGTTATGGGTGCTTTATGGTCGATATGAAGACAAGTCAAAAAAAGTATTTGTGTCAAGTTACAAAAATATTTCTGTCAAGTCATTTGCGTTTGTAGCCAGCCATCATCATGGGCGGACTGACACAAGAAAGTGACGAAATGTTTTGCTTCAGAACAACACCACAAAACAAAATGTTCTTCCATGGTGCAGTTTGCAAACAAATGTATTACAAATCAACGCCTACATCATTTGTTATTATATTTCCAGATGCGGAAGGCAATTTCATTGTTACTTTTTTTTAGGTGTTTACATTTGCATGTCACCATAACCATACCCCATTGGTGGCAAATTGAGAAAAATAACTTTTGGAACAACAGTCGAAGGATTTGGGGGTTGATTGGTGACATGCTAAATACAAGAACACCAAATATATGAGCCGAAATTCCCAACCCATTAAAATAGGGTCGCCTCTTGATTGAAACTGCCACAAGTGGTCTTTTTAGTGCGGAATGTTAACGTGGAATTTTAATATCCGGAGTAGACGCACAAGCGGAAGTACTGTTGGAGTTAATGTGGCATGAACGAAAAAGCCAAATGAATTGTAAGGGCACGAACAACAACAATTACTTTGTTAGCAAACATAGAATTCCTCCTTCCACCACAAAGTAGTAACAAAAAACACCCACTCCAAAGTGACCAAAACACCACAATCAAGCCACATAACATGAACTCGCAATTGCGTCTCTTGTGTAAATTACAACTGAAATTATGTTGGCCAAAAATTTATGAATGTTTACAAACAATATCATTCAATTGGAAAAATATCTGCAAATTCGTACCATAGTATTTTCATTGACTTACTCAGAGCTGTTATTGGACCCCAGTGTAGAAATCGTTTAAACCCCGACAATTCAGCAGACATTTTGTTGGTGTATATAAATAGATTTTTTACAATGCAAATTTATGTTGTAATATATATATTTTTTTAATTTCGTATTCCATTCATTATTTCCCTTTTTAAGCAAAACAGCGAAACGCAAAACAACACCCTACACCTTAGAAATTCAAGAACGAACTAATTCAACGCAACAATTCACGTAAGGGAACCATCATAACAATATCCAGCTGTTTCGTTCATGTGGTTCTTATCGTTCATCTAGTTCTATTCGTTCAATCTTAATTCGATATGTTTGTTACTTGTGTTTCTCTATTAACTGTACTTGTGAAGACTAGAAAATAAAACAATTTCTTTTTTCAACATTATTTTCACAGAATTTATTATTATAATAAAATATCAAAAAAAAAAAAAAAAAAAACAGATCAAACTGATTACAGCATTGTTGGGATATAAAAAAGTAAAAAAGACAAATGGGTAATCGATTTTATGTAATCGATAACTAAGTGCAAACCTCAACTGCCAGGCATGGAAAATTTCATTGATAGAAAAACAAAGATTAACCTGGCGTTTAAAAAATACACATCATCTTCAATCAGATTTTTGACGAAACGGCTGAAGCTAGAATCTTGAAATTTTGCACAAGGATCAGGCGTATGATAAGACTGGGTTTTTGGAAATCCGTGCCTAAATCGTACGAAAAATACTAAAATGTACTAAAATTGAATACTTTGACTCTGTTCCAGAACCTGCAAGTATCTACTATTTTTGCGATTTCATAGAGGGAAAATCGGCTATCGTATTAAAAATATTTTATATTCTTAGAGTTCTGGAAAACACTAATTGTTTTGGACAAACAGAATGACCTGAAATTCTTAAATTAAAAACGAGAATTAAGAAGGTAAAGTCATGCAAATATTCGATTAACTGTTTTCCCTCTTTTTTTCTTCAAAATTATACATTTCAAAATTATTTGTTTTTATGCATTGAAATTTGACAAGGTATGTTACTGACTTTACCTTCTTAATTTTACCATGTATGTACCAAATGGTTTTTGAAAATTCGAACTTAAAGGTCACTTAAAGTTGTAAAATGATACTGAACTTCTAAAATGGCACCATTTGGTATGATGTGAACGGATAAAGGTAAAAACTTGAAATGTTGTATAAGAACCAAGCATGGTAGAAGAATATGGGTAGACGCATCAACACAGCTGCTGGGACAATGAACTGTCAAACCAATTTGGGAATTGAAAATTTTGAATGAAAAATTATTTAATTTTGTAAAAGTTGTTGAAAAACGCGAATTATAAAAACCCCCAAATGACGTCGTATAAGAAAACGTATAAAAATCTACTTATATTTGAAAGAAGATTTACAATTTTTTGGCATATCAATGTTTCCAAGCGTTGATGCATCTATATGTATTTCTACCATGGAACCTAGGTTGGAAAATGTGTTTGACATATGAATGTGGTTTTGAAAATGTGTACCTAGAGAGACAACTGTACAGTTTAGTTAAAAACGGATGAAGCTGGAATTTTGAAAATTTCTGTGGTTCCACATTAGAAGTCGATTTGTGATAAAGAGATAATTTTGGAAATGTGTACTACAAGTGCACGAAATATACTAAATGGTGCTATATTTGGTATTGTGCGAACAGATAGTGCTTAAAATCTATGGAGGTAGTTTCGGAAATGTGGTTTTGAAATCCTAAACATTGATAATGAGGTCACTGTTGGTTTCTAAAAAAAAAATTTAAGACGTGCTTTTCGCGAATGAAGCAACGCCCACTTGCTAATATATGATTTGTTCCAGAACTGCAAGAATGTAATAGTTTTTACTACGATAAGCGATTTTGCCATTGAGGTATCGAAAAAAGTTGCAAACCTACCAGATTCTTGCAGGTTCTCGGACTGAACAATTAAATATATATGTTATGCTTACACTACAAATTTGTAGTCGGTATCTTAACAAAGTCCCACAAAAATAGTACACAGAACTTCCATCTCAATCAACACGTACTGTGCTGGAAGCCGAGCACTTACATTTTTAGCCAAAAAAAATTGATAAGCTACAGTGAGATGCGCTCACCACTCACTCAAAACAGGAAAACCAATGTTGCCCAAAACATTATTTCTAAATATCACCCTTTAAAAACCGGTGGTGACATTTTCCACAGTGCAGACAGAGACCTCAAAGCGTATCAAGCATGTTCTCACTCTTATGTCGGCGCCCAATTGTTCTGTGATGTAAACCAACATAAGCATATCTTTCTACCATTTCTCTCGCACATCCCAACTCCAGAAGAGATTTTCAAGAATAAGCATCCATGAAGACATCTATGCATATCCAAGCCCCTTATCCAAACTTAAAAACAGGTGCCAAATTAACACATTCGATATGAAACAAATATGGATTCTATCAGTTAAGCATTTTTTAGATATCATGAAGGAAATATCGCTTATCGTAGAAAAATAAATTATATTCTTGTAGGTCTGGAACAGAGCATTAAACTTTTCTATGCACATCGGTCCATGCATGCATCGACCTCTCACTCCCAAATCCACGCCTAATCCGTTACAATTCAATTACAATTAGTCGAACTTTCAATTCCACACATTCATAGTGAAATTTTAGGGGAAACTTTTGGTTTCAAAAGCTGAAAACTATGAATCTACCTTATAATGACGTCCACTTGCACACATCAGTTTTACGTTACGTGTTCGAGTAATTCCAAACCTAATTTGACATATATAACAGAGCTGCATAAAACGTACTCATGTGAGATCACTACTTTTGAGAGAAAAAACGCCAGATTGTTAGAATTTATGAACAGTTGATAACATTGTTTCATATATTGCCACATTTCAAAGCATAAAATTAGGTAAAGAGAAGATTTCAGCCGAACTGGATATTGTAAATAGTCAAATAAAATTATTTGGTATTAAAAACGTAGTTTCCCGAAAAGATGCCCTGTAAATTGAGAATGGATGAAAAGTGATTTTGTGGAATATTCGATGATCGTGATTTCACTTAACGTTCAGAAAATTGTTTTTCATACCAAGAAAAAGTGAGAATTTTTGCTAAAAAAGAAAAGTGAAAAATACAATTGACAGACAACCTTTATCTAATCTACAAAGTGAGCAGTGAGTACAAAAGAAAAATATAAAGGTGCATTTTGTTAATAAAAAAAGTAATTTTTAAAGAGAAATTGTGTTACTTTGAAAAGTATGCAATTTCAATTGAAAGAAAAAAAATACAGTGAAATTGCAATTTTATTTTATACATTTTTTTGGTTAATAAATGAATCCCGATCGGTGTTTTCTTTTTTCTTAGTTTGTTTATGTGTGCATGGGTATTTTTACTTGTTGCTTGGCTTGTGTGCTTGTTGTTTTTGTTCCCTGTCTCATTCTCACTTGCGTTGACATCGACGGCAAGAGAGATCATGCGACTGAGTGACTTTATAGCCGCCATTTTATAATTTTCTTCAATGTTTTTAGGCGTTGCTGACATTTGGACCATCATTGCATTTGGAATTAGAAAAAGGTCGCCACTTTTTCAAATTGCCTAAAAGTTTGCTTTAATTTTTTTTTTGTTCCGTTGAGATTTTATCCTTGAATTGGTTTATGAAATAAAACTAAAATGAGTGCGAGTGCAAAGGAGGTTGTTTTGAAAATCGAGAAGAATGATGATAGCAATATAATGCCACCGCCAAAAAATGAGGGCATCAAAATTTTAAATGACAAACAAATTAAACCGCCAGTTCCTGCGCCACCAGCAAAATCGGTGGCCATGTCACCACCCAAACAAATTCGACTTTCCATTGCACAGTCAAAAACACCACCGGCAGCTTTAAAACAAAAAAAGATGGATCACTATCTGATGAACTTGGTAAAGGGTGAAAAAGATGCCGAGGGTGGTGAGGATAATGAAACAATAGACTTTGTATTGACTGAAAACGTTGAAGCTGGGACCACGGGTCATTCGGGTGAAATATTAGAAGAACTTCAATTAAGCGATGATGAGGAAATGGAAACGGCCTCTAGGACCCAGGAAATAGTTGAACATGTTTGTGGAAAATGTTTTAAGACATTTCGACGTTTGAAGGTAAGTTGGATTTTAAAAATATTTTAAATTATATTAATATTTCAATATTTGTAGGGTTTAAAAAAACATTTGGACTATTGCCGTTTTGATAGTGGCTATGAGCAGCGAAAGGAGGAAATGTTAAAGAATCTAGAGAAAATTGAAAAGGATGCAGTTATAATGGAAAATAAAGATGTGTGCTTTTGCTGTGGCGAAAGTTACGATACTTATCATGTAGGTTTTTACATGGTGTATATCATCTGTGGCACATAAGATCTAATCTACTAATATTCTACTTCAATTTCAGTTGGGTCACATAAGTTGTCCGGATTGTCCGAAATCGTTTAAAACACAAATGAGCTATGAACGTCACATTTTCATAACACACTCAGAATTCAATGACTATCCCTGTAGCATTTGCAATGCTAAATTACGTAGTGCCAATCTATTGAAATTACACGAAGAACAGCATAGCAATCGTGGCAAGCCATTTGCTTGTAAGACATGTGGAAAAGATTTCACTCGTTCCTACCACCTGAGTCGTCACAAGAAATTCAGTTCCTGCACTGCCAATGAAAGTGATACAATGCATTGTAAAGTTTGTAATCGTGCCTTCTATCGTCTGGATAATCTGCGTTCACATCTGAAGCAGCATTTGGGTACCCAGGTTACCAAAAAATCCGAATACATGTGTCCAACATGTAAAAAATGTTTTTACAGTTTATCAACATTAAAGTAAGTGGGAATAACTCCTATATTCTCCGAATTTCGTAATTAAATAATTGTATTTTAAATACTCATAGCATTCATGCGCGAACCCATACCGGAGAGAGGCCATTTGATTGTGATTTATGTGAAAAGAAATTCCCATCATTGGTGGCATTGAAAAAACATCGACGTTATCATACCGGAGAAAAGCCCTATACATGTTCTGTGGTAGGTATTGTATAATATATAAAAAGGGGCAACTGGAGATTACTTTTAGTTGGAGCCTTGTTTAAAAACACTTAGCGTATCAAATTAATTTCCCATATTTCTATTACAGTGCAAACAATCCTTTGCTGTGAAAGAGGTGTTAAATAGGCATATGAAACGTCACACCGGCGAAAGGCCACATGTCTGTACGGAATGTGGTAAAAGTTTTATACAAGGCACACAGTTGCGGACACATTTGAAGACCCATTTGAGGCCATATGAATGTACTGAATGTCCAGAGAAATTCAAAACAGAAAAACAGTAAGAAGCTCAATTGTTTAAATTTGGAAATTGTTTTTATGAAAATTATTATTTTTTGCAGACTTGCAAAACATGCAAAGGAACACGATACTGAGGGAAGAAAACGTGGACGTTCTAAAATGTTTAAAAAGTGTACCATTTGCAAGAAAGGTTTCAAGACCGAGCTCGATTACAATAAGCACATGGAAGAGGGCATTCATATAAGTAAGTATTATTGCAAAATCATTCAAAATGAAAAACTATGTGTTTTTGGGAAGAACAAGACCCAATTCTTGCTTCACCCATCTTCCATCATAAGCACGCTATTTTCTCATATTTTTTTTCTGAAGTTATCTTCAGAGACACCCCAAATTTTTCATCATTGAAAAGTAAACTTTTAAAGATTTTTCAATTTTTTTTTTGTAGCCATTTACTTTAAATTTAAAAATATATATTAAACTCCTTTCCTTTTCTAGCTCCTGTGCAAAAACGTAAACTGAAAAATCGTACCGACTGTGCTGTTTGCAAGGAGAACTTTGATTGCGTTCAAAGTTTACAATTCCACATATTGAAGGTACATCAGGAGGATCCAGAGACATTTGTTAATGAAGATCCATTTGGAGATCGTAGCGGAATTATTCACGAAGAACATGAAGACGACGAAGAACAATATGAGGAACCCATTTCAATACCAGCACCGAAAATTATTAAAATTGAAGATGCCCAGGGGCCGCGTATTGAATTTGTGACAACCAATAGTGAGGGTAAAATACTGAATAGCAGTATTGAGGGTTTATCGAATCAACGGATTGTACAATCCCCTACCAAGACTGCTGGTGGTCAACCTAATAAGGTGCAAATATTAGAAGAATTCATTTTCAATGATGGACCTTCAACATCAAGTGGTGTTGCTGCTGAAACCATAATTTTGTCCAATGAAGCATTCACAGTTATACCATTGGAATCAAATGGTGGTGTTATAGAACCCGTAACAACCAATACCATTGCAGCTAAAACCTATAGGACACCAGAAGCTAAAAAAGATCGCAAATCATTGGCGGAGAGTTTGGCAGCTGCTATTGCCGATGATGATAATTTAACACATTTCAGTACCGATGATGAAGAGTTAAACGAAGAGGATTTGAAATTGAAGGATAATGTTGGAAAACTGCTCGATATGTTGGTGGACAGTACAACACTTAAGAAATTCGGTTGGCCAGATGCATCGGAAGAAACGGTAAGTTGGACGAAAACATTATTTTATCTTCAAGTTTAACTCTCAATTTGATTCCATCAGGTTCTTTGCAAAGTCATTGAAAACTGTGGCCATGACTTGTCCAAAGATCAATTCAATTACCATGAACTGGAATTTTCCAGCCGTATGCGTGAATATGTTAAGCTACTGTTCACGGTGGTCATACACAATGATTCGATAAAGGAACTGCTAAATAATTATCCAATTGATGAAGTTATTGAATATGTTTTGGGTAATGAAGATGATGACGATGAAGAGGACGAAGAAACCACTGCTACGCCAACACCCATCAAAGAAGAGAAAGATGACAAGGCAAAAACTATTAAACGTGAAAAGTAAAAATAACTTAACTTTTATACTCAATTATTTTTTACTAACCTAAATGGATTATGGAATGCTTGTTTTTAATACCACTGATGCCTTAAAGTACTTTTTAAGCGTATATAAAATTACTTTTATATATCTGTGAAGAAGGAACTTAATTCAAAGAATTATAATAAAGTTATGTTTTAGTATTAATTTTTTAGAAATAAGAACTTCTAAATGCAATAAATTTTTATATTTAAAAAAAAACAACGAATTAAAATTATTAATACCTACAATAAAATATATATTCCTTCAATTCTAATCAATTTTAAAATGGGACTATTTATCAAAGAATTTATTTGAAAAAGGACAGATTTTACCTCTGTTCGTAACATACTGAGGATTTAAAGAATTTTTGAATACAATCAATTTAAATGCAATAAATGTCCAGAAGAAATTTCTCAAGGAAATGAACCAGGAAGCACTTTAGAGTTTCCAAATTTTCCTTATGACTAACGTAGCGGAGTCAAAGGAACCATATGTTTTGACGCACGAACCTACTTGCTAAGTGTAATAAACATTTGCCTCCAGCGTAACTAATACAGACTGCCGATTAATAAATAATAATATTTAGTCGCAATTATCTTTGCATCAGCCAAGCAATATTGTCTTCCATACGTCATTGTCTTGTGAAGGGACTGAGGTCAACAATGCCATGACCATGACCTCCGTATTAATGATGCAACAACATTTAGGTACTTTTAGTAAAACAGATTTGGTCATATGTCAAATTTCCCCTTGGTGGATGCACAAAAAGTTCCGCTCATTCGAATTTAACGTTGTTTCTACTTGTTGTAGATAAGTTGCCCTTTACAACAAGAGGAGGCTGAGTTCTACATGGAAGCAATGCGAAACAATAGAGGTAATAAAACAGTCCTATTATCGTTACAAATAGGGAGCAAACTCTGGCGGCAATAAGTTAAAATACCAACGCAAATCAAAAGAAACCAGACCAATTTTTCCCGGCAATGTATGCTTCGTGTATACAGGGTGAGATAAAAAAAAACTGCAAAAAAGTCAAATGCCATAATTTGTACATTTTTTTCTAAATTTGATTGTCAATTGTCATCAAATTTTAGAATAAGTTTAGATTTGTTCGAATTGGTCACCTATGGCACGAATGTTGCTCCGCGGTATTTTGGCTCATTCCCGGCAAAGCGCTGGTTTAAAGTGATCGACATTTTGGTATTTTTTAGTGCCAACTTTGCTTTCCAAAATTCTCCAGACACAATAGTCCAACTGATTGGTATCCGTAGATTTTGGTGCCCATTGTGCGCTGGAAATGAAGCGAGGAACCTCATTTTGTAACCATTCTTGGGTGGCGCGTGATGAGTCCTATTGGAATGTCCCAGGTCTGCTGCAAAAATGTTTGTTTGCGTGCCCAAGGCTTTAATACACCTTCCAGAATATTTTCGCAATAATATTCGGCATTCATTCTGATGCCACGGTCCATTAATACGAGCGGAGAGCGACCATCGGCTGTTATGAAGTCGCTTGAGTTCTGGTGGCCAACCGAAGGTGCACATATTCAGCTGACCTCTTTGGCAAGTAAACACGATCATTTTTTTTGTTTACAAAGTGCAGGACATCGAATGTTTTCTCATCGGAGAAAACCATATTCGGCAGTTCACCTCTTTCGGCCAAGCGAAAGCTCTTTTCTTTCCGCTGCGGTAAGATCTTGCACTTTTTGGAATTTTAATGGCCTTACCCCGAGCTCACTTTTCAATATTTGCCGAATAGAATATAGCCATTTTTCGGCCACTGCGACGAGGGTTTTGATCAAATCGCTTCTTTACTTTTCGAACCATTTCTGCTGATGTTGCTGTTTTCTTCCGACCATGTCCACTTCCTTGACATCGGGCTACGCTACCAGTATCACGGTATCGAGCGATGGTACGAGACCGGATGAGTGGTTGCATTTTTTTTTTCATCTCACCCTGTAGCTATGTAATTTCGATTTATAAATCTGGTTGACGTCCAATTTTTGTAATAAGTTTAGAATTGCGCGGGGACTAACAAATCGTACTGCCAAATGTAATTTGGAGTCAATCGTTGTACATGTGGCAAATGGGGTATCCGCTGATTTAGAGAGAGACGCTTAGATATTTCTCGCCTAAATAAAGATTTACATCCGCAAACAAGACACAATGATAATCGGAAGAAAATATGTATTTAAAAAAGCTTTCCCTTCATTGTGTAATTAAAGAAAACTTGATCAAACATACCTTCGGAGCGCCATTTGGATGGACTGGTTTTGATGCTTGGTTAACAAAAAGCTTCCGAAAATTGTCATATTTCCTTTCTCGTTTTTATTGGACTTTTAAGTTGACAGGCGGGAATTCTGCACACCATTTATTTATTGTTACATGCCTAATTCATTACAATTTAGTGTAAATATTCAATATTCTAAACTCTCAACAATTCAAACGTTTGATTGCTCACTTTTACTGAAATTTAATGATAAAAGGCGGGAATTCTGTTTGACATTTATTTTTGTTGCTGTAACGCTCTCACTACTTCATGATTCGGTGTAAATATTCAAGTATGGCAACGCCGCCGAAACTGCAACTGATTTCCTGTCATTGTATTGCCAGTTGCCAAGGTAACTAAGCACTGACTGACTTGGCCAGCTATTGTTTCTTGATTTCAACACAACTAGTAATGCTGAATTATTAAAAATTTGGAAAAATTATAATAAAAAGAAATCTCGCTAAACATGTCCGAAGATATAAATCCGGCTGTTATTAAACATACCCAGGAAACATTGGGGAAATATGTTAAGAAACCACATTTAACGGAAAAACTTTTAAGGAAGCCACCTTTTCGATTCTTGCATGATGTGTTTGCTGTGGTAAAGAATAAATTTACATTATAAAATTTATTATTAATTATTAATAACTGTTTCAATTTCAAGGTTATTCGAGATACTGGTTGCTTTGAGGGCCTGTATACACCGGATGAACTGAATTCCGATAATATTAAAGATCGGGAGGACAAAATGCGTTTCCTGCAAAAAATGATTGATGTTGTGCGTAAGTAAAGGAATTAAATACCAATAATTTTTTTCTCAATATATTTATCCCCTTGCCCAGGCATTTGTACCAATGTACCCTTAACGGTGAAGACTTCAAAAATTGTGGCTGGCCATGAAGCGGAGAAGACCAATGAACTGTTACAGTTAATGGGAAAAATAATAGAAAACAAATTAAATTGGCAACCGGCAGTGGAACAAGTCCTCAAAGGCAAAGATCCAACAAAGACCAGCGATAAGCCCAAGGAGAAAGTGAAAGATAAGGAACCCTCAAAGGCAAAGGACCCATCAAAAACTAGTAAAGTTCCTAACAAAGCTACCAAACAAGCGACTGTAAACAAAGAAGAGAAAACCAAACGTCCCAAGGAAAAGGAAAAAGTTACTAATTCAAAAGAAAAGACGTCTTCTAAGACAAAGGAAAAAGAGAAAGTTTCCAGCAAGTCAAAGGAATCCGCAAGCAAAAAATCGACCAAAACTGAGTCGCAAAACAATAATAAAAGTGTTTCACCCGACAAGGAAGTGAAGACGAAGAAAAAGGAGGAACCTCCCAAGATTGCGAAAGAAGCTGCCCAATTTTCACATGAGATGGAAGAAGAGAAGGTCGATAAACCAATTGAGGTGGAAAGGAAAAATAGTTTAATGGGCGACACAATTAATTTGGAAAATTTAAACGGTGATATGCTAACAGAAAGTAAACTTTTGGAAACGGTTACATCAAAAACAGATGAAGAACCAGAAATAAAACCTCCAAGAACCAGTAGTGGCAAACGATCTGGAGGAAAATCTAGGAAACTCAGGGAAGACAATCATGAAAACTCACCATCCAAGGATGAAAATAATGATAATGAAAGCAGAAAATCTTCAGGAAAATCTGCAAGAAAAGAAGAGGAGGACATTGCCACAAATGGAAGCGAAGAAAAAAGGAAGTCATCAAGCAGACTAAGAAATAAAAATCAAAATAATGAAGTTCCAATAGAGGAAACAAAAAAAGAAGAAAGCAATAATGATAGATCTTCTGCAAAACCTAAACGAGCTGAAGAAGAATTACAACAACAGCCACAAGAACCATTGTTGCCTACAGAGCCCCACTCATCTCCCAAACTAAACAAAGAAAAAATAGAGAAAATCCCCAACTCACCACCAAGTAGTTCCAGCAAACCGGAACAAAACGAACCCCAACCTTTGCCGATTGCCATAGCTGCGGGCATTATCCCTCAAGATCCGGTAATTAAGCGTGAATCCACATTTATACGAGAAAACTCTAAGGAATCAACAACTAAACCCAATCGCCCACGAACTTCGTTGCGACCACCTTCAGCGAGACCACCCTCAGCTCGTCCGGGCGCCCCACGAAGACGTGATCGTAATATTGAAATTATTCTACAGCCCAATGATCAAATTAAAATGTCCGGTATTCAGGTGAAATTGGAAAATTTTGGAGATTTAGATGATGATGGAGAAAATTTAGTTATAATTGAAAATCCCGATGCTATACATGCTGGTGAACTATCCACCAATGGGGATGTATTAAAAACGGATGTGGATTTAGATGGCATGGAACAGCAGGGACATTTGGTACAACAAATATTGGAAACGCAAAAGGAATTGACACAGCAGAAAGATTTCAATCAGCAAATCAAAAATGAAAAGGTAAGAATTGAAAGGACCTTGGGAAGAGGCTACAAAGGGAGTTTTTTAAGTTCTTTAAAAGTTGTTGATTGCTTTCAAAGATGGATTTAGAAAAAAATAAACATGTATTCAAAAACACTTAAGTGATTTCATTCCTCTTTTCAGGACACTGTCAATGGCATGGTTATGAAGCAAACATCCATGAATAATCTACGCGATGTCATACAAAGTTTAACTAAGTCCATTAATCCTCTGGGAAAATTAATGGATTTCATACCCGAAGATATCGATGCAATGCAATTGGAGTTTACAATGTGGCGTGATACCTATACCCAGGCAGCTAATCAGTTGAAAAGGGAGAAAAGGTATACATTTAAAACATTTTTGTTTAAAAAAATATCACATTTTATTTCTTTTTTGTTTCCAGCCTCACCGAATCTGCCACCGAACCCATGAAAAATCAATTGCTACAAATCGAATCGAGCATTCAGGAGTATATGGAAATGATCGATGCCAGCCGTGTTAAAATTTTACAAAATAATGACAAAATATTTAAAATGTTAACACATTCCTAATTGATTTGTTGTTATTTGTTTGGTGAGTGAGTGAGGATATTTGTACCTCCTACTATTTGCTCACTTGATTTGTTGTCACCGAAATTTGTCCAAAATATTCAAGTACTGTAAGACTTGTTTATTTTCGGCGAAGCTTCAAGAAAGACACCTTTGTTGATTTATATCTTTTTCAATAACAAATAAATAAATATCGTAACAAACCGTAACATTCATACGCCGATATATATCATAATCAGTTAAATCAATACCAAAAATAAATTCACAATATTTACTTGGCCTATCTGTGGCTATAATGAATTTGATTTTCAAATTGATGTCACAATTGTCGCCGTTATCACCATCCACTACGCACAACTGCTGCGGAGTATTTTTCCGTTTTTATGCAGCCAAATTTTGGTTGAATGAGGTGTTTATTTCAAGATATTTAGTTTATTATTATGATACATAGGGTGATGTGTCCAAGTTAAAGCTTTATGAATTGGGCATAGCAACAGTTAATTTGCTATGATCGTATTTACATACCTGAGTTCTAATTATGGCTTCAGTCTTGAACGGAAGTAAAGTTATAAATTAGCACTTTCAAATTATAATATTATCGATTAAGGCACTTTCAGGGTAAATTACTTTTCTCAGGGGGAACTAAGCACTCGGACTCAGCATTTTTTAAGTCAAAATTTTAAATGAGGAAATGTATGTGTGTGGCAACAAAACCAAATCTCTCATTTTTGGACTCCGAAGACGTTCCGCCAATCCTAGTAAGAATTAGGGAGAAAAATACGTTGTGTCAACACAAAAGTTCTGCAAGACACCGATTCGAGAAAAGAATTTCCACTGTTCCTTTGCAAATTCTTTCCTGACAAACTTCTTCGTGCAGTAACTTGTAACTCTTCTTCTTCTTTGTGCGACAATCATTCAGACAAACTCCTTCATGCAGTCAGTTGTAGCTCTTCTTCTTCTTTGTGCGACAATCATTCAGCTGTCCTTGATAACAGAGTGATCAATTTTTTTGCAAGCAATTTCGTAATTTTTCAAATTAAAAAAATAAGTACTTTTTAGTGTTTTTTTATATTAAATAAAATATTTTATAAGATACATAAGATGGCTTTTTTTAATACTCAGCTGATTTCTCTCTTGTTTTTAGCAGAAAAATCTATTTTTGTACGCCAATCAACTATTAAATAGCATACTTTAAGGCGGTTTACGTAAGTGGCGAAGCTATTCAAACAACAAGAACCGAATGCACACGGCAATTATAGAAAATGGAAACCCAGTTGATTTCTCATACCACGATAGTTCAATTTGTGGGAGTATCCCCCTAAACCTCATAGGTAGGAGCAAATTTGTATAAAAAAACCTCAGAGGACTTAAATAACTCAGATCGGTGGCACTGTGGCTGCAACCAAGTGGAATCTGGACCATCATCGGGAGAGCAAATTACTAATAATTCCGAAAGAGTTTTTCGTCTTGCAGCCTAGCCCAGCCAAAAGAAAATTCAAAACAGCAAAGGAAACAGCGACGGCGAAAATAAAATGAAACGATTAGGCTTGTCAAGTAAATTTCAAAGCACTTAAAGCGGCTGTACGAGACTCAATATCGACTTTAGTCTCTAAAGGGATATTGACAAAGTTGAATAATTATTGTTGTCCTTTGATCAATATATTATCAGAATGATCAGAATATGTTTTTTTATATTTTAATTTATTTTTCCGATTTTTCGACAATCTTCGCTAGTCATCATGAGGGAGTTAAATTTGATTAAATTTTTTTCTTATTTTTAAATTCTTTCCTTTTTTAGCTTGAATTTTCCAACAATTGGAAAATAAATTAAAATAAAAAAACAAATTCGTCTTTTTTTTTTTAAATTCTGACTTCAAGCCAAACGAAAAACCAGAAGAAAATAAATGTTAATAATTTCACATTTCCTGGCGGAACAGACATAACGAGGGTAGAACGAAGGAAGTGTTAAAAATAGTCCTTTCTGCAGATTATCGTAAAATACTTTACAAATACAATGTGAAGTGTTATTTCGAGGCGACTTAGAGTGGATCACAAAAAATTGTTTGTTTATGAGGTACTTTAAAAACCAATTAATACCTACAGGGTGAGATAAAAAAACTTCAACAAAGTCAAACACATGTTTTTTGCATTTTTTTTAATTTTATTGAAAGAAGTCAGAAATAGCATCAAATTTTAGATTAAGTTTTGATTTGTTCGAATTGGCCACCTTTGGCACGAATTATGGCCTTTAAACTGCCAATGAAACCGTCATACGCTGCCCGAATGTTGCTCTTCGGTATTTTGTCCCATTCCCGGCGAAGCGTTTGCTTGAGGTAATCGACACTTTGGTATTTTTTAGTCCCAACCTTGCTTTTAGGCAGTATGCACGATCATATTGTTTGTTTACAAACTGCTGGACAACGAATATTTTCTCATCGGAGACGGAGAAAACCAAATTCGGCAGTTCACAACTTTCAGCCAAGCGAAGCAACTCTTTAGCTCTTTTTAGTATTTCTTGCACTTTTTGGAATTTCAATGGCTGTACCCCGAGCTCATTTTTCAGTATTTGCCGAATGGAATATTGCGATATGATCAGCTCACGAGCCATTTTTGGGCCACAGCTACGCGGGTTTCGATCAAGTCGCTTCCTTACTTTTCGAACCATTTCTGCTGATGTCGCTGTTTTCTTCCGTCCATCTCCTTGACGTCGGGCTACGCTACCAGTATCACGGTAACGAGCGATGAATTCCTTCACGAATAACTTTTTTTCTGGAAAATTCTCACCAAAATGCTTTTGTACGATTGTAAACAATATAATGAGCTGTCATTGGAATAATTTTAACAGCTGTCAGACGAGTGGCTTAGAAATAACAGCAGTCTGAAATTGTTTGCAGTTTTTTCACCTCACCCTGTAGATGAAGTATGAAAATGGAATACTTCGGTCCGCTATATCTGTTAACTCACGTATAAAGTATAGGAAGTAGTCGATATAGTCCAGATCTGCCACGTTGTAATATTTTTCAGTTTAGACCAGATATGAATTGGTCAATATTTGCCAACTGCTTCGGAACCTCCACCATAAAGGGTCGACAATTTGAATAATCACAACTCAAGGCTGGGGGTATAAATCTGTCGGCAAAACCGAATGAACCTCCACCATACAGGGTAAACAATTTGTATAATCCTAACTCAAGGCTGGGGGTATAATATACTTGTTTCTACTACCAACAATTCCTTTATTTCGGCCGCTGAGCATTTTTGCCAAGAGACACCTGAATACTTAAAAAACAGCTACTGAAAATCGAATGCTTACATGGTTTCAAAATATGGTGCCACAAACATAGCCATAAGGAAGAAACAATGGTCATCGTATTGTATTTTAGTGGACTCTTTATTTATTCCTATAAAATATACATACACCCATCAAATTTTGCACTTGCAATTTTCAACAAATATTTTTTTTTCAATACATACAATATTATATTTCACTCTTTGCTTTTTTTGGTGGTCTATACAAAACAACATGCATTATATGTGATACTTTTTTCTGTTAGCAATTTCAAATTGCATTTACAAAGATAGTTAGGATTGCATCTTTTGTTTTGGCTAGATTTGGAACCCAATATATGCAGGAAATATATAAATATTTCAAAAGAAATCACTTCTATCATTCAACTCCCTAATTTGTAATATAGTTTTTTTTTAATAATTATTTGGTGCGTCTTGGTGCGTAGCTTAAAAAGTTGTATTTTTTTTTTTTGGATCTTTAAAATATATTTTGTTTATCAATTAACTAGGTATGCACATGTATGTATAGGTAGTTTAAATAATTGAGTTTTTTTTTCTAATTCTTTTAAGGTTTTCAAGATATGATGGTGGTTAGTTGTAGAGTGTTGTTTCTTAATTAGAAGACCTGTAATATGATTTAATATTAAAAAAAGGAAACCTATTTAAATCGTTTGTTTTGTTGGAGTTTTTGTTTGTTTTTTAATAAAAATTAATACTTTATTTAAAAAAAAAAGAAAAATATAATGATAATAATTTATAAAATTACAATAACTATACATTGTTTCATTTTGTTTTTCTCTCATATATATAATATTAATAAGGTACTACAATGTGATGTGGGTAGAGGAAAGAAGGGGGAAGGGTAATTGTGTAAATGTAAAGTAATGAAAAAAATTAAAATCTTTACAATCTATAAATAAACATTAGATGTTATTGAAGCGGGAGAACCTATTTCTGTTTATAATGTTATAAGTAAAAAAAGAAATACAACTAAAATTTAAAATATTAATAACTATTACTTAAAGTGGTTTCTATTTTTTTTCTGTATAATTTTGAAAATATAGATGAATTAAAAATATATATATTTTTTAATTACAAAGCTGCAATACAGTTAAAATGTAAATGCACAATACCTATTTTCTTTTCATTTATCGTTTAAGATCACACATTTTGGTAGGTAAACAGTCGGAATATAGTCTATAGAGAATAGTATTTTAAACAAATTTCTTTGTTTGTTCCTAATAACCCTATAGATCTGCATTTTTCAATTAACATACCAATAAAAAACAACAATTTCATTCAAACACTCGAACCCTGGAATGTCATTAACATTCTTTGGCTTGCTGTTGTTTGACAACACAAAATCTATGCTGTTCGGGACTCAAACACACACAGAAAGTTTCATTTAAAAATCTCCAAATTTGTGGAGAAGATGCGCCCTTATCCACATTAGTCTCCCTGTTTTCCTTTCAATGCATATTTCCTTTTAGGCTGCGCAGATTGATTTTGAGCTGCAGATTCAGACTCAATAAGGAAACTACTATATCCTCAGTCACTGAAAACTCTATCCTCAGTTACAGAGGACTCTATACTCAGTTACTGAAAAAATCTATCTACAAAAACTGAGGACTCTATCCTCAGTTATAGAGGACTCTATCTTCAGTTACAGATGACTCTATCCTTAGTAACTGACGTTATTGATATTGAGTTCTCCATCTTCAGTCATTAAGGACTGACTCTTTAGTTACTGAGGACTGTTACCGAAGTTACTGAAGACTCTCTCCTCATATATTGCTTTTGAAGTTACCGAAGGTTTATACCTTTATAACTGAGGACTCTTTCCTCAGTTAGTGAGGATCATCTTCTTAGTTACCGAGATTGCTATCTTAAATTTACTTTCCTTTTTAGCTTCTTCGTCTTCATCTCTTTCATGTTCTTGACTGAGTTTCTTTTACAAATCTCCGTCCACGAAGTATTCATCTTTCTGTGTGTTGCTACAACTCCCGGCTAAGTATATTCAAAGAAACATGTATTATCTTTTCCATGTACAAGGCAATTCTAAAATGTATATACAATTAAAATAAATATAAAATCAAGCAATAGGTTAAAATGTTATTTAAATATTTATCATCATTTTAGGACGTTTTTTCTTCTTCTGCTGCTGCTTCTTCATCTCCTGTGCTCTTGTGTATATTAAACTGTAGTTGAGTTTTTTTGTTTGAAATATCGATGGTCGTATTACATTTTCCTTTTTTTTTGTTTTGTTGCATATTTCAGTCAACTATTATTAATTTTAGTACCATCTCTAGTAAATATATATATATAGACGTATATGTGTAGGTATTATCTAAACTATTTTATTATGCTACAATTCAAAGAAATCATCCTGCTGCTGTTCCAAACGTTTTTGCACTCGACGCATTTGTGTCGTGTTCAAGAGATTGGCAGTATCTGAATTACTGCCCGTCGAACTGTGTCGTATGTGTTGGGACGTATTTGAACTGTTCTTTTTGTAGGAGTTGTTGATGTTGTTGTTACGTCTGCGGGAGACAACTTCGGTGGCAACAAATAAATCATCATCAGTCTGATTGGAGATCATTCTGTGAGGGAAAAAAAAGAAAACGAGAAAAAATGAGATTAGTATTTGATTTCTTTTTAAATAAAACAAAAACAAGGATAAGATCAAGAAAGCAATGAGGGATGTATCAGTTTCTCGGTCTTTGATCATGTATGGCAGGAGTGCCAGAAGGATGTGAATAGAAGACCCTGGCTGGTTGGTTTTTAATACCATTTTGGACTGAAATATCTGGCGGCCCTCAATGCTACAAATGGAAGTGCCAATTACCATTTTTGACAGCATTAAAGCCCTTCTTGGAATTCGTAAATTCATTGAGTTTTTGTGGGTCCAAGGGTATAGTAACATAGTAGGGAATAATAAACTAGTTCGATTTGGCTCCCCATCGATTGATCTACCTATTGATAAGAGTGTCAAAGTTATTATGTCAGCCGCTACAAAAAGGGTCTCATCGATGAACAGAACATGGCACTTGGAAACCGATCAATGAAAGAGGTAGGTAAGATAACTTACAAGACCAGTGACTATATATGTCGATAATCAGGCGACTATCTCGAGAAGAAGCAGCTACCTTCCAGCAATTAGTTGATTTGTCCTTCTTTCTCTTCATACCCTCCACCATAGTATGGAGGGTATATTAAGTTTGTCATTCCGTTTGTAATACCTTGAAATAGACATTTTAGAATCAGACAAAGAATATATATTCTTGATCAGCATAAAGTTCTATGTCGATTTGGCCATGTCCGTCCTTCTGTCTATCTGTGGAAATCACTCTAGCTTCCGAATGAAACAACGTAGGTTGAAAACATTTTACTCAAATGTATATAATGTCTGCAGGACTTTTGGTATTGAAAATGGACCATGTAGGTCCACGTTTTGGTATAGCCGCCCTATAATGGTACCTCCCTATTTTCGGTATTTGGATGATTTTAGCAACATTATTCAATGTAATTGTTTCAAATTTGGTATTTGAAGTTCGTAACGGATATTACAGCCTATGACAGAAAATTGTCTGTGCATGTCCACGTCTTCGTATAGCCCCATATATTATGGTACCTCCCGATATTCGGTATTATGATGATTTTAGCGACATTATTTACCGGAATTATTTCAAATTTTGTATTGGAAGTTCGTAATGGATACTACAGCCTAAGACAGAAAATTGTCTGTGCAGGCCCACTTCTTTGTATATAACGGTAACTTCCGATATTCGGTATTTTGGTGATTTATGCGACATTATTCACCGGAAATGCTTTGAATTTGGTATTTGAAGTTCGTAATGGATACTACAGCCTAAGACAGAAAATTGTCTGTGCAGGTCCATACAACTGCTAGTATCTTAGCTGGAAATAATTTCGAAATCGTTTCTACATATTTTGTACTCCTTTTTAACGTTGTATTCATATTAAGGGTTTTGAGAGAAATTTTAAGTTTGCATCAAGTCGAGCATTCTTATCTCAGGAATGAGACTTAATGTGTTGTGTCTAAAAACTTTACACAAAGCTGTAATCCATTTAGAACACATTCTTGATCATTACAAACTGAGAGCGAGAGAGGCATGAATTATGAGAGTCAGAGACATAAATTATAATTTATTTCTTAAAAATCTAAAATACTTACTCTTTCGACTTTTCCACATATTTGCGTGACTCTGATATCGTGTTATCGATTTTACTTAAAAACTCATTTATGCTACGGCGACTTTCCTCCTCGGGCGTTAATGCAGCCACAGCTGCCACCGAATCCAATGATTTACTCTGTTTTGTTGTATTGCCATTGTTCGACTTGTTTAGGCTGGTCTCAACATCATCGGTTTGTACTAACAACTCGCCGGCTATCGAATAGGGTCGTGTGGGCAATGTACCCGGATGCGGATTGCTGCCACCCACATCCGATGTCGATGACATTGAAGAAGACGAGGCAGAGTTAGAGGATAGAGTCGATGAGGCAGAGGTACAATTTAGAGGATCACCAACCAAACCATTGAATAGAACATCAACATTGTTGATGCTGTTGGTGGCATTGTTCTCTATCACATTGTCCAGGCTGCTCAAGATGTCACCGGGTGTAGCATTGGGATTGTAAATGGATGACTTGTCGACAGGTATCATCAAAAATTGACGTAAAAATAAACTGTCCGAGGCAAAAAGACGATTGGCACGACGTATTTGTTCCGTCTGGAAAAGGAAGTGGGAGAAGAAAAAAAATAAACAAAAAATTAATAATATGATCACATTCACATTATGGCTTAATTCATTAATAATTGTTTAAAGGTATATATTGTGTGACTGTGAGAATTTAATTGCCATCTTATTATTGTTGTTAAAACATGACATTATCGTGATTTCCGAGGGGCATAAAATACAATACAAAAAACACAACGGAGTAATAAAAATTCAAGAATACGACAAACAAACAAACAAAAAAAGTACATCTCAGATTAAAATATTTAGGGTGAATGAATGATTGATGAAACCACCGGCAGTTTTGACTGTTTGATTTATTAGCCTTGCATGAGAATTTGGATGAAAACAACAACAATAAAAAACCATACACCTTAAGAAACTTGCATCAGATAAGATTTTAAAACCACCTTAAATTACTCAATTGAAATGGCGTCAATAGAATGTTTTGCTACGAAAATAATTTACATTAAATAGTTCCATTAAACAATTTAATTTAACTCTATGAGCAACTGAATTCTATAGGGTTCATATTTCGTGACTGCATTTATTTTTTTTTTTTCTCATAATGACAAATATATTCCAACGGAGGAGGGGTGGGATGGAAAAAAAAAACTCGTGATTTATCTTAAGTTACTTCATACGTTGTTGACATGCTGTAGACTTTCCTTTTTTTTTTTGTTTCACTACAAAATCTTATCTCATATTTAATTTATTAAATAAATAATGTCTAAAGCGATGACATGAATTGTATTGTTTGAAATGTGCTGTTTGTTTTTTATCTTATAAGAAAATATTAGAATCTTGCCAAGAAGAACTTCTACTTCCACGTGTGTCTTTTAAAAGTGGGAACAATGGAGATTGATAAGGGACCCAATTTGAAAAAATGGATGTGATAATTTTTAAGACATCATATATGACTCAAATATTGTCAGAAACAAGTAAAAAGACATTAAGTTCGACCGGCCCAAACTTCTAATACCCTTCACTATTCCTTGACATCAAGGAAGTGGACGGAAGAAAACAGCAACATCAGCAGAAATTCGAAATTCAAAAGTAAATAAGCGACTTGATCGAAACCCGCGTCGCAGTGGCCCAAATACGGCTCGTGAGGTGAATATATCGCAATATTCCATTCGGCAAATATTGAAAAATGAGCTCGGGGTAGGTAATGCCATTGAAATTCCAAAGAGTGCAAGAAAGACTCAAAAGAGCTAAAGAGTTGCTTGGCTTGGCCGAAAGTGGTGAACGGCCAAGCGAAAACATTCGTTTTCAAGCAGTTTGTAAACAAACAAAATTGTCGTGTTTACCTGCCAAAGAGGTCAGCTGAAAATGTGCACCTTCTGTTGGCCACCAGAACTCAAGCGCTGGCCATAGTGATGGTGTGGGCCGCCATAACAGCCAATGGTCACTCTCCGTTCGTATTAATCGAGCGTGACATCAGAATAAATGCCGAATATTATCGCGAAAATATTCTAGAGGGTGTATTAAAGCCTTGGGCACGCAAACATTTTGGCCGCAGACCTTGGGACATTCCTACAGGAATGAGCACCATCGCACTCAGCATGCGCCACCCAAGAATGGTTACAAAATGAGGATACCAATCCGTTGGACTATTGTGTCTGGTGTATTTTGGAAAGCAAGGTTGGCACTAAAAAATACCAATCACCTCGATCACCTCAAGCAAGCGCTTCCCCGGGAATGGACTAAAATACCGCAGAACAACATTCGGGCAGCGTGTTCATTGGCAGTTTGAAGGCCATAATTCGTACCAAATGTAACAAATTCGAACAAATCTAAACTTATTCTAAAATTTGATGCTATTTCCTACATTTTTTGCTTTCATTCAATAAAATTAAAAAAAAAAAATGTAAAAATATGGCTTTTGACTTTGTAGCAGTTTTTTATCTTACCCTGTATACTTTATGGGTTACCAACGGAATGACAAATTTAATATACTCTCCTTTCCCTAGTCCCTATTTTAAAATTGCATCTACTTTGAGGAAAATATAAGTATTAAAAAGTTTTCAACCAATTCGGAAACTAACATCGCTTAAAGAAATTTGAGGTATGTCAAAATTCAATCATTTAGTTCAATCCATTAGGGGGAGGTACCGAGAGGTGTGTAACGATCATGATTTAATAGGATTGGTAATGGGCCCAATTTGAAGCAATGGAAATTGTTTGTCGATAGATTTTAATGACCATTTTCTAACATGACTTTTTGCAGAGTAAAAAAACCCATTTTATGCCCGACATTTTTTAAAAATAAACCTAGCAATTTGGCCGACCGCAAACATTGTAATTTTTATTTAATAGCTTAAATGTTTCGTGGTTTTGGAAATGAAACCACTACGTGCGTCACACAATATGGCTCATACTTGATTAAAAAAATTATGAGAACAAATTCTGAAATTTAAAAATATGCGTCAAATATGGAGATATTTGGAAGTGAGTTTTTCGGGGAAAGCCACCCGAATATGAACTTTCTCTATGGATCCAAAAATAATTTGAAACTGACTGTATTAGAAATGAATTCCAACATTAACCCAGCCGAAAGAAGGAAGCTGTATCGGCAAGCCAGGGCAATTTTGACTGCATCTCGACAGGTGCAGTATCCTCAATTTGTATTGAAAACTGCATTAGGCACTAGTCTACATCACATTCAGCACCTCTTCAAATGCTTAGCCGAGCTTTTCCAACGAATCCCCGAGCAGATTGTGTTTATTATGGACAACCTTATTATAACCCTAACAGTTGGCCTCTTTTTTGTACACGGAGTTGGAAGGAAACCCCAATTATTCAGCACTACGCCTAAGAAGACAAAAAATCTTTCAGTTTTAAATGTTGATCACCATTTGATGGCTTTAACGAGAAACAAATTGATGGCAGTTAAATGCATTTCCTTCATTCGCATAATAATGTCAATAGCTAGCTGCGAATGACCGATATCAATGTAATGATGCTGTTCAAGTTGAATGGGTTCATTGTTACTGCACCCTCTTTGGTCGCTATATTGATAGAGCACACACCACAAAGCAATCATGAACATCAGCGATCTTGTTGTTGGACAAAAGGCAATGGGAAATGCTTGCAAAACTTAAAAATTAATGATAATACAATAAAATATATAATAAAATCGAAGAATAGACTTATAATATACTACTTACAGTGCAACCATATTTCAGAGCAATACCCTGTAATGTGTCGGTCTTCTCCACTACATGACGGACAAGTATTTCATTGTTGCGTATATTTTGATTACAGCATGTACTGCCATATTTCTTTAGAGAACGTGAAGAATCGCGTATTGATTGTTTTTCATTGAAGACAAAATCATCATCCATATCGGGAACAATTTCATGGAACTGGAAAGATAATGCAAAAACAAAACAAGAAATGAATTAATAAATACCATAGAAATGTAGATAAAACAAAAAAAAAAAAAAAAAACACTCATAAACGAGAAATTAACAAAATGAAAATACATTTTTAATAATAAAGTAAACAACTGGGGTACTTCGTTTCTAATCCCCCTTGAAACAGTTGCTCATCAACGTTGTAGTGTCAAACATCTCGGAACAGCTTTATTCAGAGTAAAGTGAATCGAGTGGCATGAATGACAAACAAGAGGCCTGTGTGAGTGTGACGTCATATGGACTGCGCAATTAAAAGTATTACAAATTTACAGCAAATTAAAATTTCCACTTGGCACACACAGCTGAAAATGAACGAACAAACAACAACACTAGCACCTATGTCAGCTGTAACATTTTAATTTCAACAATTTTTTATGCAATGTAAAATGTAATTGTAAAAGGCAGGAATTTCAATTTAGTCCCAACACATACCACCCAACCCCACAACCACCCCTTTCTCTCATCACAAACATAACAAGTACCTTTACCAACCAAAAACCAATCTCTTTTTTTTTGACAACAACAAAACACGTTTTGATTCAATACAAAATTTCATGCACATACACACATCCCATTTTTTTGTTATTGCTTGCTTAATAATACCTTTTATTTCGTTAACAAAATAAAGAATGCAACTCTTTGTTTTTGTCTTAACAATATCAACGTTTTATGTAATTATTTAATATATGTTTAAATCTCTTTTAATTGTTCTAATATTTGTACTTTAGTATAGTTTTTATACTATTTTGCGCAAAAATCAAATGAATCCGAAACCAACATTGAAACTCTCGTTGTGTTGTTGGTGGAAACTGAGGAAATTTATTGAATTAAACAGGTCGTGTAAGTCACAATAGACACAATGAAAAAACAACCATTGTGATTGGAAAAAAACCTTATACTGTCAAAATATTTGTTTACGTTATCTAGCAGAGTTGCCAACTCGTCTATGCCCCACAATACCCCCATAACGTTTTTATTTTTGGATTTTTTAAGCAAGTCAAATAATTATTTTATTAATTACACAAATAAATAAAAAAAAAATCATTTAAAAATTGAATCCCAAACAAAAAAAAAGTAAATATATAAAGCCCTCTTCGTTTAGCAACAAGAAAAAACTAACGAAAATGTTGATAAATGAACACAATAAAAGCTATCAAATAAAGGAAATAAAAGGTGGCATTCACTTCAGAATGGGTAACCGTAACCCGTCTGTTGCACTGAATGGAATGATAACACACAAAACACTTTAAGTTAATTGCAACACATCAAATGTTTGCAAAATTTTAATATATTTAACTTTGGTTTCATTTAACAAAACTATTAATTTATACATTTTAAAAATGTGCAAATACACTTGAATATTTATTGTTTACCGTTAAATGAAAAAAGTGCAATAGACTGAGTATTTCGCGATATTCCAATTAAATTACCCGATAAAAATATCTAAGCAGAGATGTTAGCGGCTTTTTACGTAATATATGCGATCACCGTTGATGACAAGATTGAAACTAACAGAATTTCTTAAATGTTGTCTATCTCAATAAGATTACTGCAGTATTACAGTGATAAGATAAAATGTAGTCTAGAGATAACAGAGATGTAGGTTTGTTATCATTCAGAGATGGAAGGGTTGAAATTGAGGAAAACTGGAAAGTTTCTATTATTAAAAAAGTAACAGTATTAAAATTGACTAAAATTAAAGAACTTCGATCATTAGTCAAGAATAAATAAAACGCTTATTTAACTTTCTTAAGTCATCGACTGGCTTCTTTGTAAAAGAACAAAGGAGCTTTAGGTTGACTTAGTTTAAATGCGGTCCATAATTTATACTTGAAAAAGCCAGATGTATGTATGGATCTATGCAACGGATTAAGAATTCCCAATTTAGTGGGAGAAACTTCCGGCGAGACCATAATTCAATAAATTAACCACTAGTAGAAAGGCCCGAGTCTTAAAATCCGTACACACATTACAAATCAAGGGGATTTCAACTGTCAAATTAGTTGACAGATTAATTCTTAGTTGATACGTACTTTTAACTCTTTATCTCAGAAAAAAAAATTGAAGAGGCTTAATAAAGAAATAAAGTGTTTTGAAATCCTTTTAGCCTACATTTGGACCATGATAGAATTAAGAAGGTAAAGACATGCAATCATATGTTTACAATTTTTTCAAAATTATTTATTTGACAACATCTCATTGTCAAAATGTATGCTTTGGTCTGTTCCAAAACTGCAAGAATGTAAACGTTTTTACAGCGATAACCCATTATGATATCGAAAATAATGCAAAACTAGCAGCATCTTGCAGGTACTGCAGGTAAATCAGAGACGGGAACCTATGCAGAAAAAAATGACAAGGTAAATTACAGCAAATGCAGAGATGGGTATACTTATTTGAAATGACTTTATTAATGACATTTTTAACTTTACCATGATTTGGGCGTCGAAAGTGGTTGGTAGAAAAATTTTGTGATAGGGTATAGTGTAATGTTCTAAATAGGCTAATCAATTTTGTTCTAAATTTCGATCTAAATTCTTTAATTATTTTTTTATATCATAAAGTAAATATCGGTTAAAGTAGTAAAAATTTTACTTACTTGCGGGTTCTGAAACAGAACAATTGTGGACTCGTTTTTTTTTTTTATCAGTGATTATAGAAACATTTATAACATCAAATTAATATAAATATTGAAATTGTAACAGTATTGCCTTTATTTTCTTTCTTTTATAATCTTTTTTCACAAATCACATAGTTTAAATATGCCTTAACAAAGCACAGTTACTTAAATACTACCCTTTGGTGTCATAGTGATGAAACAACAGTGCTGCCAAGTTTCATAATAATGATGGTTGTGCACCAAGAGCAAACCGAATGTGCCGTTAGATTCAAAATGACATTTCAAAATATATACCTCAAGTATACCATGGACACACACACAAACAGTAGTTGGTCTCAACTACAGATGTTCAGCGTGTTTAAAGAATGAGTAGAGAGTACCTACAACAAAAAAAAAAACCCAAAAAGATACTAGGGAGAATATCTATTTGTACATGTTTTCTTTCGTAATTCACGTGATAATTATACACAGTCAGCCTTTGTTTGGGAGCATTTATTTGAATAAAAACCGGCTAAAACCTGTTGTCATTTGTTAAGAAAAATCGAAAAGAGTAATAGCAAAAAGCGCTGCAAAAATATTTGCAAAATTAAATATGAAATAATTGTTTTAAAAACGTTCATGTCACATAGGAACGGGTGCTGACTGACTGAGTGGTGGCGGTGAAGCTTGTTGGTAGCTTTTGACTGCTTTGTTGTGTGATTATTTTGACAAACCTTAATTAATAATAATTTTTGGGTTTTGAGGTGGTAGAGAGGTTTGGCGAGTGTTGGCCATTGGTTTCGTGTTTCGCTGATAACACCTAAGCAAACAATGAATTAAGTTTTCAAAAATGTTAATAAGTATTGTAAATCTTTACCACCGAGCAGAAATTCTGTTTGACTTATGAACAAATTGAAATGTTAAGACCTGCCACTTTGCACGGGCAACAAAAAAATGAAACAAAAACAACATACACAAATTCTAATGTTATCACGGGTACGCCGCCGCCATTGTATATTTTAAATTGAAAAAATAATATGCACTCCGTACATACGTAGTGACACATTTACTATGGCAATAATTAAATTGCACAAATCGCGTTAGAACTAAGTACCCATACTTATATCCATATTTCAGAATACATTTGTTTGTAAGAATGTTAATTTTAATTTTGTGTATTGTTGTTGGTATGAAAAGAAACCTCATGACTATGGCAGTGGTGGTATGTTTTACTGTTGTTGTGTTTTTTCTATTGTACTTTTGTTCGCAAGTACATGTATTAATTTAAAATAAAAAAATAACCCTCTGTCTGTTTATTTAAAGTGCCGTGTCTCAAAATTGGCCTTGATTTGGGAGCTTTGTTTGAAATTTATGAAACACAATGAAATTGTTAAATGTTTCTAAATCCCTTGCCTATAAATTGTATTTATACTAGGTATTAATATGAGCAGAATGTTTTATGGTGGTGTTATTTTTTTAATTTATATAATGTTTTTGTTATTGTAAATTAAGAATGAAACGCTTAACAAATGGCATTGTTCAATACATAAAGCTCCCATGTCAATATAATGTGGTATAAAAAAATAAAATGTCTTTAAAAAACTTCCTCACATTATGGCGTATAATTGTTGACGTAATGTATACGCCAAGATGAACTATAACGTTTAACGGGTATAGGCATTGTAGAAGAACAATGAACTGTCAAAACGATTTTAAAATTGAAAATGTTGAAGGAAAAATTATTAACATTTGTTGGAAAATGCATGTCATAAGAACCATCGATTGGGGTCGTATAAGAAAACATAAAAAAATCTACATATAAAAAAACATTTAAAAATTTTTGACATATCAACCTTTCCCAAACGTATTCTTCTACTATGGATATGGGCAACACTAAAGAAATTCAGATCGGATGAATTTGTCTTTGTAAAATCTTAAAGCCCGGCTGAATAAGTATTTCTACGGAAAAATGTTCAATTTAGAGCGGCTGAATTAGGTTTTCAATAATAAACCTTCAATTCAGGTCGGCTGAATATGGGTTTCAACAGGAAATCTTTAACTCAACCCAGCTATTTATTCAGCTACGCTGAATTAAGTTAGTTATTCATTCATAAATGTGTACTTTTTGTTCAATTGAATGAACTTAAAGCTGAACTTTTTTGAATTGATTTCTTAATTAACATATGTTTTATTCCATCGAATTTTGCGTCTGGCGATATACAATGCAATGTTTACATTAAGTCATTTATATGCTTAAATGTGGTATTTTGTATTTTTCAGATGAAACAACAATTGGAAGTCTAAGCGCACACGCTTTAGCTTAAAAGTAAACATTTCAGATATTAATATA